CAAGCTTAGAAGCCGAAACGGCCGGCTCGTGGAAAAAGGTGAGAGTGAGAGAGAGATGGAGAGCAAGAACGGAAGGCGAAGCGAGATGGGGGGGCGGTCGGTCGGTCGATTTCGGTGGAGCTGCATCGCCGCCTCACCGTCCTCTCACCTGAGGGCGACACGCGCGCGACCCGTCCTTCCTTCGGTCCCGGAGCCGGGTCCGTACCACGTTCTAATACTGAGGTGCTTAATATATCTCGTGCAGGCCCTTGCAATGTGTAACTGGTAACTGGTAACTGCCCGGCAATCTGTCACTTCTCATCCTCTCTCTCTCTCTCTCTATATCTGTCATCATCATCTGCGCCCATCATCTTCAGCTGCAAGGCACGGAATGACGGCACGCAGGGGACATGGCGGCGGCCCGGGAGAGGGGGTTACAGTGCTGTTGTTCCCTGTTGCTGCTGCTTTATTAAGTACAGTACTGTACCGGACTTGTTGGAAGGACAACAATGATGGTGATGATGATGCCATGGGTGGTGGTGGTGGTGGTGGCCCAACGGGACAGAGACTCAGTGATTGACTGACGGACTGACTGAGTGAGCCTGGTGCATGACGCAGCGTAGGTAGATGAGCCGTGGCGCCGCGCCCGCGTGATGGGATGCTCCCCCCAACAAGCAGCGAGCACGCTGGAGGCGGGTATGGCACTCACTCCTTCACTCACCATGGGAAAGAAAGCGGGCCGCCTCGGTCAGTTGCCCCGTCCCATCCCGTCCCATCCCATCCCATCAAGCGTCCCCCGTCTGCGTCGCACCAAAATCCTGTACTGTACGGAGTACCGCAAGGAAAGTACTCCGTGCATGACGACGACGACGATGGCGACGGATGCCGGCACGGGTAATGAGAGAGAGAGGGCGGGCGGGCGTGCATGCGGCGGTGGATGAGTGAGCAATCCGCATGGACGACGAGATGAGAAAGGGGTGGGCTGTTCGATTTTATCGAGAGAGAGTCAACGCTCGACTCACGGGCCCGGTCCTGGCACGAACACCAGCCCAACCCGCCGCTATCACACACACACACTCTCTCTCTCTCTCTTCCTCGCTCTTCCTCGCTCTCTCGCAGCGCGCGGCGGCAATCGCCCTCTCGGCTCGTGTTCCAGATCTCCAGGTGGGCGGAGCAGTGGCATGGCACAGTGCTGTACGGCAGTGTGTAAAAATGTACTCGGACTCCGTAGACCCTGGGGAAAATCCCAAGGCCATCTCCCCTCCCAGCATCATCCTGGGAGGCACCGCGTGAACCACTCTCGCATGGCTGAGCCGAGCCAAGCCCGCTTCGCGCAGCCGAACATGGGATGCCAGATGGAGCCACGCACAATCCCGCAAGGTACTGTACCCTGTCGGAAGTCCAATGCAGACCATACACGGCACGGCACACACAGTAGCAGGTAGACAGAAAAAGCGTCGCCGGACCAGGCCCAACGGCGTCGGCTTCAGCCTCCATCCATCCAGTGCGTGCAGCCAGCCAACAACGGCAACGATAGCGGCGGCGACGACGACGACGACATGGGGCACGGCGGCCCAACGGCAGCAGCAAAAGATGGACAGCAGCAGCAGCAAGAGGAGCAGCAACACCACGCCGCACCACGGCCGTCCGCCAGCCGAGCATCCCACACCCCCTCCTCGTCCTCCTCCTCCCCCGCCAATCCACCAGCGCCCACTATCCGCCAACCGCCACCCGCCAGGCAGCTGTCCACCAACACCGCCAGCATCACCACCAACAGCAGCAACAGCAACAACAACAAAAGCCCACACATCACCACCACCACGCGCGCGCGTGCGCAAAGACCACCGCGTGTTGGCGCGTACATGGTACTGTACCGTACCTACAGCACAGTGCAGTGCAATCCACTTGAAGACTTGCTCCCGTTTATCGGCCTGGCGCCTTTTTTTACCCCAGACGATGTTGTCAATCAATTCGACGCGCCCGACAAGCGCCACCGCCCAACCCCAATCCAAGCCAACGCATCCCAGCATGGTCAAGGCAAGGCAAAGCAAAGCAATCAATGAGCGGCGGCGGGCGGCGGCGCTGCGAATAAACCACGCAAGCAAGTCGTAGACATTTGCTGCTGCTGCTGGTGCTGCACTGCTTTGTACACGCTCAGGAGGTACTGTATTTGCTAGGTCACTCCACTATGACAACGACAACAAGAACAAATAATCGCACAAAGAGAGTGAGTGAGTAAGAGAGCGTGTGAGAGAGACATGTCCCATGGCCGTAGTCTACATCTTGCATGTGCCTGGCGTCATGTGCGTCTCAGTGCGTCGTACAAACATCCATGGATGTGCACGCAAAATGTCCAGCGCCTCTCCAAGTCATTAACAAGTGTCGTCGACAAGGGGTGCCGAGATGACCCTGTTTCACGGCTCACACACCCGCCGCCGCCGCCGCCCAACGCTGCCGGACCCCCCGGCAAGCTCATGTCACCGCCGTCATGTACAGCACTGCATGGATGCGTGTACGCGCAATGGCTTGTGTGTGTGTGTGTGTGGAAATGAACAAAACGTGTCTTGGTATCGTGGCTGCTATGAACAATCTGTTCGGCCGTGCCCGCCTGCTCCCGACGCCGTTTCCCAAAACAAGTGTAACATGACGCCCTAGAGGCCGGTTGGCCTTGATGACTCCCAAAATAAACATGTCCCATTACCCTGTTGAACGCCGTGTAGTCCCATGATTCCCCCCGGGGTCCGGAAGCCCGTGTCCGTGCCTGCGCCGCTAGCCCAGAACCGGCCGTCATGGTGAGAGAGTCCAAGCTCATTAAGAAAGCCGCCGGTGCTGTTATGCCCAAGAAAACAATACACGTGTAGAAGTGAAGCCGTGTCCCATGTCGCAGGTGGCGCCGCCGCGACGCGCTCACGCTCTGATGCTCCGCGGCCGGCTCATGGACAGCCCGCTCCGGAACCGGCTCTTGTGTGTGCTTGGGGATGATGGCGTTGTGCTCTCGGTCCTCGGGGTGGCCTCTGCGTTCCGCTTGGCGCCCCGCATGATGTCCTGATAGCTAGTGCGCACCTGCGTCTTGGGGGACTCCTCGCGCGGCGACGGCGCCACCTCCTCCTCGCCCAGCTGCGCCATGGGCGACAATTGCAGCGAGAAGCTGTCGCGGTGGCCGCCGTCTTGGTTGAGCATGGGGCGGCTTCGCTTCTTGACCAGGCTGAGCGTCTTCCTCAGCATCCCCGTCGGCGTCTTGGGCGTTGGCCGTGCCGACTCTATCTCCTCGGGCTCGGTAACCTTGGGTGCGAACGGGTCGATTGTGAGAAACGTCGGCCGCTTCTTCTCAAGCATCTTGGGCTTCATGCTGCTTGACCTGGGCGGGTGCAATAATGTCGAGGTGGATGAGATGGATCGGGTGCGGAAAACGGTGGTGGGCTCCGTCGAGGTGCGTACAATGCCCGTAGAAGGCCGCCTCGAGCTCGTCAAGCTGGTCGAGCTGGTCGAGGCGGGTGTCGAGGACCTCGGCGGGAGCTCGACGATCGAGGGGCGGCCGTGAAAGACGACGGTCACGATCCGGGCCGTGTCCTCGTGGCTGGTCCGCGTGGAGTCGGACCGCTGTGACTGCTCGCTGTCCGAGTCGAACTCGTCGAAATCGGAAAAGTCGTCTGCCGAGGACGAGGCGTCTTCTTCAGACGAGAGGTAGACCTGGTGAGGGGCGGCGTGGGGGAGGATGGGCCTCTCTTCGGTAGAGGCCTTTTGCGGGAGGGAGGTGAGCAGCCTCGAGGCGCGCAGGGCGCTCTTGGCCGGCAGGGCAGGGGCGGCGAGGCCGTCTTCGAGGTGCGGTAAGGAAAGCATTTCGTGGTTGTCTGGTCGTGGCGAATCTGCAACGGTGGAATCGACGGCAAGAGACTCGACGCCGGGACGAGGTTCTTGGGATTCGGCGGGCGAAGAGGGAGACATGGCGGCGTCGGGTCTATAAGAGAGGGCGTCCGGTTGCAGCGCGTTAATGGGCTGAGGGCGTGGAATGGAATCGACAGCCCCCCTCGGCGGTTCCACCGACGGCATGGAGCGGTGACGTTCCCCTTGGCTCGAGGAGGCCGTGAGACAGGCCGTCGCGTGGTCGAGCCCGTGGGCGTCGGGCGTGCGTGGGTGCTGGTGGGCGTGTAAGCGAGCGGTGTCGTGTGGCGTGGCCGCGCAAAGGGCAAGCAGCAAGGAGCTCGATGAAGGAAGGTCGCGAAGCGCAAGACCAAAGGGAGAAAGAGTGGAAGGGCACAGGAATGTTTCAAGCCCGGGGCGGGGACGGTCAAGTATGTAAAAAAGGACGACGAGATGGTGGTGGTGTGGCAGAGTCGCCAGAGATAATGGCCGTCCGTGGCATGGCATGTTCCAGTTTCCACCTCCTGGCATTCCGCCGACGGTGCGCGGGGCGGCCGCTCGCACTGGGTACGACAGGGGAGTGGCTAGCGCAGTGGGCTTCGGGCAGGGGCCGCTGGGCTGGGCTCCATGGCATCCATGGCATGGCCCCAAAGCTCCCCCTGCCTCGTCTCCCCTCGACGGGATGGGCTCCTCCAGGCTCCCTGTGAGGCCCCGCCGCCCGCACATTGGCCGGCTCCGTTCGGTGCTACTGCGCTGCGCAGCGGCCGTTCAGGGCATGCGAGCCTCCATTGGGGGTGCCTAGGGGGGTTCCTCTGCACGATGGAAGCCGGATGGACGACGCTGCTGCTGCTGCTGCTGTTGAGGCCCTCTCCATCCAATTCTGCACCCCTGCCCAGGCGGCCCCCGAGGTGTCACGCGCGGGGGACGGCCAAGCGTGGCTCGTTTCAAGTGCATTGCACTGCTTGCTTGCTTGCTTGCTTGCTCCATCAACATCGTCTGCTCTGCTCTGCTCTGCCGTGCCATGCCCTGCCTCGCCCGTTGTCGGGTCATCACTTTGTGCCGGGCCCCATTGTCGCTGACGGTTGGCGCAAACCTTCGTGCTTGATAAAGGGCCTTCCATGGGCCCGGTGCCTGCAGGCCAAACTCAACTGCCTGCGGATACCTCGAGGCTGTACATAATATCTGCACATACAGTGCCCACGAGGCTGGCCAGCTCCAGTTGTGGCCCAAAAAAAGATGCGTCCGCGCTCAGCCAAGGCATCCCGATCCTGCACCACCACCACCGACCCCGACCCCGTCGGCGACTGCTGCAAGCCTGCACCATATCATCATCAGCCGCCACCGCCTTGCTCGCACACACATCCATCCATCCATCCATCCATTCATCCATCCATCCCAACTCGTCCTATCCCGAGAGGGCTTGGAGGGCCCTCGCCTGGGCAACCCGCCGTGCCGGCCCTGCGCCAATGGCAGCGCCCCGTAGCCCCCAGGGGCGCCGTGCCCGTCACCTTGGCTGCTCCACCATTCCAGCACGGGGCAGGGGACCAGCCGTCGGCCGCCCACGGAAGCCCAAGGCGCCCCTGGCTCTGTCCGTCATCCAGTCACCATCAACCTGCGAGCCATTCCGGCTCAGGGGACATGGGGGCAATCCGCACGCAGCACCGACCGCACTGGCGGCAGCCCATTGGATGCCGCCTGCGAATATCGCCAGGCCATGGAGATGGAAGCAGTGGCCAGGAGCTGGTCCCGTCGCTCGCCCTCCCCACGACCGGCGTTTCGAGTCTCGCGCCTGTCGATGATCGGCCGTCATGCAAGAGAACGGGGGCCGTCCTCCACGGCGATCCTCCTCAGACCAAGCGTCGCCAATCTATCTGCCATCGGGGCCCCGTCGCCCATCCATCCATCCAGGGCCCTTCCTTTCGCTTCTCCGTGCTGGCGTCGACCGGCGTGTTGCAGAAACTCATCTCTCAGGAAGGCCCCTTTCGAGAATTCCATGACGGTCGGTACAGTGCACTGCAGTCGATCCTTCGTGCTGGGCCAGCCGACCAACGGTCGGCCGTGGGCCCTTAATTAGCAGGCAAGGGGTTTGGCACGAATTGTCGGTCGAGAGGGCCGCTTTCGCTCCCAACGGCCGACTTTGCTGGGTCGTTTCGATCCGTCTCCGCCGACTCTGACGCCCGTCCTTAGCCGGAGCGCCCAAGTGTTGAGCCCTACCTGCCTCGTGCAGCGTCGTCTTTTGCCACGATGCAGTCCCTTGGTTGCAGGCAGAGTAGCCGTCGACTTTTGCTTACGGCATGATCGACGTAATCATACGTACGGGAGGCTCGCGCAGCCGTCATCTCGCGCAGGTCCTCCGATGCGTCGGTGGCCCTTCCATCCCCCGTCGAGGCGCACGGCGCGCCAGAGGGCCTGCCGCCGGACCCCAAAAGCTGGTCATGACATGGCGAGAATAAGCATCGCGTACGGGCTGCTGGCGGGTGCGTTGGCGCAGAGGCGCCTCCACCACACCACTTGGGTGTGTCGCCGGCTCGTATTGCCATGGGCGGCGACGACGAATGGCGGCTCGCGTGCGAACCGGGTGCGCAGACCGACTTTTCCGCGAGTCGCTCGCTGGCGGACGGGAGGCTTCAGCCGCCCTCGCATCACAGCGCATGGCATTGCCTCGCCTCGCCTCGCATCATGGGATGCCTCCGCGGATGGCGGGAGAGCCGTTCCCCTTGCGACACCAGTTCCTGCTCGGGTGCGCTCCCTCGATGGCGGCGCTGCTGCTGCGACGCTGCGATCCATCGTGGTGGTTGCGGCAGCTCAGACAGGAGGGACAAGCCAGGGCGTCTCGCCGCGCCGTGGTGGTGCTACCTTGATACCTTGGCTTGCCTAGCACCACCACCACCACCACCACCGCAGAGGGAGCGCTGAAGGTAATCGGGGCGGCCCAAGTACCTCTGCGGTGGCCACAGTGCGCTGCCGCACATCGTCTCCTTGCGACAAAAAGGAGTCGCTCGCGTTCGCCCTCGGGCGCCGGCTCGCCCTTTGGCGGCAGCGCCGTCGTATCTAATGTCGTCGAACCCGGCCGCGAGGACTGCCGCTGTCCTGCGACGCACTCGCCCGACGGACGGTGTCGCCGGTTCGTCTGAAGATGGCGACGAGGAGCCCTAATCAAACGCGGCTGATACTCGCAATGAACCAAGCCACCTGAATTAGACTACCGCCGCCTACCGGTGTCGCTGTGGCAATCGATGCCCACGTGTCCCACGTGTGCGCAGCGCTTTGACGGCGAAGAAATTATGGCCCCTGGTGCTTCATTTGGCGGCTTGCCTGGCCGGACGGCGAGGGGAGCGATGGTGACCGCTGTCTGTCGTCGTCGTCGCCGTCGTCATGGTCGGCTGCCGAAACGCGGCCCAGCGACAACGATTTCAGGCTCGCACAAAGATACAGAGACGAAACGGCGTGGGCGCACGGCATCTGGCGGCGGCGCTGCAGACGCACTCGACTCGACTCGACTCGTCGACGGGGTCGAATCGCTGGCTGCAGGCCAGTCGTTGCACAGTGGACGACCGACAGGGGCTGGATGGCTGGCAGCCTGAGAGAGGGACGGGGCACGGGGCGCGTACCTTATCCACCATGGCGTCATGTTCATCTGCCGCTGTGGCACAGCAGGCGTGCTCCCCACATGCCCGATCTAGCGAGCTTCAGGCCTGTGGCGACAACCTCAAGCTCCCCGCCGCGCCCGCCCGCCTGCAGCGCCACACGGGGGACCCTCATGAAGATGTCATGGGTGGCTGGAGAGTTGTGCACCAGCCACGCTCCCGCATTGAGGTCCCGTGTGGCACTTCTCACATCAGTTCGCTCGCACTGCCCCGCCATCCCGCCCGCTGGTCCTTCCAGTGGAGGGGGTCTCGCACCGGCGGGCGGCTTGACTTTGACTTGACTTACGGCGCCCCCCAGCCACGCCATTGTCGTTTCGGGCCTAGACGGTGCTTCTAAAAATGTGCCATCCCACTAATACTTCGTAAACCGCGTGCCACACGCCTGTCACGGCTGAACGACGTTTCTGCACCACAGGCAGGAATTCTTATCCGAGCTTAAAAAACACAGATCTGCCTGGGCGCGCCATGCCATGCTTCGCTGTACAGTAACGCACGACACTGTACGGTGCCAGTCAGATCTGCCCTTGGCTCGCGCCGGCATCGGGTGGGCTGGCTGCCCGCTTATACCTACTAGGCGTACCTACCGTCGGCCCCCAGGACCCTGCAGTAATACGGCGCCCCCACTACCGACCTAGTACCCGCCACTGTTGGGCTTTTCTGCCATGAACATCGTCTGATCAGTTGCGAGGGCAGACGGCCAGGAACCCTGCCCGTCATGCCAGAAGTCAAGTCAGTCCGTCAGGCACGCGGCTCTGTCCAGAACGGGAACCCGCTCCCCGCTGGGGCTGACGAGGGCCACGGCCACGGCCATGGACGGAAGTTGGGAACCCCTCCTCCTGGCCTTTGCGACGCGAATATTGAGGTCTGCGTGCCAGACGGGGGCCGCACGCTGGCCGGCCCCCTCGCCTTTTTGGGTGTTCCGTGACGGCTTCTAGACCCCCTCTATCGATGGGCATCTGCATGCCTGTGTGGCTTGGATGTATGTTATGTTACCTGTCTCTGTCGGGTGTCTCACGGGATGGGGGCGTGCGTGCGGCCCGAGCAGTGCGCGCTGCACAGACGGACGGACCGACGGACGGACAGGGCAGGGCAGGGCAGGGCATTGTACGCACGCCTCCCATTGTGTCGTGTCGTGTCATGCCGTAACATCTGCGTGCCAGTTAGCCAGCCAGCCAGGCTGTCGGGGAACCGGCGAGATGGAGTCACACTCGGCAAGCGGGACGAGGGAGCCTTCATCGTGAAACTACAGAGCATTCCATGAGGCCCTGCCGTCCGAATACTTTCGAGACGCATACCGCGTCCTCCTTCGTACGTACGAACTGTACTCCGTATGTACGTGGCTCCTCAATGCCGTCACTGAGCGAATGCGAGTCGCCACGAGGAGCAGCTTTTCCCGCGCAACGTCTCGGTTACACGACAGCTTTTTCTCGTCTCTTTTCCCCCCTTCCTTTTTGCCCTTTGCCTTTCCCTTTCCACTTCCTCTTACGTAGATGGCAACCTCTCACCCAACCTCCGTTGTCGCCTTCCCCTCCCCAGCCTCCCTCGCCTGCGCTGCCGCTGCGCCCCATGCAATGACATCTGAATGCGTAAACGAGTTGACTACGTGGCGGGCGAGGCGGGCGGCAGCATGCCGTCCCGGCTTCGGCTTCTCGAAGGAGGGGGACTTTGAATGCATGAACAAAGAAGAAGAAAAACGCCGCAAGGCGTGGTCGTCGTCTCGTCCGTGCCGCTTCCCCGCCCGGCCACCCGCGAGAGGGGAACGAAACGAAACGAAACCCGGCCCGGACGATGACGCCAGGCAGGGCACACTGACCGTGCGGTGCTGGGTTCTGGAAATCGCGGACGGGCCGCCCGGAGGCGAGCGGGCGGGGAGGAGGCATGACGTGCCGTGCGTTGCATGACGTGCATCAGACACGGGCCGCGGCCGGGGGCTGGGACCACCGTCGAAACGTCGCAGACAGAGAGAGCACGCACACACGCAGCGCAAACGCGGGAAGCCCTCCCGGCACTCGGGGTGGAGGCGTCAAGTTACGTAGTATACTCTGTAAGTTGGGAGTGTAATGCACTGTACTGTATTTACCGGGCATGAGACGACGATGACGGCGAATGAATAAGGCAAGGAGATACCAAACACACAATTCGGAGAGGGCGATATCATCTGTGCCCACGGCCAACAGACAGAGCCCGGCATGGAGACGAGGAGGGAAGTACACTTCGCCCCCATTGAACAAAGACGTCGTACGAGTGACCTCTCATCCCTTCGAGCCATCCTCGGGATCTCTCTACCTTAGTTACCGAGTAACGATCCCTACCTAGCCATGACACGGCCTGCGCACATATGTGACCAGCTTGCGAAAAAAGCTTAAAAGTTCCCTTCATAGTCTTGCTGCGTGCCTGGCATTACTCAATCTGGCAGAGCAAGGGGGGCATCGTCGTCCTCCTCCTCCCCGACTATAGTATGTACATCATACATTATTCACACCCGCATCAACCCTCCGTACATTACCTACATTACCTTATACACGCCCGCCGCACCGCGCCGCACCCCCACCACCACCACCACCATCGTCAACGGCGCCGCGCCCTGGGGCCCATTCATTCATCCATGCATGTACGTACCTACATACATAATACTAGCTAAGAGATTGCCCCGTGATGGGGCACGCTTGGGCAGTGGACGAGCGGGTGCGCAACTGCCCACGGTTCCCCCGGCGAACAGGCATGACTCGCCTCGGCCTGTTTACATGATGGAAATCATAAAAAAAAACGTAGGGAGGGCATGGGACGATGCTCTCAAGATGAGGGAGCGTTATGCGCCGGACGCACCGCGCCCTCGCGACAGGCGGGGCCGTGGAAGTGTGCATGGACATGACGAGAAAAACTTCATATGTTTCGTCGCGTGGTGGGCCACCACGGTTGACAGAACGCAAAGGCATGCCCGCTCCCAGGGCGGCAGGCAGACGGTATATTCTTGATCCCATGATGGCCCCCTTCACGCATAGTTACACATCGCATTACTCTACTCTTTAGGCGAGATGCCGGTGGTGCATAAAGCCCTATCGGTGACGCCGACAATGTACTCTCTTCGTGTGCACACGGTGCTATCCCCGTGACGTGAACATGCTCGTTGCCTCGTTTCGAGATGCATTCCATGAAACCGTCATTACGTTGCGGCTGAGGGATGCCGCCACCGTTGTCCTCGTCAGCCATCGTCAGCCATTCTTGCCCGGCGCCTCCTCGCGTCTCTTCGTCCCTTTACATGAACACAATCTCCCGTGCCCGTCGACAGGAGGTGAGGCGGCGTGGCACGCGCGCGCCCACGCGCGACTCAAATCGGTGCGTCCGGCGCACCCTACTTCCAGTGTCCTCTGCTCCTCGTCGGCTCGCCACCGCTGCTGCGAGGCCGCGCGGCGTTGGCAAAGGGCTTGGGCGGCGCGCTCAGCGTAAATCCCGCGTCGCCCGTGCCTCCGGGCACCGCCAGGAAGCCGCTGGTCCCGTTGCCGATCAAAACACTCCTCCGCGCCTCTCCGCGGTCCCAGCCCGGCCCCGTCACGTCCGCGGCGAGGCCGTAGCTGCTCATTGGCCGTCTGTCGCCGTGTCCTCCCGTCTCGGCGGCGGTAAACGAGTCGACCCGAGCAAAGTTCCACTTGCCGTACTCGTCGTTCTTGGTAAACACCTCGAGCGTCTGCGTCGGCGGGAATGGACCCGCCCTAGGTTGCGCGAAGGGGTTGTTGGAGCTGAACCGGTTAGGATTGCCTGTGGGCGACATGGGCTGTCGGCTGGGAAACGTAGGGGAGCGAGGGGGCTGGACGGGGAGTGGCGAGACTCGTACCGCCGGCGGGCTCGCGTTGGACGAGCTTGAACCTGGTCGTCTACCGGAAAAGGCGGCTTGGGGCGGTGGCAGTCCGGAAAGTTTGTCGGGAAAGCTCTCGTCGCGCACGTAAAGTCTTCGGAGCCGGGGTAGGTTGCCCGACATGATGCACGACGCCAGATACGTGTAGTATCCAGGAGTGGCGTACGGGCCTGCTCCAGACGTCGACGATATCTCGTACCGCAGCGTCTTAAGCCTCTTGGACGACAACAGCGCGGGCGATTCGTTGGTTGGGAACGGATCCTGGACCTTAGCCTGGATGGCAAGCGTTCTGAGTGCCGGCGCCATCTGCAGTACCTCCTGGAGCCGCCAGGGCTGGACTCCGGTGTCCTTGAGGGTCAGCACCCGGAGCGCCGACTGCGTCTCGTACCACGACAGATACTCAACCAGGCCTGCAACCGTCATCCGTGGCGCATCCTTCACCACCAGTTCCTCCAGTGCCGGCATGGGCGGCAGGCTGTCGGCAGCGACCATGACCTCGTCAGAGAAGCTCGGCGTCTCCGTCACTTTGAGAGCGCGAAGCCTCGTAAGTGATCCCAGGACGTTTCGCAGGACCATCGGATCCACGTCCAGACGGTCGAGCTCCAGCACCTCCAGGCACGGCCATACCTGGGGCTGGGCCAAGGCAGCGAAGCTCCTCTCGGATCCCTTGACGTACGACATCTTGCGCAGGTTGGGGCATCGGGCCTGGACCTCGAGTCGCAGCGTCGCGTAGTTGGGTTCGTCCGCGAACATGCCCTCGGGCAGGTCGACGTACTTGAGATTGGGGAGGACGGCGATGGTCTGGGCCAGCTCGACGTGGCAGGACTCTCGGATCATGTACGGCGTCTTGAGAAACTGGACGAGCTTGCCTATCCGCGTCGGGTCATCACGGACGGTCCGTCGAAAGAGCCTCAGGCGGGCAAGCGCAGGGTCCTCGGGGATTCCATTGCGATCAAACCGTGACGTCTTCTTGCGCTTCTCCGCCAGAAACGCCTCCAGCTTGCAGTAGTGCACCGGGTCGATGCGGACGCTGTGATATCTGGGGCCGGGTCAGCTACGCCAGGGCTTCTTCCGTCGTCGGGGGAGACATACAGGATCGTGACGGCGCTCGCCCGCCACGTCCGGTTCACCTGCGCGCAGTGGGAGAGGTCCCGCAGGTCGCAGAGCATGCACCCATCGTCGCCGGCGCTCTCTTCGCATGGGTCGTAGCTCTCGTCGCGGGTGTGCGGGCAGACAAAGGCAAAGATGCGCTGCAGCAAGGCGTGGGAGAACTGGTCCAGGAGTTGCGCCGACCTGTACGTCGGTGGCGCATGAAAAGTCGTGGCGGGCGGCCAGGGGCGGAACTCCTCGGGGTACGACGACGACGACTCGCTCTTCTTCTTGTCCTTTCTGCGGAAAGGGAGTCTCATGGTGACGTCGGGCGGCGCAGCGGCTCGGGAGCGAGCTCGCGCCTGGTCGGGAGGGGAGGGGACAGAACTTTATGACCAGGCGAGGCTGCGGTCGAAATGTGAGACCAAGGGAGCGAGGGACGCTATGCCGTCAATATGTCTCTTGGCGCTGAGACAGTCGTGGCACGCCTGAAGAGGATGGTGTCAGATAGATCAAGGCGTACTATCTGCGCACATGCTTTGCTGCTGGTGCTGCTCTGGTCGGCGGCTTGGGCGCGTCCTGCAAATGAGGCAGGGCCCCAAGTTGAACTTGGAGCAGAGCTGGTCAGCAAACGTTTCTCACGCCTTCGCCAGTCGTGCTCACTCTCGCGGGCGGCTAGGGTCAGAGATGGGCGCGCTTCGAAAAGAGTTGCCCTTTGTGCCTGGCTCGCGATAGACTCTGGGCAGGCGTCGCTCTCTGCCCGATCGCGCAGGGTGTCGAAACGAGAACACAAGGTCGTGACAAGGCCAGCCGGCTCTCTCTGGTGAGGAGGATGTCGAGAGGTGAACAAGGCAAGCCGCTCAAAGACGCGAGAGAGCAAAGCCGTGCTGATGCGACCCCTCCCATTCAGATTCAGGAGCACAGGCTGCCCGACGGCACTGAATCCAGCTGCCCGCCAAATGTTAGCGGGCCGGGCTAGCAGCCCCAGATGACAGCGCAGGGGGTGGGGCGCTGCGCGTGCTAAAGCCGCCTGGGCGGGCACTCGTACCTGTCCCTGGGCCCGCCCGCTTGCGCGCACATCAGATGAAGTTGCGTAGGTGTGGGGGAGAGGCGGCCACGCTGCGGCTAGTCGAGACGCTGAACAGTGAACGGGATGGACCTAGGGGGGACGGCCTGGACCCGACGCCCGCTGGCACTTGGCGCGCACCTCCAAGGTTGTCCCAGGTCCAACCCGACAGCCACCACCTCAGCGACTGACGCCAGCAGGGCAAGCAGGCAAGGCAGGGCCAGGCACCCCCGCCGCCGCGGAGGCACCAGGCTCGCCCGTGCGCCTAAAAACAGCCCGGAGCCCTGCAAGGCGCTTCCAGTTCTGCACGTCCCAGCCCAGGCCTGCCCTGCTCGCCTATCGAGGTCCATCCATCCATCCCCACGCCCGTCCCTCACAGGCTCGCGCCTCGGCCGCCCCTGAACGACAGGATGATTCCAACACGAATGTTGCACGGAGAACCTTCAGCCAATAGGCCGGGCCCAGGTGCTGGCTGCAGGTGAATACCTCTCACTGCCGCCGCGGTCGCATCGCCAGTCAGCGTGCTTACCAGAGCCGTTGGTGCAACCCATTGCTCAAAGAACCTTGCCAACTACAACGTCGAGACGTCCTCGTCGCAGGCGAGCCCTACCTGGACGTGCTTCTCTCGCTCGATTGGACATTGCCTGCATAACCATTACCACCGGGCTGCAGTCTCCCGCCGCGAGCCGCGACGTCCTGCAGACCACCAGCACCAAGGTACACACCACAACTCTTTGCAGACATGCGGAACGAGACTCGATTCCACCTTCTATATACCCCTCACTCCGGACCGGGAGCGATCTGATGCTTCAGTTTACACGACGGCCGCCAGCCGAGATTAAAAGTCGTAGTGGCAGCAACTCCTCCCTAGCCCTGCCATGCAATTCGGCCCCAGCCGACGAGCAGTCACCGTGTCATGCTTTCCGTGAACCCAAGCCAGTACAGCGTACAAGTGTCATCAAACCCCCCATCATCGTGACCGCCAGTAAAAACACATATTAACGTCGCCAGCGCTGGCGACGGCTCTCGGCCCAACTCCTGACCAGATTCGCCCGACTGCGTAAATCGAAAAGTACTCCAAAAAAGGGGCCGAGGTGTTTCGCCATTAGTTGTGAATAGTATGACGTGGTTGTAATGATTTGCCTCGACAGTCGACAGCCCGAGAGCGGCTGCGTTGCCATTGTCGTCCCTTCCCCTCCGACGGCAGCACGCCTGTCCGCGAGAGACCGTGGGCTTCGGTCGGACGCTTAGGCCTTGCGAGAGCGGGTCGTGGCGCCGTTGGTCTTGGCTCCGGTGGTGCTCGCGCCGTTGCCGTTGGCAGTGCCGTTGGCGGCCGCCTGGATGTGGAGGGGGTCGGGGAGGGGAGCCTGGCTCATGCGGCGCAGCGACTTACGGGTGGTCGTTCCCTTGCCGCCCTTCTTGTACGTCGCAAAGTAGAACGAGATGAAGAGCACCAGGTAAGAGCTGAGGATGGCAATGCCAGAAAACGCGGCGAACTCCTCACCCGCGCACGTGCCGGCGTTGGGCATCCACTGGAAGTAGGTCGAGGTGAAGTACGTGTACGAGGCAAAGTAGACGAAGCCTGGATGCCGTCAGCAACCGCATTCGTGCGTGATCGCGCAGGGGAAACTCACCAAGATCAATGATGAACTGGATGATCTGGAGACGAGTGACCCACTCCTTCCACCAGATCTTGACGCCGCGCGCGCTCTGGAAGTAGTACCAGTACATGACCACGTGCACGGTCAGGTTGAGCGTGATGACGACCCAAGAGACGGCAGTCGAGCCAATGAGCTGGGTGTAGCAAAGCAGGGCGGTGGCACCATGGTGGTAGCAGTGGAGGAACGCTGCATGTCGTTAGTCAGATCCCGACCAATTGCTCTGCTGCTGTCAAGACTCACTCAGGGGCTTCTTCTTGAGGAACAGGAAGACAGTGTCGAGAAGCTCGAGGTACTTGGTCAGGTAGTTGAGCTGCGCACGTGCGTTAGTGACTGAGCCGTGCTCGCCATCGTATAGGGACACCCACGTAGTAGAGAACAACCAGGGGCTGGGTCCAACCGCCATTGTGGTCGCAGATCGCGTAAAAGATGCCATGGCGAACGACGGTGGGCAGGAGCTGCTCAATGAAGAGAGCCAGGAGGATGCCGCTGATGGCGGTGAGGTAGAAGTTGTGGATGAGGAACAGCGTCTTGAGCTTGAAGGGCTCGCGGTTGCGCATCAGCTCGCGGCCGCCGAGGATGACGATGTAGTAGACGACGATGAAGATGGCGCTCGACTTGAGGGTCGACAGGGGCGTCTCAAACGGCACAAACTTGAACTCATCGGTCGGGTAGCCGAGGACGGCGGTCCATGCCTTGTCGAAGATGGGCCACAGGTGGATGCCGAAGGGACGGTCGAGCGTCGGCAGCGGCAGCTGCTCGTAAAAGGAAGCCGGAGCGGACGACATGGCGGGCGGCTGTCAGGCGCGCGATTGCAGCGGTCGGGGTGATGCGAGTTTGATGGATCGCGGGTCGCAGCGACCGGTGAGGACACTCGTTGCCGTATTAGGTTTCGAGTGTAGGAGGAGGGGGGCGGCGTTGACGCGACGTAATCGACGCAGGCGCGCGACCAAAAACGAAGTATGGGGGTCTGGTTCAAGGAACGACGAGAAGAAAAGAGCAATCGCACACGGGGCAGCCTCCCTCGAGCCGAGCGCACGCACAAGATCGGGTTGTTGGGAGGTTGTTGAAGAGAGGGATGAAGGGAAGGGGAAGGGAAGAGGGCGAACGGGGGGGCGGACAAATTTTGGGATGGACGGGAAGTCTGCTGCTCGGGCGTGTCGGGGTCGCTGGGGCACGCGTCGAAAAGGGGAAATTTGGCGTGCCCAGCGCTTTTTTTCCCTTTCCAAGGCCTCATCATACCCCATTGGGGGGGTCGCCTCTGGGCCACTGGGCCTCTGTGCCACTGGACCTCTGGGGGGGCGCGGCGCCGCCGGCGCGGACGGGACGGGACTTGGCAAGAGCGACTTTGCGTCGCGGGGCTCGCATGTGATTCGCTGGGGTCGCCGGCGCGGCCAATCAGACGCCCGGACCCGGCGAGCTGGGTGGACGGCACGTGACCTCGTCGTGCCGCGAACGCTGACACGCGCGCCTGTAGTTGCCGTGGCTGCCAGATGCGGCGTCGGGCGGCGCTATCCAGATTGCCCTCCGCCCCGTGTGCCCAATCTCCGTGGCCCCGTCAGGATCAGGACTCAGGCATCCATCCAAGGCGCCGTGCCTGCGGTAGCGTACCCTACAGCTGCAGGGACCACGAGTCCGCGACGTTGCCTCGGCCTAGGTGCCGGCTGAGGGAGGCGGCTGCATTGCTGAGCTGAAAATGTTTAGAGCGTGGCAACGGGCAATTGATGCACGAAATGCTGCGGCGGTCAATTGCATGCATGCGATTTGTAGCGTTGCTACAAGGACTTTGTGAGGTTCGAAGGGATCAGCGGCTTCAACAATGGCAACTCAACGTCGAAGACCACACTCTGTCGCAGGCGCCGGCGCATCGGACATGCACGCCTCACTCGGATTACATCATGAATAGATGCAGCAAGAAAAATCACCATGGACACGTATAGAAAGGCGCATCGCAGAAATACCCGACTCCAATCCTCGACTTAAGCAGCCGCCGTTTTCATGATCACCAGCGTAGCGCAGCGCGTCGTTGTGACGCTCGCTGCTGCCGGCCGCCCGGCCCACTGCCGCGAGCACTCAATTGTCGCTGCCCAGGTTGGCTGCATTGGGGTGGAATGCGGCAGCGCTGATAGGCGCGGTCCCAGTGACGAATTGGAATCGGGCCCAAGCAAAGCTCCCCCAAGCAGCAGCCAGCACCGGCGGCAACGCTATCAGACGCGCCGTGTCCGAAACCAACCGCACGGTCCCATCTCCACCCATCCGCCGGCCTAGCAAGCTCCCCTCGCATCCAATTCACACTGTCCCTCGCTCCCTTGGCAGTCAGGCTACCGCCAGCTTAGTCATCGGCGATCAGACGATTCTTGCTTTCACAACACCTCTGCAACCCGTCACCGAAAAATACGATCACAGCACCTCAACTGCATCGCAGCCCATCCGTCACGCCGCGCCCGCCCCTCCGCATCTCCAACCACCAACAATGCCGTCCACGTCTCTCCTCCGCGTCGCCGTCCGCGGCTCCACCTCCTTCCTCCGCGCCTCCTCCGCCCGCCCCGCGCAGCCCCTGATGGCTCGCTCGGCCGCCGCCGCCGTTGTCGTCGCCCGCCCGGCCGCCTTCAGCACCTCGGTTGCCCGCCGCAGTGAGCACGCCGAGGAGACCTTCGAGGAGTTCTCCGCCAGGTGAGACCCGCGACGTTGCCCGCCGCGCGCCGACGCAATGGGCAGATATCCGGCGCACCCGACCTCGTTCTCGCCCCGAGATGCCGCGCCCGTACGGCCGGATGAGCAGTATATTGCTCCAGGTCGACTGGGCTGCCCGGGTGCTGCCCATTGGCGTCCCAAACGCCGCTTGCAGGACTCAATTGCTGACGGGATGTCGGGGACAGATTCGAGAAGGAGTTTGACAGCGTTCAGGACGTCTTCGAGCTCCAGGTGAGTCGCCCTGCTCGTCCCGGTTCCATCCGCGACAACAGCTGACCTTGACGACCCAAGCGCAACCTCAACAACGCCTTCGCCTACGACCTCGTCCCCTCTCCCACCGTCATCGCCGCCGCCCTCAAGGCCGCCCGGAGGGTCAACGACTTCGCCACCGCCGTCCGCATCTTCGAGGGTACGTTGTCGCGCCGCCGATTGATGCCGCCGACCCAACGCTTGGCCAGCTGCTAACCCACCCTCGCAGGCGTCAAGGCCAAGGTCGAGAACAAGGGCCAGTACGAGCAATACCTCCAGGAGCTCAAGCCTCTCCGGGAAGAGCTTGGCGTGCCGCTGAAGGAGGACCTGTACCCCGAGGAGAAATAAAGGGCAACCATAAAAGCGCCGGCGCTGCGGGGATGACGCCCGTCCCCCGGTGCACCGGTATGAATCTTGTACATGTTATACTGACGGAGGGTTTGGCTGAGCGGGGGATTAGACCGGAGGGCTCGTCTTGTTGACTTTGCTCAATGCAAACGTGTGTCATAGCACTAGGATATGCACGCCGCATCTCTTTGTGATCTGTCTTCTCTCTGCTAAACCGGTATCCGTGCCTGCACCTGTTTTAAAATCAAAGTCTGCTTCCACGCCAATGTCCACTCGAAATTTAGAGCAGCGACCACACAGGAATTGGTATAAGTCTAGAACACCCCACCGGGTCAGTCTGGTTGAGCAATACGAGATATCCGTCCTCCGCAGTCCTGCTCTCCAAAGTCAAGACCGCTGCCTCTCTAGTACCCGAGATAACCGCGTCCAAAAAACGCCTACCCATAGCCCAACGCCATATAATAGTGCCTAGTCGCGGAGATGATTCCCCCATCGCCCGTTGCCCTGCTGCTGCACGCTCATGTACTGCGTGCCGGGACCGTCAACGCCGGCGGCCGCCGGGCTGGTGCCCCTGCTAGCGGGACCGGCATACGCACGACCGGTGCGCGGGCTCATAATGCCCATCCGGGGACTGCGCGGCACGCTAGACTGGCGAGTCTCCCTTCGCCCGTTCTTGAGCTGCCGCACGTCGTCGCGGAGCGTGTCCAGCTCTCTCTCTCGATCCCTTAGCTGCTGCTTGAGGTGGCCAATGTGTCCCAAAAACTCTTTACTCTCGTGCTCGGTCTGCATCCGATGGACGCGTTCGAGGGTTGCCGTCTTCGCTTCGTCCAAGGCCCTATTCTGTTCCGTGAGCCGGCTGTTTTCGTTCCTAAGCTCAGCAGCCGCCGTGGACGCGTCCTGGTACAGGTTTCGGGCGTACGCGGCGTCGTTTTGTGCATTTTCCAGGCGCTTCTCGAGCGTATGGATCTTGCCTTGGGCTTCCTTGAGTTGCCGCTCTGACACGGCCAAGGGTGAGTCCTCACCAGAGGCCCCGGCAGTCAGACGCGCAATGTTCGCTTCTAGCTCCTCGATCTGTGCGCGAGCCTTGTCGCCCTCTTTCTGAGCCGCAGCCGTTGCTGCTTGCAGGGCAGCCTCGGCCTTGAGCTTCTCCTTCTCGAACAGGGTTCGGTCGCCTAAGGCTTCTCGATAGTTTTTGTAAATCTTACGGGACGTCCGTTCATGTTCTTTGACTCGCACGGACAGTCCCTCGATGACGCTTTTATACTCTTCCTCGGCATCCTTGGCCGCAAGCTTGCGCTCGAGCTCGGCGCGCTAGTATCGTTAGTATCGTGCGCGCAGTACCGTGAGGACACGTACCTGCTCAGCAAGGGCCTGCATGACGGCCAGGGACACTTTGACCTGCACCTGTGTCGATTTGATGGCCGTTGAGTTGGGGTCGACACTAGCAAGCAGGTCTCGGACTTCATCAGGGAGAGGCAGTTCATCATCCTTGATTGCCGGCTCCCTGCTTGGAAGAACGCGCATCCTTTTCGGTTCGTCATCGTCGGACTCGTCCTGCGTCTAAGTTAGCGACGTGGCGCGGTAATGGACACGTTCATGCTTACAAGCTTGCGCTTGCGTCCGTTGTCATCTGCCGCAGCTGCCGGAGGCATTTGCGAACGAGTCTGAGAATTCAAGTAAATGTCAAGGATGTCGTCTGGTATTGGGATAGGATCCCAGGCAACCCCGTCCACATCTCCGTTGAGGAATTGAACAAACAGGCTCGCGAGTTCGTGTGGCTCAGGGTAGCCTCTCTCAGGATCGCTCATCAATTTTCGGGCATGAACGATTGCGGCCAGCAACGCGTTCTTTCGCTCTAGGGGGCCCATGTCCGAGGGTACATGAAGGTCGATATGTTCAATCGAGTGAGTCGTGACCAGGATCAGCACCAGGGGGCCTTTGAGGCGCTCGTCCTCATCTGCCTCCAGGCCTTTCAACACCGGCGAGCTCGCAAACGTATGGTCGAATCCCACAACTACGTCAAAGGAAAAGCCGTTGACGTCTTCGTCGGACAACGCAAGTCTGACCGTAGCTGCCGATGCAGGGTGCCTGTCCATAATGCCCAGGGCGTCGCATACGCATTCGACGTCCAAGGCCTGCGTCAGAGCATGCAGAAGCCGGAGTAACTCGACGGAGCGAGCCACCACCAGTATCTTGACATCTTTCTGCAGCCCTTGCAAGAGCTCGTACAAAAAGTTGAACTTGGCATTCGCGTCGCATGAAAACTTGGCGAGCTGGGCAGGTGGCAAAGCTTCCAAAACCGTGCCCACCGCGTCCTGTGGATAGTCGCAGATGCCGAATAACCGCCCCAGGAGCTCATCAATCTTGCCGACCAAAGCTTCGCTGGGTGGCACATAGACTTCGTTGTTGAAGATTGTGCCAAACGCGGTGACCTCCCGCTTGTATTCCAGTAGAGTGTCATCGTACAACGGTCTCAGACTGGCTTGAAACGGGAGGGTGATGATGTGTTTTGGATCCTGCGGGCCCATGTCACTCTCGCTAGAACCACTGGAGGCTTGCTCGCTGAGAACCTGACCCATCTGTGGCGGTAGCTCCGAGCTTGCGCCTTCGAATAGATTCGATGACGGGGCTTCGTGAGCCGTGAGCGAGGGCATAAAAGGGAGCGCTGTGCCCTCCAACTCTGTATGCCTTGAAATGTCGGCGGGTGAGATGGTAGCCTGTTGGTGGTGCTGAGGCTCGTCTAGCATATGGGTTGCAGAGGGAGGTTGACTGGGAGTCGTCGAATAGGCCTCGTCGACCATGCGGTTCAGCAGGTCGACCGCTGAGGGCTGCGGTGGGCCAGAAACGGCGGGAGGCAAGTTGTCCGGCGGATGTTCAGGGGTCACTACCTCGTCAAGGTGAACTAATTGACTCAGGTCTTCCGCCGCGGAGCGGTGCGGCTCGGAGCCGTCGCCGTCGCCGTCGCCTTCCATGTCGTCGCTTTCCTTTGTGTCGACTGCTTTGCCTCCTTCAAAAGATTGGTATAGTGAGTCTACCAGCTCTTGAGCTAGGCTACCAGGTTCGTCGGAAGTTGCTTCAGACCGCTGAATGCTATGTGTGGTGAAGGGTTCCTCTTCTGAGCCAAAGTCGGGTTGATGTACAAGTTGAGCGTCTTGGGACACGGGCTCGGCGCTCCCTTTAGAGTCTGGCTCGGCGCTCGTGGCTGACCGACGGACGTCGGCTGGGATACGGCCCTCGAATGCCGGTGTCTGTTGGACTGCGCTGTGACCAGATGACAGTGGTCGTGGACTCTGTAGAGAGCTTTCCACAGCGGGGAAGGATCTGGCAGGTGGCTGGGTAAGAAATACAGAACTCGCCTGAGACTCGACTGCCGCCTCGCTCTCAAAATGCGGTACTGAAGCGGAGTCTTCTTGTCGCTCGCTCGGCTGGTCGTCTGGTTGGGGATCAAAGACGGCCGGGGAAGGCCCCTGACTCTCGGCCGGGAATGATTGCGACTCGGGCTGTCGCGACGGGATCTCCGACGGAATCGACTGACTCTGTGAGTTGAGTCCTAGAGCACCCCCGGTTGACGCCAAGGCTTGCGAGGCTGCGGCCTCGTTGCTTCCCTGTAGCCAAGAGCTCTCGCCAGAGGGATCCTGCGAGTCAGGTACAGTCGTTCGCACGGTAAGTTGAGAGTTGATGGCGTGCCTTTCGTCTTCAGCTTCCAAGTCGGCCAATGGCTGTGAAGTGCCTCCGCTGTCTTGGGTGTTGGGAACGCTCTGGCTTTCGTACTCGGCTGGGTCAAATGAGGGGCGCTTATGGCCTAATTCGACATAGAAAGTAGGAGCCTGAGCTCGCGCGATATCCAATTCTGGGCTCTCGAACGTTTCGCAGGAGGCAACCGACGCACGGGAAGTGATGGAAGGTGGCTCCTCAGAGGGAGTAAGGCTGTAGTCGACTCTGCGGATCTTGCGCGGCCTCTCGCTTGGCTCTGGGCTGACGGATCTTTGCCTAGATGACGCTGCGCGGGTTGCTTCGAGCTTCCTCCAGTTGGATGGGCGGGGAGGCTGGCTGTCCTGGCTGCTATCCCGGTCTGCCGGAGGTGAGTGGCTCTCCTGCTCCGCCGACGGCAAAGGACTCTCCCGCTCCGCCGATGGCAAGGGACTCTCCCGCTCCGCCGATGGCAGAGGGTTCTCCTGCTGCGGTGCCGGTAGACTCTCGCCCTCGTCCTCAGACTCAAGAGGCTTCTCCTTTTCTAGCAGGATCCTTTCCTCTGCTTCCTTCTCGCCGTGCAATGCTTTGAGCGCCTCCCACTCGGAGAGGGCCTCTGGTGTGACTTCAAAGCTCTGTGAGAGATAGGTTAGCTACGACGCGCGCGACGGGGTAATTGACGGGCATGCGTACCCAGCTAGCGGGATACTTTTCGCCCGTCTCTGGGTTATCGTCCCATTCCACCAGGTACTCTACGCGGCGGCGGTTGCCCTGTCGCTCGTCAACGATGCCTTTGATCGTGTACCAGCCGCCGTCGTCGTCGGGGTGCACGTCCTGCTTCTGGCTCTTCTTGGATCTCGTCTTTCGTCCTGCCGGGGCCTTCTTGCGTGATCTGGGCATTGACTCTGCGTGTCGGCGACGCTCGGACGATGCGCGGGAGCTGTGCGCGCCGACGTTTGGGTATGGGCTGCGCTCGCGACGGGAGCTGGGGCCGACGTGTGGTCAGTCGCAGCCGCGGTCGGGGCGGGATGTAAGCCAGGCGATGCCGGGGCGACGACGATGGAGCGGGCGAGGCTGCGAGTCGAGCTTCTGGCTGCCCCACGCGGGCGTCGTGCTGCTGGAGCTGGCGGCGGCGCGGCAATCACGTGCTGTCTGGGCACCTCGACACTGGCGCTGGCGCTGTCACTGTGGCTCCCGCTGCGGGCCAACGAGCTCGGCGACATGGGGCGGTTGAAGAGCCCCGGGCGTGTGCTGGCTTCGGCGCGGCAAGGGCTGCGAAATGCAAGACGGCGAGGTTGCAGAGATCAAAGGCGACGGGCCAAGTTGTCCGGCGGAGGGGTGCGAATGAATTTGGGAGAAGTGGAAGAAAGCTGTTGAGAAGAGGGCAGAAGGGGGCAATCACTCGTGGCTCTTGCCAGTGACTAGAGCTCCCAACCTACCCAAGGTTGCCCGGGCGTGCCCTGCTCTCCCTCCCTCCAGGCTCTCAGCAGCTCTGGTCACCACCCGTCACAAAGGGCCCTGGACACAGCGCACATAGGTGTGTTTGCTGGTGGCACCCGTTAGCGCCCGTCCCCGGCTGTTTGTGCGACGGGCGGCGCTGGAGAGATCCATGGATCTGGCGCTGAAGGCGGGGGTGCTCAGGCATCGCTCTCTTTGGGTGTGCAACCCACCTCGCCCTGCTCCCATGCAGTTCTACAAGTGATCAGTGTCTCTCAGTCGATTATCTCGTCGCTGCGTTGTTTACAGGCCACCGCTTTCAACCCGGGTTGCTGCAGCCCGGGTTACAGGTCGCCGCTCAGACGCAAGCCACACCATGGGCAAGCTTTCGTCGAATCCAACATACGAAGTACTAGGTAGGTGATGCATGTCTCGAGGTCGTTCGCACCTGTCATCTAAGGCACTTTATGATGGGTGGCGATGGCTCCCGTCTGCCATGGAAGTTGTCGCCCACGGGGTTCAACGGTCCGGCCACGTCTGGCCCCGTGACTACTAGGTACGCAAGGGAGAGGATTTAATGCTTCATGTAGCGATAGCGAAGCAAATTTTCTCTCCTGCAGGCAGTCTTGAAGATGTTAGCTGGAAGGGCGGCTGCGAGTGGCCAACCTGCCTCATGTTGCTGGCCCTCGAGGGGCGGGTCACGTTTCACGCGCTTGCCAGTTCTCAGCTGAGGACCAAGACGCAATTTTCATGCTTGATGTTGACCAACCGCACCATGATACAAAATGTGCGAAGTAAATCTGCTTCAATCGAGCTCGTCGATCGGTGATTCTGTTGCTGGCTGGCCGTTGTCGCGCGAGCACTCTGTGAAACTCTGCGTGGTCTTAGTCTGCGCCGGTTCGGGTGTAGCAGCACAGCTTCTGGGCGGCGTTGGAGGTTCCTGCTTCCATGCTTCGTATCCACTACCTAGCCCATTCAACGACCTTCAACACCACGCGACCACCAACGCCAACGGCAGCTCTCACTTCCACGCCACGACGTCACTAGCCCAACCGCTTCACCTCCATTCATTTTCATCGAGCAGAGACTAGTACGCGAACCGATCGCATCGCTAACTTTCCTCCGCCGCCCGCAAGCCCGGGCCTCGCTTCCGGTGCAGGCCCTCCCTGCGGGCACTCGCCCTTCACCATGGCCGCAAACTTCTCGATACAGCCCGTGGGCCGCTTCGCCGGTCCCAGCCAGCCCGTCAAGAGACCCAAGGTCAGCCGCGCAGAGCCTCATCTCGCCCCACCTCTCCGAGGGAGAAAACCAAACGGACACGCTCCCGCTGACGACGCCCCCCCTTCGGCAGGAGTTCGCCTGCTTCTCGTACGACGAGAATCATGAGTTCCACCTCGGTGACCGCTCCCTGAAGTGGTACTACACACCTAGGCTGGGCGCCGACCTGTCCAAGGGCTTTGACTCGTTCCAGAAGCACGATGACTCGCGGGACGAGCACCTGGACAGCCTGCTCAAGACCATTGTCGCTCACGAGCAGGAGACGGGGCAGAAGATTGACGCCAACGTCGTCACTTGGCGCGGGATGGTGACCAAGGTATGTGTTGTTGACCAACGCCGTCGCAACTCACGAGCCGCACGAGCCGCGTCCATGTCTGACAATGGTGGAAACCCCTCCTGCAGATATTAGCGACTCCGTTTGAGCAGAATGATGGGTACTGAAGAATACCGCGTGCCGCCCCCGGATCTCCTCTGACTGGCTGTAGATTTGAAATGAACGCCACGCTGTACCAGGTGAGTACCGCTTCCTCCCCATCAACGAGACGTTGGGCACCCTGCTAACGCACAGACAGGGTTGCATGTAGGATTGGGCCCGGCTCTGTGAACGGGCGAGAGCATGTTACTGACCATTTCAGCTTCATCGAGGAGAGCCACGAGCACAAGATGGCCATGCGGAGGCAAGAGGCTCAGCGGCCACCCCGACGAGGGGGTCCGCCGCAAGAGGTGATGCAGTTCTGGGGTGCGTTCCCCTGCCTTGCCATTTGTGAGAAGCTCGCCATCTCACATTCTTGCCAGGCTACAAGTTCGAGACGCTCTCCACCCTGCCCGCGACTTGGGACGAGACGTCTCGCGACTACATCGAGAGCCGGGAGGACCATGTCGTCAACAACAAGGAGCAGTACTGCTCCGTCGTCCGCACCGGGATCGGCAAGGCCGTCCTCTGCCTCGGCGGCGAAGTCGATGCCAGTACGCCCTCCCCCAACCCACTCCACCCCTGCCCCCCTCGTCCCGCCTGGGAACCCCATGCTCACACGCAGTGACAGTCTGGGACTCCAAGCCCCAGGAGCCCGGCGCCCCGATCAACTGGGTCGAGCTCAAGACATCGGCCGAGATCCGCAACCCTGGCGACCTGGACAACTTCCACCGCAAGCTCATGAAGTACTGGATCCAGTCCTTCCTCCTCGGCGTCCCCAAGATCATCGTCGGCTTCCGCACCCGCGACGGCGTCCTCGTCGACATCAACGAGATTGAGACGCACCGCATCCCCGACACGGTCAAGGCGCGGCCCAACCCTCGCTGGGACGGCAACATGTGCGTCAACTTTGCCGCCGCATTTCTCGACTGTTCGTTTCCCCCGCTCCCCTGGCCTTTGCTCGCCGCGTACTGACTGTGGGTGCAGGGCTGATGAGGACCATCAACGACGAGGGCGTGTGGAGGATACGCAGGCGGCCGCACTCGCCCACCATCGAGGTCTTCAGGGTAGAGGAGACGGGTCATGGGGACATTTTGACAGACGAGTTCAAAAACTGGCGGATCAAGCTGGCCCTGGGCCCGAGCCCAGGAGACTGAGCGACCAAGGGGCATCGGCTGGCACGTCGTGTATTATACTTGTATACCCACACCTTCACAGATCCGGATCGCAGGACACGAGCTTCTGCCTCTATGAGATCTTCCTTATTTCACAAAGTGATCGTACACTACCTACGTCCAAAACCTGCGCAATGAAAGCCTAAAGCCCAGAACCCATGATTCCCCAACGCCGTCGCCCGCGGAAAGCAAAGACCAGGACCCCAACAGACCCGAAACCTCATAAACAGGGCAGGCCCGCAAAGGGGTTGCCATGAGAGCAACAACCGAATGCCTGTCATGCTTTTCCAATGCCGGGGTATGCAAATACATGCTCGCTCCGCACACAAGATCGTACAGTCCATTCAGGGTATTGTCGGAAACAGACAGCAACAAAGAAAGAAAATGCTGAATGACGCCGACGCCATTCAACTCGGATTACATCACAGCACGGCGCTGTAGTATATCAAACAGCGGGCCAGCGAATGCGGAGGTTGTCCGTCCAGCGCTGGTAGAGCACGTCGGACAGCTGCTTGCAGTGCTCCATGCCGACACGCGCGTCGCAACCAGGGTACTTTTCCTCGAGGAGCGACTGCTTCTCCCTCTCGAAATCCTTCTCGCTGAGTTTGAGGGGGGACGTCTCCGTCTGTCGTCGGCGGTGGCTCCGTAGGTGAGGGTTATTCGACGCCAGGACCAGCTTGTTGGGGCTGCCGGCAGAGGGCGTTGAGCTCTTAATAATGACGGTCCCCTGCGGCGTCCCGTCATCAGGCACCTTTTGCAGAGGCTGCCGAAGCAGGGCTGCGTTGAGCTTCTTGTCCTGTGACATGGACGCCACGAGACTGCTCATCAAATGATACGCGCCTTCGGGGTCGACCGCGTCAAGGGTCGCGAATGCATCGGAGAGCTTGGCCAGGGCTTCTCGCTTCTGCATGGCCGAAGTCTGAGCATGCAGCTCGGCCAAGGTAGGTTCCACGGCCTTGTTGTAAAGCCTGCGCCCGAGAACGGCCTCTTTGCCATACGGTTCTATCGGGGCCGCAATCGGAGGCGGCAAGTTCTCATCGCAAAAGACATCGTCAGGTGATGTGGGACGGCCCGATTGCCCTGATGTCGAGCTATCGGACGGCACTCTCCGGAATAGTCGCATGGTCGATCCGGAATTGCCAAAGGACATGTCGGGCTGTAGCGGTTTCTTAGCGGCCAGAGACGGACGAGGCGATCCATTGGAGCGAATTGATGAGGTGCGGGCGATGGAGGGTGTACGGCGCACCGTCGACTTTCGAACAGTGTCGGGTAAAGGAGATGGAGCACCGAGCGGACCTTCGCTGACGTCCAGCCTTCGGAGGCCATCTTCCAAGCCCAGCATGGAGGACCTCTTTCTATGCTTGATGGTCGGCCTCCTGGGCGGGGCCACCGATTTGACCGTGTCAAACACCCACTCTTGGTCGTCGTCCTTTGGCGCCATCGACTGCAGCGTCTCCTGATAGTAGATCGGATGCCTCTGGCGATTTTGGTTGGCGTCCCACATCTGGCGCCGGGCGATGAGCTCCTGCAGAGCCTCGACCTTGCCGGCGGAGCGGATGAAGCGATGCTTGAGGAGATCCTGGGCGGACGGCCTGCGTTCGTAGTCCTTTGTGAGACACTGGGAGACAAAGTCCTTGAAGTCCCGGCTGAAATCTCCCTCGAGCTTGGGCGGCGAGTTCTTGGGGATGTGGAAGAGAACCTTCATGGGGTGGATGTGGCACAGCGGAGGCTCGCCGTTGGCCATTTCCATGGCGGTAATGCCCAGCGACCAGATGTCGGCCTTGAAGCTGTAGCCATCCTGCTGGATGACTTCCGGGGCCATCCAGAAAGGTGTGCCGACAAAGGTGTTGCGCTGGGACTTGATGTTTGTCAACTGGGCGGCGACGCCAAAGTCGGCGAGCTTGACCTTGCCGGTCTCGGAGAGCAAGACGTTGGCGGCCTTGATGTCGCGGTGGATCTTGCCTTCGCTGTGGAGGTATTGGATGCCCAGGAGCAGCTCGCGGCAGACAATGGCAATGTGCGTCTCGCTGAAATTTGCCGGTTTGAGCTGCCATGTGTCAGTTTCAGTCTGCGAGGGGCATCTCGAGGGAGAAGGCGACGAACCAGGTCAAGGCATGAGCCGCCTCCCAGATACTCCATGACAATCCATAGCTTGTGCCCTCGCAGAAAGGAGCCCTTGTACTGAGTGACAAAGGGGCTCGCGCATGTGCTGAGCACGGCGATCTCGGCCTGGATCTCCTCGATGTCGTCTTCGCTCGATTCCAGGTCGATCTGCGACGGGAACTGTTAGAAGATGGGATACGGGACGGGGATGGGCGTAGGGTAAAGCATACGTGCTTGATGGCTACTGTCTCGCCTGTGGCCTTTTCGATGCCCTTGTACACGACTCCGAAGCTGCCTCCTGCGTGGCGTTAGCGATTGCTGTCTCGAGACCGTGGTGTTTGGAGAGGAGACGCACGTCCAAGCTCCTCCAACACCTGGTAGTGCTCGGCGACACCCTCGACGGCCATTGTGTCTGCGCGCAGCGTCCGCGGACAGCTTGAGGTGCGCTGCTTGCGATTGCGTTGCGTTGCGTTGCGTAGAGATGCAATGGGAGGCGGGACGGCGGGACCTGAGCACGTGGTGTCTGTCGCTGTCGCTGTCGCTGCCTCACGCTGCAGCACCGGGACGTCGAGACGGAGGCTTGTCGGGACGAGGGAGCCCAATGTCGAAACCCAAGCGAGGGCGGTCGTCAGATTATTATTTGGGTCGCACAGTCAATTCACTCTCTGACCGCAACCCGGCGCAGCTCGCAGCCCGGGGTCCTTGGTTTAATGAGCCCCGTTGTCTGGGACAGCGGAGCTGGGGGGGAGCTCGGACCCAGGCTTGTTTACTGTATTCCGCTTTGGGATAGCTGTGAGGAGCCGGGGCAGCTGGCCGTCGGGGGCCTGATGGAGCGCAACGACTGGGATAGCGATGCCGTCGAGAAGAGTCGTGGATTCGGGCCTTGCATGGTGATGCAGCGGATTGCGATGGTGTTGCGGCGTAAAGGGGGAAAGAGCAAGACGACGAGAGGTGCATCGTCTGCCTACATATCATGCGCCGGGTGCTGCGTGCCTCCCGCCCACCACATCGCCAGAGCTTTGGTGCCCGGCCGCCCACACTGATCAGATCGGCTGTTGGTGCTGTGCGGGTGATGCGGCTCGCTGGAATTTGCGATGACGGGTGTGCGCCGCCAACGCTGGACGCCGGTTGGTCCGTTGCGGCACAGCGCACGCCAGCCGTCGCCATGGCGGCCCCGGGGTGAGGTGGTGGGACGGGCAGCATGGGCAGCAGCTATGGGCCTCTGGCGTGCGCTAAAAGCGATTGATCACTGAGGCGAGCTGGCGAGGTGTGGTGCGCCCGACGCTGGTTGGTAGGGCTCCCCGGCGGTAAAGCCAACCTAAAGTGACGGGCTCCAGCGGGCCCCTGGGCGGGCTGTGGGGGGGTTAGGTAGGTTCAGGTTCTGGGCTGAAGCTGGCGGTCTCAGCGTGGCAGGCGTGGGCGCCCATCACGCGTCGCCTGGGGCATCGGCGGGCCGCTAAAACCCAGCGGTAAGCAGCCGTTTGGGGCGCCCCTTCACTGGCTAGCGGCGCCGTTGTCGTGGCAACAACAGATCCGATGCCCCTCTGTTGTTTAAGCTCCCCTGCCTGGTCTGGCAGCCAAGGCCAATCCCGGCCAAGGCTCCCACTCCCATTCCCATTCCCACTCCCACTGCCACTCCCACGCCCCGGCACTCGTACTCTGGCGGAGAGGCTGCGACGAGGCGAGAAACAGGCGGTGTTGTCACCGTCATCCCGCCCGTCGAGACATTGTGCTTCTTGGATCATTCATTCCCCGTCGCTCGCTCACCGTCTTTGTTGGCCCACGCGAGAGGGCGTCTCCCTTCAGACCACCCGCCGCCTTCCCGTCATGCTGTCTTGACATCCACGCCAGCTTCACCACCCGCCAGACAGCCCGCGTCCATGCCGCACCCGCAGACTGCCCTCCGCGCCATCTCACCGACACCTTGCTTTCGAACCGGCGCGTCCCTGCAAGCTCTGGCTGCGCCGTCGGCAGCGTCAACACGAACAGACGCATCTGCTGCGCGATACAAGCCCGCCACAACGCATCCGCGACGCAGCAAGCACCAACCTTAATCGCACGCGACCGCGCAAGCAGCCGTCATGGTGCCTGCGCCGTCGCCGCTACCCATGCGGTTCCCGTGTTGGTGCCGGGCCGTGTATTCCTGGGGAGGCGAGGTAAGCAAGACTGATCATCGCATGGCAACGCATGGCAAAGCATGCATCCTCCCGCGAGCACAGATCGCTGACCGCACCTCACAGTCCAAACGCGATCTCGGCTTTATCGAAGGAGATCTGATCGAGTGCCTGAATGCCGGTGACGGCTCGTGGTGGGTTGGTCGTCTCTACCGGGATCGCAGAACAGTTGGCTCCTTTCCCTCCAATTTCGTCGAGGTGCTCCCTGACGAGTTCCGCCCGACAACGCGGTCCGTGAGCCCGCTCCCGGGAAGCAACACGCCCAGTCCCAAAAACATGCCTGGCAAGTCCAAGACGTTTCGCAAGCCCTTCGAGGCGTACGCCAAGGCTCCTCACTACACCACAGCTAAGCAGCCGACGACGTTCAAGGACCCCCAGCTGTCGGCAAAGCCGTCGCTGGCGAAGCCACCGTCCAGAGAAAACTCCAACACATCACCCGCCAGGAGTGTCCATGAGGGAATCGGCCGCGTGCCGTCCCCTCCTGAGACGCGCGGCTATGGTTCCAGAGCGCCATCGCCCGCGCCGTCAATGCACCGCGCTCCCAGTCACAGGGCGCCGTCAGAACGAGCAGACTCTCCGCCTCCGCCGCCTCCGCCGCCTCATCGCCATGTTGCCCGGAACAGGTCCCACGACATGCACCAGAGCAGCCAGCCTGACCTTTCCCGCCAGGGCTCTACAGCATCCTACATTCCCTACCGCCCCGGATCGCAGCTCTCTTTCCACGAGCCTCATGATCTGTCTCGCCAACCTTCCTACATGACCAACGACGATCGGTCCTTGGACCATCGCCCACGCACACCCCGGGCCGTGTCGCCCCGGCCGCCTTCTCCAGATGAGATGCATATGACGCCCTCGCCATTGCGAGAGGCAATGGACGGGGTCATGGAGCAGCTGGATCAGCTTGAAGGTCTTGGGAGCTCTTGGGAACCAGAGCCTCTGGGCCCGCCCGCTGATCCTTGGGCTCCCGAGTCGTTCGGCATGGCTTCCCCGTTGTCCCCCCGGTCCAAGCGCAGGGGAGGTGACAGCGCCCGACCACTTACCTCGACGGGTATCGCGCATCACGATGAAGGCTACGAGACCTGGAGCGGCGGCTCCTCCCAGAACACGTCGTATCAGGGCCGCCAAAGGGGCAACACCAACGACCTGCCACAGCTGAGTAACTACGTGGAGCGGATGGAGAAGCAGTTTCAGACATTACACCAGCACAGCGTGAGCATGCCTGAAGCTGCTCTTGAGGACATGCCACCGCCACCGCCACCCAAAGGCCATCCCTACGATCGGCCAAAGTCGTCTTGCGGTGAACAGAACAATGCTGAGCGCAAGCTGCGAAGCCGCAAGTCGGCCTACGAGATTGGCCAAGGGGTCAGTCGAACGTATACCACCAAAACCAATGCAACCAATTCGTCGGCCGGTAATCAAAGCAATGCCAGCGGCTCCACTCAAAGCAGCAGTAGGACGCTTTGGAGTGGCATCTCGGCGGGAGGCTTCAGCTCGACCAGCGCAGGTAGCATGGCTCGCGCCCATCACCAGCGCGCCCAGAGTGCGTTGGGCTCACGCGAGGCCGACATCCTCGAGCGACCCGAGACGCCATTCTCTGGTGTCACCTATCATAGCAGTCATGCTAGCAACGCAGTGGCACAGCGCCCTCAGTCTCAAGCGGGTTTCCACGAGGACCTCAACGCAGGACTGGGGGGCCTTGTGCATCCAAAGGCGCCCAAGCGCAACATCTTCAAGAAGATATTCGAATCTGCCAAGACTGGGGTTGCTAGCAACCGCAACAGTATCGCCGTCGGATCCGGCTCGGGCCTCGCCTCGGTGAGATCGTCTCCCTTTAATCGGTCTACCGGGCACAGCTCTACCAACCTGTCATCTGGCATGGCGGCCATCAGCGGCCCTCCCGTCGCCGGCCGTGACTCGGCACGCGAGATGGGCCTAGGTGGCGGCGTCGACTGGGTACAGGTGAGACGTGATGTGAACCGCTCCAACTCGCTCAGCAAGATTGAGCGGAGCGAACGCAGGGACCGCTGCCAGATGATGGATCACCCGGCACTGAACCCGGTCGATGAGCTGTACGAAAGCATTGAGGGTGACGAGGGCGCAAATGGGATGCCGGTGGCGGATCCGATCAACTACCAGGCCATTAACCTCAGCCAGGTTGATAAGAATTCGCGCTTCATCGGCGAGCCTCCGCCTATGACGACCGCCATCACCTTGGCAACGACATATGTCTGTCGGCCGTATCGCAGCGACGTACAGCGGCTCCGGGCCATTTTCACCTGGGTCGCTGAGAAGATATGCTGGGAAGAAGACTTCGAAGGCGAGATCGACACGCGCCGCGTGATCCAGAGCAAGCGCGGCTGCGCGGAAGAGTATGCCGTGCTGGTCATGGAGATGTGCGCCGCAGCCGGGCTGAGATGCGAGATTGTACGCGGCTACCTCAAGACGCCCGGCGATGTGACGGACCTGAACGTGGTACCCCGTTCGAACCACTGGTGGAACGCCGTCGTTGTCGACGACGAGTGGCGCATCATGGACTGCTGCTTGGCAAGCCCGTCGAACCCTAAAAGAGCCCGCTACTCGAGCGTCAGCGGCAATACGGCCGACTTCTGGTGGTTCCTGGCTCGGCCAACGGAAGCGTGCTGGACGCACGTGCCCGAACACCACGATCAGCAACACGTCGTGCCGCCCGTGGCCCATGAGATCCTTCTCAACCTGCCGTGCACCTGTCCGTCGTTTTTCCGCAACGAGATCGAGATGGTCGACTATAACACCTCTGCGACGAGGATCGAGGATCTCGAGATGGTGCACATCAAGTTCAACGTGCCGGCCGACGTCGAGATTGCGGCCGAAGTCGAGGCTCGAGGCTTTGCCAAGGACACAGACGGAGACGTGTTTGAGAACGGCGACTTGGTCAAGAAGAGGGCACTGGCGCAGGCGGAGTGGTTCAACGGCGCAAAGCGATACACGGTCAAGGCGCTGCTGCCGGGTGACGAGGGTCATGGCACGCTCAAGATTTACGCAGGCAAGAGGGGCCTGATGCACAGCATCAAGGATATTCCTCACCCGCTCGCGTTTGCCATCCCCATCATCCACTCGGGCGAGAACCCGCCGTACGAGTTTGTTACGCGACATCCGACACCGCACGCGCAGCGGCACGACATCTACGTGGTTCAGCCTCAGTGCCAGCGATTGGCCCTGAACAATACCTTTGTGTTTGCCATCCGGCAGCACCCCAGCTCGCTGTCGAGCGGCGGACTTCACTCAGCCCTGACGCCGGCGTCGAACCCGGGAGCGACGAGCCCCGTGCCGTTCGCGCGACCCAGCTCGGCCATGAGCATCACGGCGTCGAGTGTGAGCGGGTCGAACCCGAGCTCGGCGAGCGGCACCGTCGCAGGCAAGAAGCCGGCGAAGCTGGCGATCCAGACGCCAGGCGGCAAGATCCTCCGTCTTATGCGGAAGGAGGAGCGGCGCGGCATCGGCGTCGGAGGCAAGCTGGCGCTGACGGACGAGGACGCCAGCGACGGCGGCACATGGGAGACGATTATCAAGTGTTCGGAGAGGGGACTGTGGCGGGGCCTGGTCCTGGCGGACCGCACTGCGCGATGGTGCGTGTTTGCCGAGTGGGTGTGTGTAGGTTGAGGGAGGCGTTGAGGGAGGCGTTGACGGCATGGCATGACATGGCATGGCATTCCACTGGTGGGTTGGACACGGCCTGGATAGAGGATTGCGGTTCGGACCAGGCGTTGTATCAAGGACAATGCATGGATGCTTGCCCGGAGCATGTTTGGCGTTGGGGATCATGATGTTTGGCTGCAAGTACGGACCGTCTTGCTCGCAATGTATTTGGTGTAGGTGTATGGATGTAGGAGTACAGGTATAAAAATGTACTACACGCTGCCTGTACGGAGGCGCGGACTTGTATGAGCGGCGCGGGGTTTTTGATCCATTTGTTGACCGCCTTGCCGTGATTTGAAGTTGAGGTACTGGGAGTCTTTGTGTCTTGCCAGTTTCAGTTCAGAGGGTACATAGTAGGCGTAAAACAACTGGGAGCGTGTAGTGAGGTTCACCGCAAAGCAGGTTTGGGAAATGCTGGCGTTTTACGCTGGCCTTGCAGCGACAGATCCATGGATTCTTGGACTGGGCCTGGAGGGGGAGCCCGCAGGGCACGCTCCAGTGGATCGTCAGCCATGTGACGCCCTGGCACAGCGGGCGTGGCTGCAGCATAACACCCGCCCGCTGCTGGGCCTCTCCACACAACCTGGAACCCACCTAGGGAGGCGCGCGCCCGCGCAGCAAATCCCGCCCAGTGGCCGCCAATCCATCCACCTCTGGGATGGGGGATGTGGACGAATAAACTAAACCCAACTGGGAAAACGGACTGCCCGCCGAACGAACATCGAACCGCCCGTCTTCCGTCCACCTTCGACTTGGTCTCCTCGACTACCCTACCTTCGCTCTTGCGACGAACTCGACTCGACTCGACCTCAGACCGCGGCTCGACACGATACGACGAGACACGACACGACAGCCACTTCCAACCCCGGCGCCGCACGGACACGGCCAATTCGCCGAGACGCAAGACGCGCGAGAGTCCCGAGCAGCGTCTTCCCTCTGAAACCCTTCCCTCTCTTCCGGACAGACGGGGACCGCCACGCGCGAGCGCACGCACCGACGACCGACGACGCCGGACGCGCGATGGAAGCATGATCGACCGCCGGCCGCGACATCTCGATCCCCTCACGTAGCAGCAGCAGCCGCAGCAGCAGCGCCGCCGCCGCCGAGCACCGCCGTCGCGTCTCCCTCTCCGGTCGGACCGTCGTCTGATGCCGAGACGGTGACATGGAGTACCGAGGCTCGCTGCCCTCGGGGCAGGCCGCCGCCTTCTCGGGGCAGCCACAGGACGCTCACCTGTACGCGCCCCAGGCCGGCTATCATCACCAGCAGCACCAGCACCAGCACCAGCAGCACGTCCATCCGTCGCAGCAGCAGAGCCCCCAGCAGAGCCATCATCATGTGCAGCAGCAGCAGCATCACCAAGGTCTCTACGCGAGCAATGGTGCGGGCGCTGCGGCGATGCCGGGGCAGTTCTACGGCGGAGGACAGCCGATGCAGCAGCCCCAGCAGCCCCAGCCGCAGCATCACCATCAGCAGCAGCAGTTCCTCAACCACCACCCCAACCAGCAGTACCCCATGTCGCCGCAACAGCCACAGCACCACCAACACCAACAACAACAGCAGCAACGGCAGCACCAGTTTGATCAGCAGCGACAGCAACAGATGGCGGCGCGGTACGGCGTGGGCTTGAACGGCTACCAGGTCTTCGACGCGGGCGGCGCGACCTTTGCGCCCATGGAGATGCAGCAGCAGTATCCCAAGCAGCAGATGATTGCGCCGCAGCAGCAGATGCAGCACCAGAGGATGCAGATGAGCCAGCAAATGAGCCAAGTCGCCCATCATCGACACCAAACTTCGAGTCCTTTCATGCCATCCCCGATCATGGGGATGTCGCAGCAGCACTTGCAGTCGCCTGTGTCACGACCCCTGTCCGGGCCGCAACTGCAGCAGCAGCAACAACAGCAGCAACAGCAGCAGATGCACGCCCAGCAACAAATGTTTGGCAGCCCTGTAGCCTCGCCCCAGATTCACCACCAGGCTTCACCCCAGCCTCGTCCCTCCTCGACACGACCTCTGCACCAGCAGCCGCCACGACCACGACAGCCATCCACACCGCGCGCCCAATATCAATCGCCGACGCCTCAACCACAAATCCCACAGCAAACACCGCCTCCGCCTCCACCACAACAACTGCAGCAACAACAGCAGCCACCCACGCCGCAGCCGATCTCGCAGGCGCAAACACCCGTGCCCGAGCCGCAACCGCCGATACAAGAACTCGAGCAAACAATACCGCAAGAGCCGTTGCCTCCGCCGCCGCCACCCGCGCAAGAGGAGATTCATTTCGTGAACCCGTTAGACATCCTCCAGGCACCCCCTCCTCCGCTTCCGCCGCCGATACCCATGGGCAGCGCGCAAAGCTCATCCTCCAAGACTCCAGCGCCGGCGGCGCCCGAGCAACCGGCGCCCGAGCAGCCAAAGCAGAATGACACTATCCAGGACACCATCCATGTAAAACCTCCTATACCAGGCACGATCAAACCATCGCCTGTGCAAACACCCACAACAGCCAAGCCTCGCCCTAGGAAGGAGACGAAAGTTGAACCGCCGAGGATCAAGTCGAGCCCGCACTCTTCCGTCTCCAACTCTCCTGCTCTGTCTACAAGGTCGCCCAGCATCACCAAGAAGTCACCTGCGATTCCCCCGAAGCCGCGGCCTGTCAACACAGGCCCGATCATGGTGGCTATCGCAGAGGAATGCCTCGACAAGGCACGCGCCTCAGTGCACGATGTTGCCATGTCTCTGCATCCGAAGAGGGTCGACGAGTATCAGAAGCTCATCGCCACAAGCCTCTCATGTCTGGAGGCCACCCTGCAAAACAGCCGGTTATCACCTCGAGAAGAGGCGCGCTTGAGGTTGCGGTACGCCGCAACCATGCAAGAGGAGACGGACAACATCATGGAGGCAGAGACGGCGCTGGGCAAGGGTATCACCATCTGTGACAAGGTATGTCTTGACTATTAACCGCTTCGACCAAGCCGCATGTTCTGACATGACCAGCACCGCTTGATCGACCTCAAATACTGCATGCAGTACTTGATGCTCAAGGTACTCTTCCAACGCAACAACAAGGCAGCGCTCAAAGCCGTCGACGGCGACATCTCGGACTGCGAAGCGTAAGTCTCAGTACTGTCTAGATCTGGGGGACATTGCTAACGCCAGCTCAGATTCAAGCACGTACAATGGTACTACGCCTTCCGCTTACTCAAGGCCACCTTCTACCTGGAAATGGGCAGCGCCTCCGATGCCGGCGCCCTGGAGAACATCCGCTCGCTGCAGAACATCGCCAACACGCGCGGCGACAATGCATTGAGTGTCCTCTCGTCGGTTCTGGAAGGCCTTACCCTTCTCAAGACATCCAAGGACGGCGGCATCGAGCGGGTGCAGGCGTGCATCGCGCAGGCGGCCAAGTTCCAGTTCGATCCGACGGTCAAGATAATGCAGCTCGACATGCTCACGCTGCTTCTCGACTTTGCGTCCAGCCTGCACCGGCAGAGCCCCGACACGACGGCCCAGAAGCTGCGGCTTCTACAGAAGAGGCTCGACGAGTGCGAGGACTGGCACAATGTCAAGTCGGAGTTCCTCGTGCCCATCAAGAAGCAGCCGACCAATGCGCGAACCGTGAGCGAGGATACGGCGGCGATTGTGCGGGCTGGCGACGGCGACTCTGCGTTTGACTATCTGGTCATGTCCTTTATGACCAAGATGGAGCTGCGGTCGCTCATGTGAGTCTGCCGGTGTGTCTGAGTTCGGTGCTCGTGCTAATGTGATGCAGTTTTACATTCAGCGGCCTCGCTGACCTGCACAAACCCTCGTCGCAGGGCCGTCGGTCAACAGAGTTTTGGCGGGAGGGCCTCAAGATCCTCGACACCTGTAAGCTGCATTGGAAACCCCTCCCCCAAATTGCCATACACTAACACATCGCAGGGGACAGCTCGACGGCAGGCATCCCGTACGGAGCACCCGTCCCGCTATCAATCGCCGTGCGGCAGCGGACGTGGCGTGTCGAGGCGCAGGCGTATATCAACGTCCTCCTGGGTCTCATGGCGGCTAGTCACTGTCAGTGGGACACGGTCAAGCAGATTCTGGCAAAGCTGGGCACGCTCATCACGCCTACGACGCAGCCGACGGTGAGATTACTTTCTGTTTATTTGTCTGGAGTCTACCGCCAAGGCACAGGGGACCTCAAGGGCGCCCTCGACGTCTTCGTCGACAGCCGCTTCGCGGTGCCGAGGGGATCGTCGGCTATCAAGGCTGGACACCAGGAAATCGCCCTCCTTGCCGGTCTGAACCGGCTGTGGATCATGCAGCACCCTTCGTGCCGAAACGACCAAGAAACACAGGACCTCATCGAGCAGCTGCAGCCATTCTGCAGCGACCACTGGAACATTGACCTCCGAACCGCGTGGCACAACGTCGTGGCCGCGCTGGAAACCGACCCTCCTCAACAGCTCAACCAGCAGAAGCAGCACATCCACGCTGCCATGGCGGGGTCCAAGATAACAAACAACATCCTCGGGGCGGCCGTCACGCTGTGCATCATGCGCAGCCGCTTCTTCGAGAACGTGATTGGCGAGCAGGCGCTCAAGAGCGCGCGGGCGGCGTCCAAGCAGGCGCAACGCAGCGGCAACATTCTTTGGCAGAGCGTCGCGGACGGCATGCTGGCACACTCTTACGAGGTGCAGGGCCAGCGGGACGAATCGCGGCGCGAGTGGGAAAAGGCGACACAGGAGGCCAAGGATGCATTTGCGGGGAGTTGAGTTGGTGAGCGCACAGCCGCGTGGCCGTGTCGTGCCTTGTTCTCTTGATTTATCTTTGCTTTTCTCACCCGATGATGATTATTTGCTAGGCGTTCTTGGCCCGATGTGCCGATGGCATTGAGAGGGTGGGAAAACGGGCTGGCTGTCATTGTTCTCTGGGCCGGACAGGTGTGTCTCTGTGTAAGATACCTGGCCGCATCTGGCCACAAGCACATTGATTCTTTTTTGACGCGTGAATAAACGGTTTCACGATCAAGTCTTGTCGAGGAGACTTACGTACTTATTACAGTAGTCTTATCATGAGTGTGTCGATTATTTGCTGGGAGCACAATTGGACGCGTAGGCCGTGGCCGAACCACATGGCCGCGTCGATGTCGTAGTCGGGGACGTTTTCATCGCTTAGCGACGAGGGAAGCCAGGCGGAGGCTGGAACCCAGGAGGAGGCTGGAAGCCGGGAGGCATCGCAGGCGGCGTGCCCGTGGCGCCGGGGGGAGGCGGGCCGGGAAAGCCAGGAGGCGGAGCAGGAAAGCCCTGCTGGGCGGGCGAGCCGTTGGGAGGACGATAGCTGCCGGGGTGATAGTCGGCAGGGTTGGCGAAGCCGGCAGGGCTTGGGGGCGGACGAGCAGGCAGGCCCGCGGGAGGGGGGCCCAGAGGAGCAGAGCCACGACCGCCAACCACGGGAGGAGGCGGGAACTGGCCGCCTGCGCCGTACGGAGAGGGTCCGCGGTGCTGAGGAGGCGGGGCGAAGCCAGCAGGCATGCCGTGCGGAGGAGGCGCGTGAGGGGGCATGCCGACAGCGCCAGGAGGAGGCAAGCCGCTGTTGATGGCCGAAGGATCGAAGCCGGGAGGGGGTCCCTGAGCATGCGGGAGCGTGGTGCCCGGAGCGGCGCCCGTGGGCGTGGCGTTTGCACCAGTCGTGGGCTGCTGGAGGAAGGCTTGGGGGATGGGCTGGGCCTCCGGGACGATGTTTCGCAGCTTGGCCTGGGCGGCCAGCTGGCGCTCAGCCTCGTCGCCGTGGCGCTCGCCGCGGCCGTCCTTCTTGAAGGCGTACTGGACCGAGATCTCCTTGCTGAGGAGGTACTGGCCACCGAGGTTATCGATGGCGGCGTCGCTGCTGTCAAAGTCGGCGAAGCTGACGAAACCAAAGCCCTTGCTGTTGCCGCTGTCGTCGCGGGCGACCTTGGGGAGGCTGAGGAGGGGTCCGAAGCGGGAGAAGGTGTCGTAGAGGAGCTTCTCGTCGACCATGTGGTCGAGGTTTCCGACGAAGAGCTCGGCGCCGACGTCGGTGCCCTTTTGCTTGTCGGCGCTGGCCTTGTTGACGCGCAGGGGCTTGCCGTAGAGCTTGATGCCGTTCATGACCTGGGCGGCGTACTCGGCGTCCTGGGGGCCGCGGAACTCGACGAAGCCGAAGCCCTGGTGGTTCTGGGTGACGCGGTCGCGCGGCATGTGGATGTTGTGGATGGGGCCCATCTGGAGCATGATTTCGTATATCATGGCGGTCGTGGCGCGCTCGTCGATGTTGCCAATATAGACCGTCGCCTCCTTGTCCTGCTCCCTGGGAGGAGAGGGAAAATCCATTGTTAGACGAGCTTGTTTCTTTTCTCGCAGGGAAAGAAGACAAAAATGACAAAACGCGCGACGGGGGGAGCTTTACCAGTGCCGGTTCTGGGCCATGACGGCGGTGGTTTCGTGATGGTTAGTGAGAAGGTGCCGATCTTACGGACGAATATCTGGAGATGACGACGACAAGGTGCAGGTGAAAGGAGTGTCGAGTGTGACGCGTGGCGGGGGGGTCGAGAGGGTGGAAGGTGAGCGGTTGCAGGAGGAAGGAAGTTCGTGGTGGTCGTGCGTTTGCAGGCTGGTGTTGAGAAGCTGGCGGACCGAACCAAATAATTTCGGAGCTCTGTTCGTTCGTTGCAGTGCAGGCGCGCAGCTGGCGGGCGGATTGGGAGGGTGCTGGGTTCTGCCGACGTTTGCCCGGCGCGCGGGTGCTGGTCCGCCTCTGAGGCAGCGGCGCCTCAATTTTTCTGGATCTGCCGACTCAACCTCTAACTATCGACCCGCGACAACTTACCCGACGACGACATTACGCCATCGTCGCACCGCTGCCCAACGACACGACGACCCCTCTTGCTTCAGATACTCCCACCGATACCCGAACGCCTCAATCCGCCACAGCCATGTTTGCCCTCTCCGAGGAGTCCAAGGTTCGATCGACCCAGTGACACCACGCCGTGCCGGCTCGGGGCGCTGACAGGAACAACAGGAGCGCATCGCCAAGCTCATCGACGTCTCCCGCGTCGCCATCCACTAGTAAGACTTTCCCGTGTTAGGGCTTCGATCGCACCGACGCTGACATTGATGCAGTGGCTACCTGCCCCTGATCCTCTACCTCGGTATGCCGCCGCCCGCCGCCGCCGCACTCGCCCGCGTCCCAAGACCACCGTCCTCTGCGTGCAGGCATCGCTGACCCATCCGCAGGCTACACCCGCAGCGACCCGCGACCCTCCATCATCCGGTAAGAAAAGCCTCTATATGCTACTACCTCGTCGCGCGAACGCCACATGCTGACGTTGAAACCCTGCAGCCTCCTCTCCCCCCTCTCCTAAGCGACGAGCGACTGGCGGGTTGACGAACTGTACATTACTCGAGGTGGAACGACAATGAAGAAGGGGCGAAAGCTGGAGGACCAAGCACAAGAGACTTTTGTCGCATTCAAGGCGTTGGGATACGGACGCGGTCCTGGGAACTGAGGCGGAGGAGCCACGCTCAAATTCGCAGGCGGAGGCGGCGCCCGCGACGACAAACCTGTACCAAGATACATACATGCACCGTATTTTAGATGGAAGAAACCACCCTCTGAAACAAGCCCTTGGAAGTGTTTGCCCATTTTTACTGCCACGGGGAAGTAATTGCGTAGTTCAAAAGGTTGTTGACTGGGAGTGACGGGTCGACGTAGGCGCAACGCCGAAACTGGCCGAAAGAGCTCCTCCATCCGGTCCGGTCGGCCTCCCCCCCAAAAAAGTTGCCGACGTCACTCCATCACCACCACCATCACCATCACCACAGCTCCCGGGCCGCAGCCAGCCAGCCCATCCATACCTCAACAACCACCCCCCTTCCAGCCATGTAACGGGTGCGGCACAGGCTCCTCCAAGCAAACCACCTTTTATGCCCGACCCCAGCCATGCGGGCCTCTCCCCGGCCGCCGTCGAGTCCGTCGCGGGCCTCAGCGCCGGCACCATCGCGACTCTAGTCGTGCACCCGCTCGACATTGTCAAGACCCGCATGCAGAGTATGGGCGGCGCCTCTCCTGTCCCTTCCCCCTTCCTGGCTCAAGCATTCGGCACCCCAAAGGACACAAGGCTGACGGGGAAAACTCATGTGTGTAAAGTCTACCGCAGCGGCACGTCGTCGTCGCCGCGCCCAACGACCGTCGCGCTCCTGCGCTCCCTCACCGCAAACGACCGGCCCCTCGCCTCGCTCTACCGCGGCCTGACGCCCAACCTCGTCGGCAACGCCTCCAGCTGGGCCTCCTTCTTCTTCTTCAAGTCGCGCCTCGAGCGCGCCCTCGCCGCGGCGCGCGCCCGCCCCGGCGGCCAGCCCACCGCGGGCGACTACTTCGTCTCGTCGGCCCTCGCCGGCGTCGCCACCTCGGCCCTCACCAACCCCGTCTGGGTCCTCAAGACGCGCATGCTCTCCTCCGACCGCGCCGCCGCCGGCGCCTACCCCTCCATGCTGGCCGGCGCGCGCCAGATCCTCCGCACCGAGGGCCCGCGCGGCTTCTACCGCGGCCTCGGCGTGTCCATGCTCGGCGTCTCGCACGGCGCCGTGCAGTTCGCCGTCTACGAGCCCGCCAAGCGCGTGTACTTCAAGCGCCGGCAGCAGCGGCGCGAGGCGCGCGGCCAGGACGCCCTGGGCGACGCAGAGGCCCGCAGGCTCACCACCGAGGCGACCGTCGTGCTCTCCAGCATGGCCAAGCTCGTCGCCGGCGCCGCCACCTACCCGTACCAGGTGCTGCGCAGCCGCCTGCAAAACTACCAGGCCGACGAGCGCTTCGGCCGCGGCTTCGTCGGCGTCGTGTCGCGCACCTGGGCCGAGGAGGGCCTCGCCGGCTTCTACCGTGGCCTGGTCCCCGGCGTGGTGCGCGTCATGCCCGCCACCTGGGTCACCTTTCTCGTGTACGAGAACGTCAAGTACTACCTGCCGCGCTGGCTCGATTAAAGGTTTTCCGCGTGCACATAGAGCCACAGGCGCGGCGTGTAAAAGAGGGCCGGCCATGTTGGGATGCGCCTTTGGATGGGCAGGCGGGCGGGCGCTCAGACGTACATACAGGAGCGCGTGGGACTAGACGGCGGCGCACATATCACGGCCGCAATCGCCTATAGACAGGGCACTACACACGTACAATACACAATACAAGCAATTGTCAGACTCGCATTGTGCCATCCGCTTTTACTTCTGCAAGGAAGGGCTGCGCTGCACGTCTGGCTGTCTCGGCAGGGCCCGCTGTCGAGCAGCGAGAAGCAGTGGTGGTGTAGGGTAGGAAATTCTTCAGGGGCCGCCGCGCTCACGACGAGCCTCGAGACGGATCGCGAATGAAACGTGGCTGTTCAATCGTTGATTCTGAATTCTTGTAGCTCCATAAGCATTGCAGTGGTTCTGTGTTGTTGACTTGCAGCTGCGAAGTCGTGATGCTGGCTGCGAATCATAAACCCATGGTTGCCAGGCCCAGGGTCAGATCCCACCGACGAGGCAAAGGAACTTTCTCTACGAACGCATTGCGTAGCAAAACACACCTGGAACAGAAACTAGCAGCGGAAATCAACTGTATCGCAGGGGAAAATCCACCGCACGCCGTGATACCGCACCGCTGCTTTGTTCCAAGGAGTGAAATGCCACATTGTGGGCCTCACCACCTCAACGCCAGCCGCAATGATATCCCCCGGCAACAAGCCCTCATCTCAACATTTCACCTTCAAGCCATACTCAAATCAAAGCCATACGAATGAGCTAGCTATGTGAAAAATTTGAGCCCTGGCGGCCAAGTCATGGCTTCGTACTCAACGAGTGTCTTACGCATCCGCCGTGCCGCGGGGACAGGCTGGCTGGCTGGCTGGCCCCCAAGCATGGCCGACACCCCAGAGCCTCCAGGGGGTCGCGCCGCAAAAAAACCCAGACACACACACCCGTCTACACAGCCTCACGGCATTGACGAGCCTCATTTCACCTTCATTTCGCGCTCATCACGGGCCGGGACGGGCAGCCGCGAAAGCGAAGCGACTGGGCAGACGTCACGCCGCTGTGGCGGGCTGAAGTCTCACGGCTCGAGACGAACAAGAGAAACGGACGCGGCACGCGAAATACGAGCCGTCTTGCCGTACCATCGGCCAAGAGAGCAGCTCCTCCAACGCCCCCCCTCATGGTCGCTCCCCGAGCACCCGGTGCGACCGTTTTCACACGCTGGCAGACGCCCGCCTCTGACAGCATGACGGGGTCATGGGGGCGGGGAAGTGGCAAGCGGCAAGTGGGATGGAAAAAGGTCTTAAACACCCTTCTGCGCGAAGACCATTGCGGCAATGGCGAGCGGCAGCAAGTGTCAGTTGAGGGCCGGCGGGAGGCTCTGTATGGACCAGAGACCGCGTGTGGCGAGACTCGCAGACGGTAAAAGGGTTCATCCTGGTCGGGTAGCCTCTGCGCTGGCGACATGGAATCGCAAACGAGCGGGCGAGACCATCGCGGCGTCGGCGCTTCATCTTCGAAAAATAAAAAAACAGGCATCTGGTGCAGAGTTTGCCTCAGGGGGGAGAATCTGTACCTGCGTACCTGCTGTGTCTGCTGCAGCCGTCGCGTCAGGGGACGGACGATATTGCACATCTCTGCATCGCCTCAAAGCTTTTGGCGGCGCCGAGCGCTTTGACATTCATCTCCTAAGCGTGTCAACACGACACATGAATGGAATAACGAGTGAACAGGCACCCTCACGGTTGCCTACGCGGCCGGCTGAAACGGATCATCAGGCCCGGATCAAGACGCTCCCACGGGATCGAGCCGGAGCAGCCCCGATCGGTAGCTCCAAGCCCAGGCCCGAGAATCTGGTCACATATTGTCTGGTTGACGGGCGCGGGCATAAAGTGATACCATGGGTATGGCTAAATGCGAGGAAAGGGACAACAACGATTTTGCAAGGGCCAGGGCCCAGGGCTCTTCATGGGTGTGGAGGCGGGAGGCGGAGGCGGAGACCCGACTGGGATGCTTGAGAACGAGATGCGCGAAAAACCGTTCATGGACTGCTCGCAGCTAGTAGAACAGGCCGGCCTTGAACACGTCACTCCCTTTCTCGACTTATTCCGACAAGTACCGACGAGGGTCGGGCTGCTCTGATCCCACGTCTGCCGTCGAGGCCAAGCAGTCTAGACAGGCATCGCCAGAAAAGGATGGGCAGCTAGTCGAGCAAGGTCGGATGACTCGAGAGATCTGACAACGGGAGGCACCCGTTTTGCCGTTCCCCGCTGCTCGAGTGCGCATCGGCAGACAGACTAATGCCACTGTTCCTGGATCTGGAAGCGCCGCCGGGCCGAGCCTCAGCTTGAGGCAGGTTCTTGCAGGTCCCGTACCAAAGGAAAAAAATTCTCCTTGGACTGCGGCAGACGCACGCTCGGATGACCCGCGGACCCGGAGGTCGGCGATCCTATTATGCGGGCGTTCGCTTGGGTCGTGCGTAGACTTACATTCTATGTATACACCACATACGAAAGGGGCAGCGGGACGGCGGCGGAAGCGCTGCAAGCCTCCACAGGATGCGGGCCATAGTTCGGTTCATGATGAGGGGCAAGGCTGCTCGTGTGGTAGCCGATGAGGACGAAAACGCTCAGCAGATGGGGTTCGGAGCTGAAAGGAGATGGACCGAGGCCGGATAAACCAGTTGGTGGCTTTCCTGGTAGAGCCTCGAGGGAGGGCTGGCCTTCAAGGTGGATGTGAGAGTTGACTGGTCTCATCTAGCTACGTGCTTGCAACGGGACAAGCCCATGATGGCAGACAGGCCGCCAGATCAGGCGGAGCGATAATGCGCCTGGTGGTAGCTGCATATCTGGATCGTATCAAAAAAGAGGAGCGCGGGAGGCGGGAGGAGCTCGAGCCACCCTGCGCGGCCGGGGAGAGTTGCATCGGAGGCTTGTCAAGCAGCCTTGCCCCAAGGCTAGGGAAGCAAGCTCGAGATCTGGTGTACCCCAAGAGAGCCAAGGTCAGCGGGGCAACGGCGGGCGTCGCGTCACCACGATCCGAGTTGTGACTCTGTGAGAGGTGCAAGGCAGGGCAGGACAGGGCAAGGCAGGGGTGTGACTGGGGATAGCTGGGGAGCGAGATCAGATCAAGCGAGGGATGCGTACATGCTACATACCTACGTATTGCCTGCATGTATGTACATGCGTACACGCGCAATCATGTTGTAGCACACGCTAGTTAGTCGAGAACTTCAAGCCAAAGCTGGAGCCGGTGGCTGAGGTATCGTATGTACGGACGGGGCAGGCGTTTGTGAGTACCACTAGACGTGAGAGCCGGCGGCCATCACGAGTCCCCTTTCGGGATGGCCCAGAGGGACGGCGGGCTGCATGTGTGAGGCAACAAGACTCGAGCTAAGGGTTGCCAAGGGCCGCGAGCAAGAGATGGCGGCGACGGGATGGCTGGATGGGCGAGTGGAGGGGGCGTGGGCAAGCACCGAGCACAGCATAACATGGCGCGAGGCCAGGGAGACGGCGTGACGGCGCCGACCGAAAAGCCTCAGACACCACACTTCGACGCGCAGCCGTACCTGCGGCGGGACAAAGAAAACAAGACGACAGCCAAGTGTCGGAAGGGGGGGAAGGGAGCCCGTCGCACGGACGCAGCCGGCGTCGCTGCGTGTCCCATTTCGCCTCCTGAGAGAGAGAGAGAGGGTGAGTCCCCTTCCCCTGGTTCTTGGCTTTCCAGGGCGATGCGAGGCTGGCCACGCCTACCTATGGTGATGGCGATGGTGGGGGCGAGGCGACAGACGACGAGCGGTCGTGGGCAATGCATAGAGCCTTTCGTCTCGGCCATGCGGTCGTCGAGGTAGCTGTTGATATGGCCCGGGGCCTGCGCAGTATAGGCGTATGGCCGTCGTCGTTGCTGCATGTCGACTGTCGACTCGGTGGTTACCAGGTATCTGGTATCTGGGACGGCCTAGTAAACAATGCTTGCTGTGCATGCGGCGGCGCGAGGGGGAAGGGATCATCACGGGCATCCTTTGACGCATCAAGAATGGATGGATGCAACGAACCGTTGCCCACTGCCACTAATACCACCACTACCAGCCGGCATCCCGGCGCCGCTTCCGGGTGGGCGGCGCTGCAGCCGTGGTCCTGTCGAGTGATGCATCACAAGCCGCTTGAGAGTTGATACTACTGTCCGTACATGGAGACGGTACGTCGATATCGCGGGGCACACGACTTGGGGCTCAGCTCCAGACTCTCGAGGCTAGCCCCGGCTGAATGGCTTGTAGAGGAGGGCAGTTAATGTACTGCACCTATGCCCGTTCATTCTGTTGCCACTGCCTGGGTCCATGACGGGGCAAGGTGCGGACTCGGCGTCCATTGACCCGCGGGCCGGAGGCGAACTAGGACTTGGCCGTGAGATGACCTGGCCAGGGACCTAGCTTGTTCTACCGTCAATGAGGCGATGAGGTAATAATCGGGGCTTTCTTATCAAGGACTTCGTACGCAGCGGTCGTCTCGCTGGCCGCCAAAAGAGAGAAGCCTTGCGAGCAGGACCCAGCCACAGCGACGGGGGTCCTCGACTGCGACAGCTGAAAGATGAAGTCGCCCTCGACTTTCTCCCAATGGCTGCTCAGAAGCTGACCCGGCGGGCTGGCGTCCCCAACAAGCTACTGCAGCCCCCGCTGCTGCACTGGGAAACCATCCCGGAGGTCGATCGCTGTGGCTGGTGTGTGCTTGGTGGTCCACGCAAGCGCCGCCGTAACTAGTCGTCTTGCCCGTGTGCTTTCGTGCGAATACATGCCACGGCTCGCGTCGCACGTGCCTTTGGTAGGTACTCATTGTACATGCCGGATCAAGCGCTGCTGCAGCGGAGCAGTGCTCCGGCCACGCCTTGCATAGTGTGCCGTCCCTCTGGTATCATCCCGAGTGCCTGGTTACGTCTCATCGCCCGACCGGTAGTACAATGACGGACATGAGCCAGCAGGAGCGATGCCCGCGCAGCGGCCCCCGACTCCCCGCGACGACAACGGGGCTCTCTCTCCTCCACTCGGCGCTGACACAATATCGCGCAGGCTCGCCCGCCGCGGCGGAGTGCGACTGTGGGCAGGCGGGCGAGCGGGCCGATCCAACCTCGGGAGGCGGATACGTACGGGTCCATGGAATCGTCGAGCGACTCCATCCCGACGACGCGAGCCCCGTCGCTTCATCGCCAGGCCGTCTCCAAATGTTGTCCGTGACTCCGTGGGCTGCGGCCGCTGCGGCGCAGGGAGCGCTGCCGCGCGCCCGCACCCACCCGCAGATACGTTGGATGATGGCGCAATTGGGCGGTTAGCAAGGCATCAACCTCTCGCGTGTCAAAGTCTGACGGGCTGGGATGGACCCTGTTGCCAGAGCGCGGGCGGGACGGGAGCACCGTTTCTGCGCCGCCTTTCCCGCGCGCCGCCTGCCCCATTCATCCAGCTTCCATCGCCTCTTGGCCTTTAGCGGCGGATAATGCGCAGCTGCTACACATCCATTGTCAGCAGGCTCGGGTGTAAGTGAGGTGGCTCCTCGTCCTGGCCGCAAAATTTTAATCGCACCCTCCAAACCCAAGGAGACAAGCAGATACGCACCCACGGGAGGGAAATTCTGAACCAGCTTCAGACGCGGCTGCAAACGCACGGCCGCTGCACGGCAGGCTATGCAGCACTCCGTATGCACCCCGTCAAGCGAGCCAAGGTCAACACGCCTTGCTCGCCCCTGAGGGCGCCGGCGTCATTGCAACCTCGAGCCGATGCCGCCCACATTTTGGTCCGAACCGGCAATGGGCCAAGCGAAGGAAGGCGAGGGGTTCGTCCCAGGGTCCTTCATCCCTTGGTACAGGGCTTTCTTCTTTCTTGTCGCGCTGCATGACGTGCCCTGCCTGGCAGACTCGTGCGACCGAGTTGCAGATGCAGACAGGCGACGAGGCCCGTGCTCTGTGCCCGTTTTCGTCATACAGAATGCCATCTGGGTTGGCTACAGGACAGACCTGCGGCGTGTCCCGGCTGAGAAGCAACGTGCCTGGAGCTTCCGGCTCGATGCTTCCAGCCATGTGCGGAGTGCCTGCGTGCGCACAGCCCATGTGCTCGCGCATGCAAACGACGATGCACGAGGGCATGGACCGCACAAAGTACAACGTAGACTGTAGGCCTTCTCCCCACGGCCTGGCGCCCGAGTGACGTTGGCCCATGCAAACTTGCCGTGCCACCATGTCATGGGACGCAAAGACAAAGCGCCTCCCGTGAGGTGGCGCACCAGTCTGTAGCGGATGCAGGCACAGGACTGGAACGACCGGCCAACGGATGCCTTCGATTTGTCCCGCGCGCGCAAGTGATTGCTGGCGAGGCACTGCCGGCCGCAAGGCTCGCTTGCCTTGTCCGCAGGCGGCGACGCTCCGCCACGAGCCTGGCCATGGCTCGGCCATGCTTCGGTCATGGAACCACCGTTGCTGTTGATAATTGAGTGCTTACACGTCAGATTTCTCGCATCAACGGTTCAGCTCCCCATGTGCAAGAGATGCTCATCGAGTCCCCACGACACTGGAGACCCTTGTCAGGGCCCTGGCAGGGTGGGCAGGCCGGCCCCTCATTCCTGGCTCCCCGGCCGATGAGGCGTCCCGTCCATGGCGCCTCCGATAGCCGTCGGTCATAAGACTTTCCGATGCCAGTCCCGGAGCCGATTCGCATCCATCGGACTCGCTCTGTCACTGGAACCCCGCGTGTCCAGTTCAGCGTCCCAGCAGCACGTGTGCTGTCGAGTCCGTATCCGCGAGTCCAACATGCGCAGCCACACCCTGTGTTTGTGCGCTCGCCAAACAGTCGTCGACGTCTCGTGGCCGGGTCGGTCAGTGTCAGTATTGAGCATTGTCGTCGACACGCGGCTCCAGTGCCACGCCCCCTGAGCGTGGCATACAGAGTCTCACCGTTCCGCGACTGACCCTGCGACTCACGTACTTTCGTGAGACAAGCTCGGACGCCGTTGAACCCGTCTCTGCTGCTACGTACGTCGTGGCTAGTCCCGCTGTGTCGTGCATTTGCTCGCCCCATACCGACGCGCTGGCTCGAAATAGCAAGCCCTGGAAGAGACAAGCGCAAGCCGAGCGGGGGAGCTCATTGCGGGGAACATGGCAATGGCCGTTGTCCACGGGCTCCGGTCAGGGTTGGAACTTGGCGTCTCATCACCACCGCCAGCCCCCACGCGCACCCGAGATGTGCCTGCCATGCCTTGCTCCCCCCCGGCCCAGCGAACCACGAAGCTGTCGGTCCCAGACTCTGAAATAACTGACCCGGAAACAAGGCACGCCGCAGGAGGGAGGGGGACGGGGGTCGTGACGATATGCACCTCTAATCCTTGCCTGGTCCGAGTCTGCGACCGTCGAGGGTGTTGCCGCGCTCCCCAGGAGGTGTCGATGGCCAATCCAGCGCCTCCATCCCGCTCGGCCAGGCCCAAACTCTCGGGACGGCTCATCTCAGTGCTTGTGTCCCGCCAAATGTCGGGACAAGGGTCCCTGCCGCCCCGTCCCAACTTTGCCTCCCCCCTGTCGCCTTCCCGTTGATTGCCTGGTCGCATCTCACTTTCTCGGGCTTCAGCCAAGCCAGCCTTTGGTCCCCGGCCGGGCAGGCTGCCCTGCCCTGGATCGGCTGGCCAAGCATCATGACTGGCATGGCACGGCGCCGCGCCCGCCCCCGATGTCCAGCCGGGCGCCTCGCGACCCCCATCTTTGCCGCCGTCCGCCATCTGTTTGGCGTCTGCAGCAGCCCGCAGCGGCAGTCGAAGCCTCCTGCCCAGCCTTGCATGAAGTGCTGCTGCTCCCCCATCCGTCCTCTCCTTTGCGCAGCCGCCTCTCATGAAGCCCAAAACGGCTGCTGCATGACCCCCTTCTGGATCCTGTCACATCTCGCCTGCGTCCGCACCCGTTTACCATGCCTTTCTTCCCATCTTAACCGGGAGACAGCTCCTGTAATTGACGGTTCGGGTTCAGTAATCACGCAGGCGGACCCCCGGACCCCCCCTGCCGTACCTTCGGCGGCGTCAACCACCCATGGACGCAGCTTCGACGCCGCCTACCGTTAACGCCGATGGAACGACTTGGCCCCGTCGCGCTCCCGCGCCCGCGCGCTTGCCAACGATTTGTTGCCCGGTCATGAGGACATCGTGCCGCATCCGCCATGGCTGACTGCCGCTCTGTCGGTGGAAACCTCCGCTCAGGTTTTTCTGAATGGCCTATGTCGTCATCCTGGCTGCTCTCGTCCTCCGACCCCGGCCCAGCTGGCTGCATTTGTCCGTACAGAGTACTTTCTGCGTACCAATTAGTCGGTTCATGCGAACCGGATGCCAGGCGCCTCTCCCCCGGATGCCCTCGGCCGAACCTCACATCAAGATGCGTTGCGCAAGGCAATCGGTCATTTCCCACACTTCCTCGTGATACACAGAGTTTTTGCCCTCCAGCAAGCACGCACTGACCCCCGCCCAATTGATTCCCACCGCAGCGACAAGGATCCGAATCGGGCTCTTGCGTTGCTCAGTCTCGTCGGGTTTGAGCCCAGCATACCCCGTTTCTGTAGATGCGATACTGGGCGCGATCACTTGTCTTCATCCTGTGCTGTACCCGCGTTCGGCTGTCGATAATACCAGCGGCGCTCTCGATGGCTGAACGCATGGCCAAGCCGTGATTTGGAAGTAGTCCTCCATCGGGTCTAGTTCGCAGATCAGCGCCCAACAGTCCTCCGCTGCCCTGCGAGGACTCTGCAGACGACGTGTCACATCTCTTCCAACATGCGTGATAGGGTGCAGATATCAGGCTGTGCGCTCCGCATCCCGGCCACCAGGGCAGGGCCTGCTAGCAGGCGAGCCACCTTTTGGTGGCAGAGCACAACTTGTTTCCTCCTGCTGATGGGCCGAGAAAAGATGATGATGCTGTCCAGCTCCCAGCTCGCATTGCTGCGCTTCCCGTCCCTTCTCTAGCCCGTCTGCACCTGTAGCCGGGAACCTGGGACGCCGCTGCCGCGAACCCAGATATCTGGGACGCGCCTATTATGTATGTTACCGAAGATTCTCGGCTCCTCTGGTTGCGAGCTATATCGTCTACACATCTCTCGGCCGAGTTGATGGATGAACCAGGGCCCGGGAGGCATTACCGGAGGTCCTTCAGTGAGGAATGATACAGCGGCCCAAGCCGCTAAAAACGAGTTCCTGGCTGCTTGTGATGTCGGCGTCACGAAGAGAGTCGGCTTGAACCCAAGCAGCGTCACTGAGGCTGGCCAAGCCTCCTTGCGTCTCCGCGGCTAGTCCTACCTTTCCATTTGTGTGCCGGGGCGGGGCCGGCCCTCTTTGCGCCAGTGCGGGCGGGCCGCAACCCAGTTTTCGGCGGAGAATGAACGTCAAAGGATGAAGCCTGTTCTTGCCAAGCGCGAGGAAGTTGGCGATGCGGCGCGAAGGGACGTTCAAAGGGCCCTCGACGTCCTCCTGCAAAACGACGTCCCTGGTAGGGACGATGCTCGATGTGAGACAGACCGGCGCCAGTTTCTGGGGTAAACCGATCTTTGTGGCCGATCCTTTTGAGAAAAAACAACAAGGGCGCACTCGAGAAGCCGTGGGCGCCTGCTCATTGGTCGTATTCCGTTCCTGGTACCCAGCCGCCACGCTCTCCTGACTGAAAACCAGGCCCAAGAATCCCCCGCGTGCTCCCACGAGCCTTTTGTGGACAATGTCGGAGGTGCTTGAGGTGCCGAATTCTGCAGCCCCGTGTCCTGAGCTGCTGCTTAGTGACCGGCCCAAGAAGAGACGTGTGCTTCCGCTTTGGGCCCAGGTTGCTGGGAATGAACTGGCGAGCCCATCCCTTGCATCGCGACGCGAGAAGCCAGCGGGCCGATGCTGCCCTCGACGTCTGTTCCGATGGGCGCCGATCAGGTATCCTGACCAAAAGAGGGCTTCCTGCTGACTGGCTGTCTCCTGCAACCCTCCACTCTGTAACACGGCTGCTAGGTGACACCTTGGCCGGCTTGGGAGCCCGGGGGGGGCTGAGATCTCTGATTGAACAGCCCGAGATCCATGATCCCGGTAACGCACCCACCATTAGCCCTCCCGTCGTTCCGTCGCCCTGTACCCACCTGGGCGACCAACCGTTGGCCACATCCCACCAACGGGGCAGCCAAGAATGGGGTCCTTTTCGAAGCTGGCATCTTCTCAGACCCTCAGACCAGGCGCCAGCGGAATAAAGCCCGCCGTCACGCGCTTCCTCCACCGAGCCGAGATTGATGCGGACGTGGCACTGACTTGACGGCCTTGGCCGCTGCCTATGTCAATCAGATGAGAGATCTGTCTCCGGGGGCCTGGCAGAGGCCACCAGACGATCATGGATGCCTGGGTGCCGACCGCTGGTCGTTGGCAAAGGCTGACAAGCCGGCATGGCTGGGCTGGCAACTGGGTCCAGTGCCACACCAGTCCGCCGCCCCCTCTTTCAGCAGGCGCCGTTTGATTGTACGCAGGGCAATTCGTCTCACCTGAGCGACTGAGAAAAGAAGTCTAGCCTGAATCAGAATTACGTCTCGGGCATTTTTTTGCAAGCGCTAGCCATCAAGGAAAAGTCTCAGACGCGGTAGACCTTGTGGGTTGTGGCAGGCATCAAGCAGCGCCTGGAGCAGGCTCGCAGATCCAACGTAGCGACGCACGCTGTTTGTCGGCTTCGCGTATGGCCTGTTGTTGCCGCCCCTATACGTGCAAGAACAAGCTGCTTGTACGTACGTACAAGTGTCTGGGAAGATGATGTCTTCAGCCTCGTAATCTCCATGGACAGGGGCACTGGCTGACCCTAGCACGTTGGCGGTCGATCTGCCGCAAAGGCTACGCGGGCGCTTTGACGTCCAACAAGGGGAAATTCTGGGCCTCTTGGCTTTATCGTGGTGGTGGCTTGCACGTGTCCACCGTCATCTGGCGCAAGCTCGGTGTAATATCAGTGAGATCGAACCGACACCTTGCGGTTGGTGCAACTGGCGGGCTGATGCTGCTCTTTTGTACGGAGTTGTCCGTACGGGTACAGTACCGATTCTCCGTGGACGAGGCAGCGTTGGTCCCAGCGAAACAAGTGAGGGCCTTTTATTTCGGCCCATGCGATGCGAGGCTGCGGGTGGCAATGTTTAGCGAACGACTGGAAGCCGTGGAGCACAATAACGAAGTCGAGAGATTCCTGGCCATCTGGACGTTGGTTCGAAACCTCGTCTCAAGGACAGTCCGTGCCCTATGATGCCGATTCCGAACTCGACGTGTGTCCAAGTACCTCCGTATGACGAATGGTCTCCACGTGTGGTCGGTGGCTGATCCAACCATTGCTTCAAGAGGGGCATTTCTGGCTGGCTGGCTGGCGTTGCTGGTGAAGCATCAGAGGACTCAATGAGACGAACAGACACACATACCTGGCGCGAGTCCGTAGCTAGGGGCGTTGTAAGAGCAGGGTCCCAAGGCGGCGGGCCCGCACTCTAGCAGCCTAGCAAGCTTTCCAGGCGAATGGATGCAAAGCACGTCCCTGAGGTCCCTGAAGTCCCTGAACCGAGACGAGACGAGATGGGGTTCCGACACGATTCGGTACAAGGCTTACCAGACGGGGGACGTAATGGCGCTGCTGCTGCCGCTGGTGTGCGAGTTTTGGTGGTAGGTCGGTGGCAGATTGGGAGCTTCCACGCCGCCACGATGTAAGGGGATGAGCCATGCCATCTGACCGAATGCACAAATCTGCCCCAGGCATCCTCGCAGCGCAGTACCGTGTACCGAGTCTGTGCATGCATCGAACATGACTCCAGAGGCAGCAGCCGATGTACTGGGTACTGCGTACCGCGGAGCAGGCACCATCTCCCTCGCACTTTCCTCAGAACCCTTACCTGCCTGTGCCCCATGACTGACTACTGAGTACCTCAGGCACACTCTGAGGGGCAAGCTGGGAAAGAGGCTTGCATAAGGCGCCTTAGGTATAATCGGCGGATAAAAACAGCCACAGCTTTATCCCGTGTCCCTTGCGCGGCAGCCTTGATGCCCTGCTTTGACATTTCGTCCAACCCGATGGTGCAGAGCACTGGGCAGCCGAAGCATCGCGCCTCGGCGGCGAGGCGTTCGTTATAACTTAGTTACTGCATTTCAGGCAAGGCACCTGGATCAGTCAGTGCTGTCTCAGCAGGGCAGTAACTCGGTACGCAGACCGTAACAAACCCGGCAAGGTCGGTGCCATCGTCACCTCGGGCCGGCCACACCAGGGCGTCAAGTACAACTTACGGCGCTCTGTTCTTTGCACTTTGTCGTGCGAACGGAAACCACAAGGCAGTGGACGGCAAGGCTCAGACGACGCGCCTCACCCATAGCGGGCACTGTGTGTCGGTAGTACATGGCATTACTCCGTTCGCACAGCACATTACGTCCGTGATCCATGATGCATTAGATTGTAGCCACGCTCAGCAGGGAAGGGAGAGCACAGACGACCACATCAGCAATGGACACCGACCCTGGCCTAGCGCGGGCGCGGCAGCGGTCCTAGCTTAGCCGAAGGCCACCAAGGCCTTGCAGGTTAGAGCTTCTGGGGCAGCCCCTCCAGGGCATCGAGCATCGCTGGGGGGAGGGAGGGGGGCGCCGCCGCCGAGCAGCCTTCAGCCCGCCGCTGCTGGTGCTGAGGTAGCGTTGGGGGCTCCGGGGCAGCAACTTGGAGGCGCCGGGGGATCGCTGCCCCTGCCGCTGGGCCAAACGGGTGCTTGACCGACTGCGCCAACGCCCCGGGGTCGCCGCTACCCAGTGTGACGGGATGAATCCGTGGATCCAAGGATCCAAGGACGAGATGGGTTGGCTGAGGCGGCGGCCTGACGACGAGAGGTGGGATGGCAGGGAAACGACAGGCGGAAACGACCACTGACGAGACCACAGGGACCTGGGACACGGGGTTTGGGGGCATGGAGACTCCATGCCCTGCCCTGGCCTGCCTGGGGCCTGGGACAGCCGAGCTGCTCGCTACCAAAGTGCTTTCCCAGTTGGGCCCTTGCCGTCTGTCGTCAACCACCACCATTTTATTTGCTGGGTCGGCATGGTCAGGTCGCATCCGTCCTCCACCTCCACCACCGCAACGACAAGCACCATCAGTACAACGTCCACCACCACCGCCACCACCATGGCCCAGCTTCGACCCGGCTCCAGGGCGACGGGATCTTTCCCACCACCACACGCGGCGCCCGCCAGAGGGCCGGTCGATGCACAGCCCATTACTCTCCTCGGCATCGAGCCCAGTCCATCGGCCTCGCCTCGATCCAGGGACAGCTTCGGGTCAAAAGAAAGTCGTCCCGCGGGGCACCGGATCCAGCATCCATGAGACGCCCGTCGGAGGCCGTGGCCACTGGTCTCTCCAGCGCGCCCGTGTCTCGTCCCTAGATGCCCGCCCCCCGCCCGCGTCTGCGTCTTCGCCCGCTCTGCCTCGACCTCGACCCTGTGGCGGTGGCATCGGGGCTCCGCACGCACATCTGGGCCTGGATGGGGGACCAAGTGACTACTACGCACACGCGGCCACTGCACAGAGCGCACATCGGGTCCCAGCAGCTCCAGTCCAGTGCCGCCATGGCCCAGGCTGGAGCTGCCCAGACTTGCCAGAGCCGCACCTGGTTGGCCGCTCTCACGCTGTCAGCGCGGCCGAGTGGCCAATTCATCGCTGCGAAATGTCTCAACTTTCCAAGGCTATTAGATTCACTGTCGAGGCCCGGTCCTTGCTGGCCAGACACCGTCGAGCGCGCCCGCAGCCGCGCCTGAAGCAAAAAGGGCCGGACTCGTTTGCGTGCAGCCTCATGAGCTGGCAGTACATGTATCTACATGCGCACATACAGCATCAGCGCAAGCGCGAGCACGAGGAGCCGGCGCCGCACCGCACCGCACCGCGCCGTACCGCCTCAGAATGCTGGCTGGACGTTCGGCCGCACATCGCCGACGGCACGGGGCAGCCTGGCCCGGGACGTGCGCAGCGAACGAACCGAACCTGTGCCCCCGCCTACGAAGTGCGTACAGCTCTCGACTACTGCACGGAGTACGAGTGCGGACGTGCGTCAACGGCAGAGCAGAGGGCGTTACCGGGAACCAGGGATGACAGGTCGACAGTGCCGCCTCTCATCTGGTTTAGGCCGGCCGGGTATCCTCCACCCACCGGCTGAACCCCTGGCAGACCGGCTCCAACGCCACAAGCCATGACCTGTGCTCTCGTACCCACCGTGGCCACCCCCGGCCGGCCTGGTCACCTTGCATCGATCCTGACCCGGAGGCCCTTTTTGCACTTTGCAGCAGCCCCTGCTTCCCCATTTCGTCTCTCAGCTTCAGGCCCATGGGCGGCCGGGCGTGCGCCGTGGAAAGGGAGGGGGCCCCCCAAGCGCAAGGCCCGACCCCCCCGAGGGGGCGTGGGCGCCCATCTATCAAATCGCAAATCCCAATGTACTCACACCTCGCCATGCCACGGTACCTACAGTGCCGTGCGAGTATTGCATATGGCTGGGATGACGAGACCTGGATCACTTGCGAAACACCCCCGGCCATGCCGTGCTGGGAGTGCGAGTGGGAGCCAAGATCTTTGGATCAGCACCCGGACGATTGGCTTCACACCCCTCCCGTCCTCGTCCCCCGGCCTTCGCTTGAGTGACACTTCGCAGGCGTTTGCCGTGTCCCCAAATATCGGTGCTCAACCTCAACTCCATCTCCATGTACGCAGGCGTAGATACATAACGACCTCTCCTCCCCCGACCACACCCCACCGCTTTCCGGCCGTTTGGTTCCCTCTTCGCATATATACCAAGCCTCTTCCCTTGCTCTTTGGGTCTCACCATCGCACAAACCAACACCGAGTCCACTTGCAACTGCTTCTGCAAGAGAGTGCTTCTGTCAGGGCACTCCACGGACTCGTTCCCCTCCTCCATATAAGCCTCTGTCGGTCTGGCTCTTGGAGCAAGACTGACCTCAACCGACATCCTGGCTCTCACGGCATCACCCGCGGCGCCCCCGAACTGGGGACGCTGGCCACAACAACTCCCCCACGAATTTGCCATGATGGATACTCCGGCCTTCATGCCCTACGACTCGCGGGGTCACCCTCCGCAGCACATCCAGCGACCCATGGCTCATCAGTATATGGTGGCGCCCGCTTACACCAACGGGCCCATGACCACTCTTGCCGCGCCGCAGTACCCGAACCAGCAGGCGTTTGCGTATGTCCCGTATCAAAGCCCCCCGCCTTCCACGCCCATGGGCTCTCCGTACAAGCACGAAGCCCCGAGAATGGTGGGACATGATGTCGAGGCTGCCAGGGGCATGCCGTATCGCCGCGGCTCTCGACAGCTCAACGAGGGACGGATGCAGTCCCCATCGGCTCGGAGCGAGTCTCAGGCCTCGACCGCGCACTCCGTCGGCTCGAACCCCAATGCCAACGCCAAGACGATTACTTACAACGAGACCATCGACCCTGCGGACCGGGTCAACTTTGAGACTGAAGTGGACGAGCTCATGAAAGTCATCCAGCAAAATGAGGATGACGACGACGAGAAGAGCATGACATGCACACCTGCCCAGACGCCAAATGCCGAGTCGTCTTCTGGGTCGCAGAGCCCTGTCAGCTTTGGGCAGCCTTCGACTCCTGCTCACACAGAACCCAAGCCGAAGAAGAAGTGGGTTTGCGATGGGCCAAACTGCAACAAGCGCTTTGTCCAAAAGACTCACCTCGACATCCACCGTCGGACTCACACTGGACACAAGCCCTATGTGAGCATAGCCGTGAAGCCGGAAACTTTGACGAACATAGTTTGCTGACAGCCGATAACAGGTGTGCACCAAGGAAAATTGCGGCCTCACGTTCTCGCAGAGAGGCAACCTCAAGGTAGACCAAGCCCTGTATTTCCTGTGCACCATTCCCGCCGCTGACTTTCAGCTGCACAGACGCACATGCGCCGCCACACCGGGGAGAAGCCCTACGCTTGCAGCATCTGTGGCAAGCTCTTTGCCCAGCGCGGCAACGTCCGGTCCCATGAGGAGACGCACAAGGGTCTCAAGCCCTTCATCTGCAGGCTTGATGATTGCAACAAGACTTTCTCCCAGCTTGGAAACATGAAGGTAACGCCATCTGGGGTGGCTGCGTCTTCGGTGGGCACGGCACTAACTGAGGATTGTACAGACTCACCAGAACAACTTCCACAAGGAGACGCTCCATACCTTGACCTCCCTGTTCGTCAAGTACGCTCGCATGGGTGATGTGCCAGAGGAGCACCAGGAGCTCTTTGAGTACTTCAAGGTTCATTACAAGAACAGCAACAAGGGCATCAAGGGCCGCGGCAAGGCGCGAACGGTGGCGCCGAAGACAAAGGCCGAGCCCTCGGTCTCAGCCGCCATGGCGTTCCCGCATCTCCCAATGCCTAACCAGCACCAGGCATACGTCCCTGGACCTGCCAACACGATGGCCGCCATCCCCCGCCATCCATCGACTGGCGGATACCCCATGTTCGAGCACCATGCAGACCACAGCGGCGCGGCCGGCATGCTTTACGACGACGAACAATCGCGCCAGATGGCGTTCAGCGACCGCTTGTACTAATATAGGGCCTAAATATTCTTAACGACGACATGATTACGGAGAGCATGACACGGAGCCACCAGCCCTCGGGCCACGGCGCTTCACCGGAGGTGGCGCAATTGTTGGCAGCATTCACGACACAAAAGTTTTTGAATCCATGGAGCCCTTTGAGGCTACACACCGGCAAGGGGAGGGACCTTTTTTTTTTCAACTTGTTCGTTTCTCATCGCTCTTGTTTCCAGCACGTGCAAGCGGGGTCGGCAGCGCTGCAACTTCGTTCGACATGTCTGATTTATTCTGCAACCACCTGGGTCTGGCAAACTGTCTGCAATTGCAGTAATCAACCAAAAAAGCGGGGAGGCAGCGCTTATTCTTTCAGTGGAGGCTTGTTGCTTTTGCAATCATCTATTTCCCATGCCACTACACGACATCACTTACCCATCATCACGCCTGTACTTTCAACCATATAATCGTCTTTGTACGTCAGCCTGGAGGACTCTACTGTGTGCGCTTGCTTGGAGGACAAATGGGGGAGGCGGCGGTTTGGGACATGAGTGTTTGAGCACCATTGACATGTCAATGACAAACCGCAAAGTCTCTTTGAACCAGCCCGCCGAGGGTGTATTGTTCGGTCTCGGCACAGAAGTGCCTTGGTGGTGCGTTTGCTTGCCTTGCCTTTCCACCGCCGCTCCGCTGCGGGGCGTGCAGATGGATGGACCCCCCGGTCTTGAGTCTTGTCTCTGCGGCTGCCATGCAAGGAAAAACAGGACCTGTCTGGCGCGCCGAGGACGGAGGACGCCGGGGACGGCGGTGCGAGTGTGCTCTTTGTGAGCACTGAGCAGTATCAGCTAGTCTAGTTTTTGAGGGCAGCCGGCTCATGTGTGCCCGAAGCGCTACGTGTGTGCACATATACATACATACTACAGCACGCACGGCGCGGACAAGGAACCAAATAAAGACACAGAATCGTTGCGCTGTCCACATGGATTGTCCCCTCTTCCCTGCAAGTGCGCGTTTTGCCAACACAGAAGTCGACGTAGAGCCGGAGAGAAAGGTGGACGGGGAGCAGAGCCTAAACGCCAAACGCACATCTAGAAGGCTGCTCTACGGTACGATGCCATGTACGTGCTGGGACTGGGCATGCCTGCGCGCACACGCACGCACGCACGCATTGGCGCAGGTGACTTGCAGCAAACCGACGGGCTGGAAACATGGATGGTGGAGACGGGGAGGGATAATCATAAGGATGGATGACGGCTCATCAGGGAGGCCCGGTCCTGCGGCCGCGGCCGCCGCGTCTGCATGCAGTCGTAGTGCTGCTGTATGAAGTACATGCCCATATTCATCCCGACTGTGGGCGCGCACTAAACCCCGGCCAAGAGAGAGTGCGGATTGAGGTCAGAGATTGGACGAACGCCACCTTGGGAAGAGGGGGGGCGTTTGCTGGTGGTGGTGCTGCTGATGCGGCGTGCCGGTCGAGCTGAGCCACAGCAGCCAGCCAGCCAGCCGGGATGGCCCCCATGCTGGACGACAAACGAACCAGGGGGGCGAGAGGCCCAAAGCCGGGGACAAGGAGGGAGCTTTTCCCGGGGGCGGGCTTGGGAGGAGGAGGGGGGGAAGGTGTGGCGGGGATGGGCAGCACGGCAGGATGCGCGGAGACCTAGGTACCAGTAGATAGACGGGGGATGGTTGGTACTAGGTAGAGGGCGCGGGTTTTCCAGCCTGGTGATCCATTGCGAGGGAAGGGAGAGGGGGGGAGGGGAGGCAGGATGAATTGAGGCCGCCGACGCCGACAACGACGACGACGTCAACGACGCCCGCCGCGCAGCAGGGCAATCCCAGCCCTGCCTGGCGCAACCACGGGGGGTTCGAAGGGGAAAAACGCGGCCGGTGTCTTTTTCTGGAGTCTGGAAAGTGGCGGTGGAGGGACGTACGTCGAGCTAGAGGGACGCAGGAGGACGTGTATTGCAGAGGCGGCGGCGGCGGCGGCGGGTAGCACAGCGCAGCACAGAAGCAGGGCAGGCGGTTCCAGGCAGGGCAGGGCTGGATAGATGGAGTCGGTCGGACACGCCCGCAGCGGACTGCAGGACCTGTCTCTTATACACATCTAGATGTGTATAAGAGACAATCCTTACATACATACATGCGTTGATACCGCGCAACATGAGATACACACCGTACATACATACAATACAACACAACACACACACTCGCTTCCGGCCCTTGGTGATACTTGCAGCAGGCGGTGTCGTCATGACCGTCTGCACACTTGGCTCGCCGAGCTGCAGGCGTCCCGTTCCGGTCGACAGCCGAGATGGGCGGTGGGTGGTGGATGCGCAGAAAGCAGACTGCCAAACGTCGGGTGTGTGTCTGTATGTATTCACCGCCTCTGCTGCTGACCCTCACCCCAAAAGAGGTTTCGCTGCCACAGGCCGTCGAGACCTCTTGTCGAAACACATCTCGTCGCTGAGACGTGCGTCTGCACGGAGGCTGTTCGCCGCCGGACTCCCCCCCCATCAAAGACAACGCCCGTTTTCGACTTGCCACGCCCCCGGTTCCGATCGCACGCCTGGTCTGCCTTGCAGCGAAGGCAGAGTCTCAGAGATGGGCCCATTGTCCAGAGCATCCGAGACCCGCCCTCGGCCAGCCTCGTGCAGAAGAGTCACGGTGAATAGAGGGTCACCTTACTAGCCGTACGGCCTTGACTTGTGGGGTGGGCCAGCGAGAAGGTGATCCATGGATGCCTCTCCCGGGACCAGGCCAGATTCTCCCCGGCGGCGGCGTTTCGTTTCAGGACGTCAGATGGCAAGCTTGAGACGGCGACGAGGGCGTCACATGGTTGGATAGCGCTGTCGATGGCGCCCGCCTCCGCGTTTGGGCAGCAGCTGCGTGGGCGTGCAAATGTGCCCTGCCCAGCTGAACAGAGCTTCCTGAGAGGGTGTTCCCCACGGACCATGAGGGCCAGAGATCTAAGACAGGTGGGGGGCTGGAGGCGATCCCCCTCCCTCCGCAGTGACTCTGCACGGCGCAGAGACAAGGCAGCCGTCGAGGAGGAAGAGAGAGACAGGCGTGGTTGGGTGGCTAGCCTCCGTGGAGTGTCGAGACAAAGAGGATGTTATCGCCGGGCTGGAGCTCGTACGCCTCCTCGCCCTCGAGCTCCCAGTCGGCATCGTTGATGAGCACCAGCACACCCGGACGGCTGTGGCGCTCGATAGTTAGCGGAAACAATTCATCCCAAGTCTGTCGCCTTGGCGGCGGATGTGACATCTGGAAGGGCTGGCCGGCAGGCAGGCAAGCCATGGACCCGGCACACTCGTGGCGGGCCGATCAGGGCCGGTGGTTGGTGGTGACAGGGACGCAGGGTCGAAGGTCGGGGAGCAGGGCCGCGTCCGTGGACCACGGCGGTGATCCAATCGCATGCTCAAGAGGGCATATCAGCACGTACATGTGGCCGTCGAGGACGAAAAGTTCCTTGCGCGTGTCCTTCATGACATGATCGCAGAGGTGATCTATCAAAAACGCAATGTCGGCGGCATGGCCGTTCCTGGCCTCGGACGGCAGGGTCACGGAGTGGTGCCGCTGGTCGGAAAAGAGCATCTCGAGGCCACCCCTGGGCTCGCGTGTCAGCGTACCATCCATCCGCAGCAGGGAGTTGTCGCGCATATCAGCGTCGCTGATGAGATCCCGGGGGGGCGACGCGACGAATCTGGGACGCCGGATGGTGCGTCGTCATAACGCATGACTCGCACGCAGGTGACGAGCCGGCTGAATGGACGGAGGGAGCCAACTCACGAGAACTCGACCGAGATTGTGAGCTGCTTGGCTCCATTCACATCCTCGGCAGTTGCCATTGCCATGATGAAGGCTGCAAGGGGCACGCCTCGTTGCTAGGTTCGGCAGCCCAGAAGTGGATGAGATGGGGTGCGGTGTCAATGGCAGGTCAACGTTCAAGCAGGCACCGAAATGAGTGGACAGAGTGACAGTTGGGCGTCGGGCCAGTGAGAGGTGCCGCTGCTAACTCGCTCCCACCCAGCTTCACTGCGAAAACTGTTAGCAGGCAGGGATAACGTAAGCGGGACAAACTCACTTCAACTGCAACCCAGCCAATCACAGCACCAGGTGCAAGCAATTTTCAGACTCACACGCACAGCTGCTCATGAGGACCCCGAGATGAGCGCAAAAGGGGCCTCGGTTGAGTATCTGGCGACGGGAGCCAACAGGCAGACGGCCGTCGCGGACTGGAGCCGGAGCGGCTTGCTGGCGTTTGGCGCCGACGTCAACGTTGCCCTGTGGCAGCCCTACGTGAGCTCAGACACCAGGTCGTCAACCGCGTTCAGAACGTATGACTGACTAAGAGTCGCAGGATGATCCTCCGAAAGGCATATGCAAGCTCCTGAGTGGACACAAGGAGACGGTCAAGGCCGTGGCGTTCCCGCTCGAGGTGGAGGGCGACGAAGACGCATATCTCATCAGCGGCTCAGATGACAAGACGCTCATCCTCTGGAAGTCGCGGCGTGGCAGTCACGACTTTCGCGCTCTCCAGACTCTTGCAGACCATGAAGGGCCTGTCAACTGCATTACAGCCGTGAGGCTCGCCGCCGATCAACCAAGGTGGATAGTGGCAACCGGAGCGGCTGATGCCACCATTCGCATTTGGATGCTCGAAGCCGACAAGCTGAATCTGCTACAAACCATCAAGACATCACCAAAATTCTTTCCCCTAGCGCTATCTCTCACTGCCTTGGACGATGATGCCGACGTTCTTGTTCTCGCTGCGGCCGGCACGCGGGACACGATCCAGATCCTGACCGCGGACGCCAGAGTCGATGCAGTCCAGTTCAGCGTGCAGGCGACGCTCTCCGGCCACGAAGGGTGGATAAGGTCACTGAACTTTACCAAAGAGACCAAAGACCCCAAGAGCGACCTGCTTCTAGCTTCCGCCAGCCAGGACAAGTACGTCCGTATCTGGAGGTTCCACCAGGGCCATGAGCTGCCAGCCCTGGCTGCCTCTGGGGCCGATCCTTCAAGCGGCGCCTTTCTTCCCGGAAAGTCGCCCTCCAACAAAGCATACTGGCTCAACTCTGCCGGAAAAGACTGCTCCATCACATTTGAAGCGCTTCTCCTGGGACACGAGGACTGGATCTACAGCGCGAGATGGCACGGCCACGCCGACGGCAAGCTGCAGCTGCTGTCGACGTCTGCCGACAACTCGCTGGCCATCTGGGAGGCAGACCCTTCGTCGGGCATATGGGTTAGCACAGTCAGGCTGGGCGAGATTAGCAGAGAGAAGGGCGCCACCACCGCGACGGGCAGCACCGGCGGCTTCTGGACCGGGCTCTGGTCCCCTGACGGCAACTCGGTAGCCTGCTTGGGTAGAACAGGCAGCTGGAGGCGGTGGCTGTATGAGCCGGCGCAGGATTTCTGGAGACCATGCGTTGCTGTCTCGGGACACACAAAGGCCGTGACGGGCATTTCGTGGTCGAGAGGCGGCGACTACCTCCTGTCCACCAGCTCAGACCAGACAACACGGTTGCACACGAAATGGACGATGTCAGGGGCCAACACCTGGCACGAGATGGCGCGGCCGCAGATCCACGGTTACGATCTCAACTGCATCGACGCGCTGGGCGATTCGCAGTTCGTGTCGGGTGCCGACGAGAAGCTAATGCGCGTCTTTGGCGAGCCCAAGGCGGTGGCCACCCTACTCAACCGCGTCGCAGGCATCGGAGGCTCAAACGTGGAGCACATGCCCGACGCGGCCAACATGCCCGTCCTGGGTTTGTCGAACAAGGCCATCGACGCCGTGGACGAGGACCAGGAGATCCAGCCCGTCGACGACCGCGACCGCGAGGCCATGGACCCGGCCTCGATGGTCAAGAAGTCCTACCTCCAGATTGACCACCCGCCATTTGAAGAGACACTGTCGAGACATACGCTCTGGCCCGAGATTGAGAAGCTGTACGGCCACGGGTACGAGATATCATGCCTGGCCACGAGCCACGACGGCAAGCTCATCGCCAGCGCGTGCAAGGCCAGCTCAACCAACCACGCCGTCATCCGACTCTTCGAAACGGAACGTTGGACCGAGATCCGCCCTCCCCTGACGGCGCACTCGCTGACGGCAACCCGCCTGCGGTTCTCCGCCGACGACAACTACCTCCTGAGCGTGGGCCGAGACCGGCAGTGGGCCGTGTTCGTGCGAGCGCCCGAGGAGGAGGCCATGTACAAGCTCCTGCAGGCGAACCCCAAGGGCCACAGCAGGATGATTCTGGACGCGGCGTGGGCGCCGTGCGAGAGCCCGGTCTTTGCGACGGCGGGCCGAGACAAGCAGGTGCGGATATGGGCGTCGGCGAAGAAGGAAGACGGGGAGTTGCAGTTCACGCAGGCGGCGGCCCTGCCGTGCGGAACGTCCGTCACGGCGGTCGACTTTCTGCCGCGGCTCGTCGGCGGCAAGGCGGTGCTCGCTGTCGGCACAGAGGTCGGGCGGCTGGCTGTGTACCTCGTCAGCGAGGACGGTTCGGCAGCCGTGGAACTGCCACTGCCAGATGAGTGGGTGACGCCCTTATCCGAGAATGTGAAGTCATTGCTGACCGCACACAGGCTCATGCTTCCCAAGACGGTGCTCCAGCTGGCGTGGCGGCCGGCCCGCGAGGGGACCGGCGCGCACACTCTCGCCGTGGCGGGAGAGGACAGCTCGCTGCGCCTGCTGGCCTTTGACGAGACGTATCTACAGACCGCAGGGCAGTGAATAAACTCTGAAACCGCGGCATAGATGCCCTGTCATTTTGTGTCTACCTTGATGCATGGCACTGTGAGGACTGACTTCTAGGTATTGGAAAGAGAGTAACTTTGGAACACAGAGTCGATGATCAGCTCATAGCCCAGGCTCCGCTGAACCCATCATCTTCCTTGACGACTTCCTTTTCCGGTCTCCTCACGCAGCCTGCTTGCGCAAACCCTCCGCGACAGCGGCATACGACCCCTTGGCAATCTCATCCAGGACGCCCAACCCCCTGGGCTCCCAGCCCAGCACCCTCCTCGCCTTGTCCCCCGACGCCCTGTTCTCCGCCTTGACAAACGACGCAAACATGTGGCCCATCTCGCCCGCCGCCTGCTCAAACGACACGTCCCGCAGCGGCACGCCCAGCGCGCGCGCCATGGCCCCGAACATGTCCCCCACCGTCACGTCCGTCTCGCCGCTCGCGTTGAACACCTCGCCGGCCGCGGCCGCGGGCCGCTCTCCCGCCCCCGCGGCGAGCAGGTACAGCCGCGCCGCGTCGTCGACGTGCACCGTCGTGGTGCGGTTCGTCCCGCCGTCGACGGTCGTTGCACAGCCTGCTTTGGCCGCTGCGTTGAGGAAGAGCCCTACGCCGCTGCCCCCGCGGCCGTACACCCAGGGGGCGAGGCGCACCGACGAGACGCGCACCGTCCTGCCGTTTCCCCCACCGCTGCCGCTGCTCTTGACCCCCTCCGTCGCCAGCGCCAGCGCGTGCTTCTCATGCTTGCCGCGCGTATTCAGCGGGCTCGCGTCCTCGGGCGACGCCTCGTCCGTCTCCCCGCCCGCCGGGTCCGCCGCCGCGAGCAGCGTGCCCGCCGTCGTGACGAGCGGCCTGTCCGTGCCGGCGAGCCCCTCGGCCAGGGCGTCGAGCGCGGCCACGTCCACGGGCAGCACGTCGTCGTAGGTGCCCGGCCCGCCGAGCACGTACGCCGTCGCCAGGTGGATGACGGCGTCGGCGGCGGCGCTCTCGGCGCGCAGCACGTCGAGCGTCGTCAGGTCGCCGCGGACGGGCACGGCGCCCAGGGCCTGCAGCTTGGCGTCGCTGCGCTCCGACCGTGAGAGCGCGCGCACCGAGTGCCCGGCGGCGAGGGCCTGCTCGGCGACCACGGCGCCGACGTAGCCGCTCCCGCCCGTGAGGAAGATGCGCTTCGGGGCCATGACTGCTGTATGATTGCAAGGTGTGAGGGTATTCGTTTTGATCTCGGAAAGGTAATTGATATGCTTGAGTTTCTGTAAATACTTTCACGGTCCTGCGAAGCACTGCATTATATACACATCCGTCTCAATGTCGTTTCGATTACACCGGAGTTAGACACATTTGGGGGCCACACTTAAGCCCGCGCGTCCGGCGCGCCGCCCCCACCACCACCGCTCGTGCGTCTCTGAATACGACACAGGGTATAGCGCCATTCTCCAACGTCCGTCAGAACCCAAACCCTGCTCTCCTGCGTTGCGCCTTTCGTCGTTAAGCTCAACGCAAGCGAGCAAGCAGCGCGTGCTTCCACTACTGCTCCAAGCATCTTCGTCCAAGCGCGGCGTCCCGGACTCTCTCCCGTGTCCGCAAAGTCCGGTAGAAAGAACTGTGCATTGGTCAGCAAGGACTTGGATTTTGAGGAGGTATCCGAGCTGAGCTCACGGAGCGGCTGATTGATTTGCGCATTGTCCGGTACCGGGGTTGACTCCTGGCATTGAACAGCGTCGTAGTCGAGCGGCACAAGGCCCCCAATGTAGAACGTCCTGCAGCGTCTGTGTCGATCTCCCAGTCTGTCGTCAGCAGGTGAGGTGCTGCGAGCTCTGTGCGGCTCAACAGCCGTGTCTTTGCCCTCAATCCCCAGCCATGCCATGTTACGCAAATAGCTGTAGTAGAAGAAAAGTATGCTGTCATTAGGCCCCTTATAGCGGGCAAGGTACTTCTATGATACACCGAGCAGCCAGACCAGCCGCCCCCCAAACGAACGCCGCGTCCATTCATGCATGCCCTCGCCGTTCAGCGTCCCCGTCTCCCATCCGCCATTACCCGCTTCGCTTCCTATCCTACCGGCGCGACTTGAGCCGACGCATCGTCGCAGACCCCCGACGCTCGTCCACCCTGCCGTGAGTGTCCTTGTGCGTGTTTATGTGCGTATGTGCGCGCACAGACACTCACAGCTCCTTCTCCAGCGTGCCCAGCGCCTCCTTGACGCCCACGGCCGTCGGCGGCGTCACGACGCCCTCGCCGCTGAGCACGCTCGCCGACATCTCCTTGACAACCTCGCGGGCCGACGCCGCCACGTCAATGTGCTCGCCCTTGATGTAGTACCACGCGCGGCCCGCCAGGGTGGAGATGTGGTGCGGCAGGTACAGCACCGCCGCGATGAAGGCGAGGCTGCAGAGCAGGAAGAGGATCGAGTCTGTCGCGCAATCAACCCCAGCGGTCAGCGTATTGAACAGGAGAGGTGTGAAGCGGAGAAATGGATGGGCGGCCGTGCGCGCGGCTTCCTCGTCATGTTGTAGAGAGAAACAGAGACTCGCTGGTTCAACGTACAAAAGGCAAACTTCTCCCAGGGCGTAAACATGTAGACGCTCATCGTCACCTCAAAGTGGTACTGCTTGCGGTGCAGCCACCTCCGGAATGTCCCCAGGTTCGACATCCTGCCTCTTCCCGCGACTCGGGCCCGGGGGATAGCAACGTCGGGTTAAGAGATTTGAGGACGACAATCGATCTCGGCACCGGGGGCTTGGTCGCGCTGCGGCCTCGGTCTGTTCAGGGCCGGGCCGAGGGTTCGGTATGAAAGCCTCTCGTCAATTCGACGGTCGCTGGTGCGCCAAAGGTCTCAACGAACGCTCGCTGGCTGGAGGGACGGGATCGGGAGATGGGCGGCGGTGGCGCTGGGTGTTCGCGTGCCCGTGGGAAAGGGAAAGGTAGGTGATGTGTCGTCGTCGGTTCTGCGCGAAGGGGTCGGGGCGGGTTTGATGCGAGATGGAAATTGTGCTGGCGCGCCCGGCGGCGCCGTCTGCACATGGGATGCGTCCACGGGTGCGTTGGCTGCCGGCGGAGCGGATAGACCAGCCCCCGCCAGGCAGGCCGGGAGCCGCTGCAGGACTTTCCAGGGGTCCGCTCCCCCTCTGGCGCAACCTTGGGTTTGGCACTTTGACGGGAAGCGCCACGCGTAAGGTCCGACAAAGGTAGGCCGCCCCACCCGCGGCGCAGCCTGTGACGGGAGTGCGTTGGAAGAACCTTGGAAGGTTGGACGTTCCTGTCGGGCCCCGAGTCAAGTGGCTTCAGCAGTGGATGTTCGGTGCCTTGGGCTGCCGTCCAGCGGCTACCACTTTCCATCAGCACCTGCGTCCAGCGAAGTTTCCTCCAGCGCTTCGCACGCCATCTGCGGAGACGACCGCCCGCTGTGCACGGGCAGCCCGGAACGCTCAACAGCGCCTCCGATGCGCTCCACTACCCGCCCATCAGTCGCCATAACCTAAGTTCACGAGGTAGCATCATCGACATCGATCTCCCATCACCACCGCCTCACATCACGCCGCATCCTCCCCAAGCGAGCAATGTTCCGCCTCGCCTCCACCTCTTCCATCCCTCGCATCATCCACCCAGCTCCCGCGCTCACATCACCGCTCTTCCGCCCGCGCCCTTTGAGCACCACTGCCTTCCACCTCACAAAGAGCCTCCCCTCGCGGCCCAAGCCGCCTCCAGACTCCGAGATCGAGGAGTCCTTCCTCAAGGGCAGCGGGCCGGGCGGCCAGAAGATTGTGCGTGCCGCCGCTCTGGGCTGCCCCTTTTCAAGCCATGTCTTCTGCGCGCTTAGCTAACAGGTCCGTTGTTTAACCCTCGCGCAGAACAAGACCAATTCAGCCGTCCAGCTCAAGCACATCCCCACCGGCATCGTTGTCAAGTCCCAGGCCACCCGCTCCCGCAGCCAGAACCGCAAGCATGCCCGCGAGCTGCTGGCGCAAAGGGTAGACGATCTCCTTCATGGCGACCAGAGCCGGTCCGCCATTGTCGGCGAGGTGAAGAGGAAGCGCGCCGCCAGTGCCGCCAAGAAGAGTCGCCGCAAGTACAGGAAGCTGCAAGACGACGAAGAGCCCTCCAATGCGCAGGACGCCGAGGAGCCGTCCGACCACGTGCGGCGACAGCAAAACGAGCCGGATACTACTACGCAGGCTGCAGAATCAGGTAGCTCAAGTAGCACAAGCACAAGCAAAGACAAACCTTGAGTAGTAACCTTGGCGCATCGCTGCGCTGCATGCAAACCCCCACACTCCGAGCGTCACGAGTACCCAAGTCAAGGACTTCACATGATTTCACACATTTGATACAATCGTCACCTCCGTTGTACGAGTCTAGACGAACGCAGATAAGAGTACTCAGAATATCACCTCAGCTCTGCCTTAACCCCATTACCCAGCCCGTCGCAACATGGGTAAGCCGTGTTCCAAACAGACAACCAACCCCTTGACCCTTTGAAAGACTTTTTGGTAGAAATGAGACCAGGCTGTGACGCTCGCGAGGCCGAGGACGCGTCGGCAATGGCCTTGTCGCAACTTGGAGAGGGTCTCGGTTCGGCTTGGCTCGCTGCGCCCGTCAGAATTCAGAGTCGCGAATTGGTCATCGCTGGCGGCGCTCACCTTAGAAGCACTTGCGGTGGACGATCGAGGGGCCGCTCTCGTCGTACTCCTGCTTCGAGATCCACATCTGCTGGAAGGTCGACAGGGAGGCGAGAATGGAACCACCGATCCAGACGGAGTACTTGCGCTCGGGGGGAGCGATGATCTTGATCTTCATCGACGAGGGAGCAAGAGCAGTAATCTCCTTCTGCATACGGTCGGAGAGACCAGGGTACATGGTGGTGCCACCAGACTGGGACAGGGGTCAGCAAAAGATGTCCGGCATAGCATTAGCGGTCCGGGCAGTCTCACCATGACAATGTTGCCGTACAGGTCCTTTCGGACGTCGACGTCGCACTTGATGATGGAGTTGTAGGTGGTGACGTGGATGCCGCCGCTCTCAAGACCCAGGACAGAGGGCTGGAACAGGGCCTCGGGGGCGCGGAACCGCTCGTTGCCAATAGTGATGACCTGGCCGTCGGGCAGCTCGTACGACTTCTCCAGGCTGGAGCTCTGGGCGGCAGTCTGGATCTCCTGCTCAAAGTCGAGGGCGACGTAGCAGAGCTTCTCCTTGATGTCGCGGACGATTTCGCGCTCGGCCGTGGTGGAGAAGGTGTAGCCGCGCTCGGCCAGGATCTTCATGAGGTAGTCGGTCAAGTCGCGACCAGCCATGTCGACACGGGCAATGGCGTGGGGCAGGGCGAAACCCTCGTAGATGGGGACGACGTGGGTGACACCATCGCCAGAGTCCAGGACGATACCCGTGGTACGACCGGAGGCGTACAGGGACAGGACGGCCTGGATGGAGACGTAGAAGGCGGGGGCGTTGAAGGTCTCGAAGACGATCTGCGTCATCTTCTCACGGTTGGACTTGGGGTTGATGGGGGCCTCGGTGAGCAGGACGGGGTGCTCCTCGGGGGCGACACGCAGCTCGTTGTAGAAGGTGTGGTGCCAGATCTTCTCCATGTCATCCCAGTTGGTGACGACACCGTGCTCGATGGGGTATCGGAGCGTCAGGATACCACGCTTCGACTGAGCCTCATCGCCGACATACGAGTCTTTTTGACCCATGCCAATCATGATACTGCCGCCCGGTTAGACGCGCCGGGGACCAGAAGAGGCGAATCGGCGCCCGAAACTTACCCATGGTGGCGGGGACGGCCGACAATGGAGGCTGCGTCGCGCGTTAGCACCGTCGTGGCGGCCGTGCGGTCGGTGGTGCACCCGGCGGCCAACTAGCTACGTAGCACGTTGGAGCTGAGCAGAAGTGGGGTACTCACGGAAAACAGCTCGGGGGGCGTCATCACCGGCGAAACCGGCCTTGCACATGCCCGAACTATCGTCGAGGTCAGTCCTTCTGAATCTTGAAGCCCATTGTGTCCAACGCTCGTCGTCGCCGCCGAGTATTGGATCCCACTCGCCGCCGGCGCCGCGCTGCGCGGTGAGGAGGGGGACACGCGGCGAGCCGAGGCGGGCGAGTCGGCGGTGAGACAGCGGGGAAGCTTACCCATTGTCGATGACGAGGGCCGCAACTTCTTCTGTGGTGAGGAGAAATGTTAGCAAACGCGGCCGCGATGCATGTGTTGATGCCCGCGATAGCCAGACAGGCGCGCGGCCTGGTTTCGCGGGCAAGCTGAGGTGGCATGCGACGTACCCTCCATGGCTGCTGATTGCGGTTGAGAAGCTGGTTGGGGACGAAGGATTTAGCAACAGAGGTCAGGGAGAGGGTGGTTGCGACGGGCAGCAAGAGCTCACGATTCGAAAAAAGGGCTAAGAGGACTTGTCGGGGGAGAGTCGTGGCAACAGTCTCGATGGTGGACAGGCTCGTAAGAGATGGGGGTGCGAGGTTGAAGAAGGAGAACCTGGCGGAGTGGAGGGGAGAAAGGAGGGAAGTACCTTTGGTATCTCCGCTTGGGGGGGCTTGGGGGCTTGGGGGGGGGCAACGCCGCTTGGCTGGCGGCGATGTCACAGAAAGTTGTGGGTTTCCAAATGGCTGGCAGCCCAACACCGCCTACCGGTTCGAGGCGGCGGGCAGAAAACGGGCTGATCAGAGGAGGGGAAGCCGCTGCCCGCCGCTTTTACGGCCCACTGATTGGCTTACGGTGGTGGCTGGGTACGAGACGGCCACCACTGTCAGCAGCTGCACGCACCGCTATTGGGGTTCCTGGGCCAATGGTGGTGGTGCTGGCGGTGGGTGGGTGCCCGCGCGGCCGGCTGGCGGCAGCAGCCTCCAGGGCTGCACAGGCCCCCCCGAAGGACGCCCCCGACAGTGGACAGTTGGTGAGGCACTGGCCGCTGTGGCACTCTCATCAGGCGGCCCGGGAGGGTAGTATTGGAGGGGCTTCGCTACTGGAGGAACTTACTTTCCTTGGCGGATCTCGTCCAGCAAAAGCCGGAGATGCGTGCCCAGCCCGTCAGCACCCAAGTCGACAGCATGCGCTGGTGCTGTGATGGCCCGCTCACATTGGCAACCTGGCGTGTGCGCGCAAGTGTCCTCTTTGCAAGCCTTTCTACGCCAAATGCAATCAGTGTGCTCATTACCTGTAACCAGGTGCCGCCGCTGCGCTCGGGCCGCAGACGTCACATTCGAACATGTCACAAATCCGTGTCTTCAAATTGTGGTTGCAGTTGGCTCTGGAAGCTTGCTCCCCTGTCTCACACAGATTGGCTGCCGATTGCCGACGCAGGCCATCTCCGGGTACGTACGTGACGTGTCTGCCCTCATCTCTTGCAGCTTGGAGGCAATTGAATTGCAGAGCCCCATCTATGTCACGATGCTCGATTGCAAAGCGATCCCGTGTGAGAGAGACAGACGTCGTTGAACATGGTCACCTGACCTGCGCAGCAGCGCTTGAGTCGCGTCCCCCCTCTAGAGCAGCGTCGCCACCATTCCGAAACGGGCTGGCCGCCGCCCGCCGGTCGGCGGATGAGGAATTTCTTGGTGGCCCTGTACCTGTGAAAGGGGCGAGGGGGTTGTCGTCAGCATTGCTGATGGCGGCGCACAGCATTACGCAGCTGCCAAAATGTTTCATCCGGCTGCCTGGCCTGGGCCCCAGAGACGGGATGCGAGCCGACGCGGCCGGCCGGCTGACCCTGGCCGCAAAAGTGCCTGGAGCCTACGATACTCGTACTCGCGGGGGGGACCAGGCGAGTCTTGCGTAGGCCCTTCACTTCCATCATATCGCGGTGCATCATTGGGCGTGTGCCTCCCGTCTCCAGGAAACATGAACCCTGTGCCCGTAGCCTTGCAGGCCCCAGCCAAAGTCCCACAAGTAATGTTCGTCGGGAACGCCGCTCAAACCCCGTACCATGTCAGGGTTTCCGGTCTATTTTGAGTGTGCCATCGTCATTCGGCGCGGCGGCTAAGATTTGTTTCTTCTGCCTGCGAGTACTGCTTCTGGCGTCCGGCGGTGGCTGCGCGGCGAGAGACAGCAGTGAGGGGCACGCTGGCAGGCAGGCAACTTGGCGTTGGCGGGGTATCTCAGAGTGCCCGCGATCTGCTCTCGGCCTCTCATGGAATGAAAATCCGACAATTGTTGATCCCACGAGGTTCTTCGAGGTCAATTGAAGCACCCCTGAACGTAGCAAGTTTCTTATGATCGCTGGTCAGCATGCTGTGCGCGTTCCCGCCGTTGCCGTGCTGATAAGGCGGTGCTGAGCAATGAGCATCCCCCAGAGCGCTAGGCCGCATTGGGCATAGGCCCTTCATGAAGCTTCCAGAATGGGCATCAACTCCAAAGAAAAAGTCGAGAGCTCGATCCCAACGTCACAACTGAAACCTTACAACAGCATCTTACTTCGCACCTGTCACGCCCGCACTCATCCATTGGCATCTCTGGCCTCTCCTAAATCACCATGGACGACAAGCGACTCAACGACCTCCTACGCTGGAGCATCGAAAACTCGGATGCCACCAGAAATGACCCCTCGGCGCAGCCCCCCGCCGAAGGCGGCACGCAACTCACGCCCGAAGTCATGGCGGCGCTGATGGGCGGGCCCTCGGACGCCGACCTCATGAAGGCCTCCATGGAGATCATCTCGGCGCCCATCTCCCCGGACGTCTCCCTCGAGGACAAACTCATCGCCTTCGACAACTTCGAACAGCTCATCGAGGGCCTCGACAACGCCAACAACATCGCCAACCTGGGTCTCTGGACCCCGCTGCTCGAGCAGCTGGCCGCCGAGGAGCCTGAGCTGCGCAGGATGGCGGCTTGGTGCATTGGAACCGCCGTGCAGAACAACGAGCGCACACAGGAGCGTCTCCTCGCCGTTGGTGGTCTGCCGCACTTGGTTGGTCTGGCGACCAAGGATACTGAGAAGGAAGACGTCAGGAAAAAGGCCATCTACGCCCTGAGCTCGGCCTGCCGGAATTACCAGCCCGCCATGGATGCCTGCGCCGACGAGCTGTCAAAGGTGGGCCACGAGACCGGCAAGGTGGACGCCACAAGCATGGAGGCCGTAGACGAGGTGATGAACGCCTTGCGCGCAAAGGCCAAGGCTGCCTAGACGACAGTCCTCTGGATACACGAATGCATTGGGCGGTGTTGGGGCGTTGCGGATCACCTGTCAAGACTTTTGGGGTCCGCCCGTTATATTTGGACATTTTGGACGGTTTATGATACATTGTTATACATGGTCTATGCCACATGGTTTCTTCCGGCCAATCGGCCGCGAACGCTCATTCTTTCTCTCGCCTCCATGACAACACTACCGTGCGTGTCTCAATGCGTGACCTTGCCGTAGAACGGGAAGCCTAGCGCCTCCATCAGCAGACGTCCTTGCCTGTCCGAGGTGCCCGTGGTGTGGATGAAGATGTCGCAACCAGGCATCAGCTTGGCCGGGTACATCTGTAGGCCGTTAGTATGCTGTTGCCATTACGTCAAGATAGGTATCTACTCACGTCGTAGTTGAACTCAATCTCCGGGAAATAGGCCATCCACGCCGGCTTCATGCCAAAGGCCAAGTTGCCCGCATCGTCACCGGTGGTTGCCTTGATCCCCGGCCAGTCCTTGATCTTGGGCAAAACCAGCGTGACCAGCTTGTCGACAAAGTCGTAGGCGGCGCCGCCGCGCAGCGTGACCTTGGCGCCAGCCTTGTCTCCCTTGCGAACGCCCCATTGAATCACATGGTGCTTGACCGTGGTTACCTCGGGGTACGCGCCAGAAATGGCCTGGACGACGGCTCGCGCGACGTGCAGGTATTCCTTGTTGTCCGCGGCAAGCGGTGCGTACGAGTTGATGGTGACGGCCTCGATCTCGGGAATGTTGTTCCAGGTAATCTTGCGCTCGAGTATGCCGAGCCGCGAGGAGCCACCACCACGGGGGCCTCGCCGCGGACGGTTCTTGTGGTACGGGGAAGAGTCATCCCATTCCCTCAGTGTGCCCTTTTGCGACTCGACTGGCACCGTGCCGGGAGGAACGTGGGTGTAGGTGAGGGTGAGCAGGTCGGGAGCGATGGTGCTGTCGTATGTGTGCTTCATCCTAGGGAAGCTGAACGGACCCGGGACGAAGTCTCGAGCGGTCGGATCGGACGAGGGGGGCATCTGCACCGGGTGAAGAGGACCGCGGTAGTACTTGGGAGGATGGTATTGATAGCTGATTCTGTTAGTATGGGATCCGAGCAGGGCGAATGGGTCGAGGCGCCTACCGGTTGCCTGGGAGTTTCGTCTCGCTTGCGCTTTGGCTGCGGGCGGCAGCAAAAGCCTGCGCAGTCTTGGCATCTGGCGTCGGCGCAGTGAAAGCGGTGGTGTCCTCGAGGTCGTTCAGCTCGGCCGGTTTCGAAGCCGCTTCCGCGGCGCTGGAGGCGAAGCGTCGAGCGCATGTAGGCGCTGTCCGCAGAGGCAATTGCCCCGGGCGCAACGCCCTCGCCAGTCGAGTTCCTTCGCGCGCTCCGGCCATTGTGGAATGCCCGTTGAGCTTGATGATGAACGCGGTGGTTGTCGTGAGATGCGGATTGGAAATTTCCGTCCGCCAGGAGGCTAGTGACTCAGCCACATGGAGCTCAACTCAAATGTGGCGGTGCGGCCGCCACTAGCCACCGGCTGGCACCATCATTGTCGCACAAGCACACTGTGATGCCCTGTGCGTCTCTCACCAGGACAGACCGAAATAGCAGATCGACGGTATTGAGAGTGTAAGCCCAATTTAGTTTCTTGGCCATGTTACAGGGTGGTCCGACGATGCTTCGCTCACATCACTTGATCCGGCGTTACGAGTTTCACCACGCTGTCAGGCCGTGGGCTAAAGGCACACATGCTACCAACACGAACGTCACGGCAGAGGTCGATACTTTTACGTGACACATCCAATGCAGGGCTGTTGCTCCCGGTCATTGGATTTAAGCGAGGTCAGGTGTGCGTTGTTGTCGTCGGCTGCCTTGCGGGGTGACGCAATGATCGCGAGACCGATCGCCCCGTCAGCACGTCGCGTTTCCTGACGCAAGCCCCAACGGACCAACAGGCGAGCAACCGAAGTCCGGACGGAGCGCTGCAGCAAAGGTGCTGTCAAGACACCGAGATAGCCGCACGTGGCATGTGTGGTACGCAGGATGGGGGGGCGGGTGGCGCCATTTGGATTGATAAGGGGCACTTCCATTGCACGTCTAGACTCCAGGCCGCTGTGAGGCACAGCAAAGTGCTGTGGTACCCTTCTCGCTCTACTGGGCGGCATTCAACAGTCTCGTTGACGTGGCGATTTTGACAACGAGCCAACGGCGACGCAGAGGGGGCGAGAACAGGCGCCGTTGACTCCAGATTCGCTGGTCTGCGTCTGCCTAGGAGCTGGCTTCGTCATGGCCATCCGTGATTTCGTGAAGCATCGGCCCGTCTTGGGTACAGTTGAGGCTGATGCAGACGTTGCTGCGGCATCCTGCGGGACCACACGCAACGTGGTGCCGGGGCCCCAAAGCGGTCGATTTTACCTTTCCCAAGGGCCGCCTCCACCCGTTGGGGATGCGACTTTTAGTCCCTGTGTTGCGCATCGTGCTGACACCCAGGGCGGACTCGCAGGGCGCCGGCGCACGTTGGTGGACCTGGATGGCGGTGCGCCTGGTCAAGGCGCCCACCGAGACTTGCAGGCAGCCTGGAACAGATCCTAGAACACAGTGAGATCGGACTTGTTTTCGCACAAGAATAGATGTGCTGAGCGCCCCGGGTGATACAGTGCGCAGATAGCTTCGGACGGCTACCGGACCCCGTCCAGGGTTCCCGTCCCTCCCGCCCGCCTACAGGCACCCAGCGACCACCTCAGTGGGCGGATACAGTGGAGCGGCGTCAGCAGGTTCAGGAAGGTCCAGCGGACACCACAGGGGTGTCGCAGAAGCTCCATCCTGTTAAAACCATCAAATCGTCTCCAAGACCCTGTCAATCCATCTGTCCGTCTCGAGACGCCCGCTTTCTGGCCACGCCTCCCACGCCGCCCATGCTCGACGAGATCTCGACTTATCCTATTACACGTACACGTCACGTCGCCCTTTGTGTCACTGAGCTTGCCGTCAACACCGTCTCCGCTGCTGCTCCCGCCGCCTCCCAGTCTTCGATCTGCCATCGTCTAGCGTCGTCGTCCTCCGTCTCACCCCTGCTCGACACTGCCACCCCGCCATTCCAGCTGCTGCTGGTCGAGTTCCCCGCGAACTGCGCGCCCTCCGAGTCTCCCCAAAAGCCTCAACGGCGGCACTGGCGCGCAGCCCGACGATGGGAATCCGCATGCAGCTGCTGCCCCGCTGAACCCTGCGAGGCTCTCCCGGCCGAGTCGAGTCGAGTCGAGTCCCCTCGCCGCCGCGATATAAATCATGAAGGAGTTTCCAAGAAAGTTCCTCAGCCTGCGCGACAAGAATGGCACGCATCGACGCAGCAAGTCGGTGCCGCCTGGGCACAAGGACAAGGTAGGCCGCCTCCCGAACGCCCCATTGTCTCTGCGAGCAGGGGTTGACCGTGTCCAAGTCCCGGCCACTGTCCGCCGAGGCTTTCCGCGCAATGTTCAAGATAGACAGCGCAAAGCACGCCGCCAAGCTTGACGCCGACAAGGACCTCGATGACAGCAAGGTAGGCAGGCGCCGATCAGACTGTTGAGTGCCCCGCTAACGTACGGCCAGATCGATGAGGTCCAGGCGCTTCTCGACCGCCTCAACATCACCAATGTATCCTCCGAGCACATTCGCGATATCATGGCCACCAAGTTCGCCGATGGTGATCCGAAGAGGACGGCCGACTTCATCGACATAGAACAGAAGGCTCAGGCCGGTATCATTGTCTCCTACGATCCAAGTGTCCACATGGTCGGTGCCGAAAATCGAGAAAGCGTCACTTGTTACCTCGATGCTCTGCTCTTCGCCATGTTCTCCAAGCTGGACGCGTTCGAGTGCATGCTCAAAACCGACTTTACTCTAGAGGATCCCCGGTATAAGCTCGTCAACCTGTTGCGCATATGGGTCAACATGCTGCGCTCCGGAAAGCTGATCCGGACTGACCTGGTGGGTTGCGACATGCAAATCCAGTATTACAGCGACGCTGACTTTGTAAGACGAAACTGATACAGGATACCATCGGCGACTGCGGTTGGCCAGATGCTCGTTTGCTAGAACAGCAAGACACCTCAGAAGCATTTGCGTTCCTCACCGAAACCCTGCAGTTGCCCCTCCTCTCCTTACAGGTGGACCTTTTCCACCAAGGCAAGAAGGACAAGGACGACCACAAGGTCGTGTATGAGCGGCTCCTGAACCTTGCCGTTCCCCCCGATCCTGAAGGCAGAGGCGTCAAGCTCGAAGACTGCCTTGAAGAGTACTTCAATGCCCGCGTGGATGTGCTGCGAGATAGTGAGGAAGGGAAACGGTCGACCATCGATGAAGGCAAGCCGGAAGATCGGCCTAATCTGGTTCACCAAAGCACGATTCGCCTTATCAGAGGCGAAGAGGCTGGTTCCTCCTCGTCAATGACGGCATCCCCTATTGACATGTCGTCCCCTTCCTCACCGTTTGGTGAGGTAATTGAACGAACGAGCTCAATCGTCTCAACCAAAACCAACGATACAAGCTCCGCGCAGGATCAGGACAATTCAACAAACAAGGACGATGGCGAAAAGGCGGATACTCTACAGAAACGCCCATCAACTAGGCATCGCTCCACAAGCGTGATTCAGCGCATCCATGTGGACGAGCAAGGCCGGCCAACCGCGGATGGAGTGAACCTCCCGAGGCGACGCCGCAAAGGTTCAACAGTGGTCAAGGCGGTAACTATACCTGCCTGGCAATTCTTTCGCCTTATTCGTAAGTAGCAGCATTCGCGTCTCCGAGACATATTACTGACAAGCGGAACAGCCTGGCACGCACTCACAACAAATGAGCCCCGCAACGACGTTGAGGTTGCTATGAATTTCGATCAGCGTCCAATTGTCGGCATTTGCCTCAAGCGCTACGCCATGACCGAGTCAGGCCTGCCACAGCGCTCCAACACGTTCATCGACATCCCTGACAGTCTACGGCTACCGCACTTCATGCTGGCAGGCAACCCTGAACCCGACGAGGAGAACGAGTTAAGCACAGAGTACAAGCTAGTCCTCCAGTCCGTCGTCTGCCATCGTGGGGACTCCCTCCAAAGCGGTCACTACATCGCCTTTGCTAGGGTGGCACCCAAGCTGCTCACCGGTAATCGGAGGCACGATTTTGATCCGCCACCGGACTACGAGGAGGCGCAGTGGGTTCGGTTTGACGACCTGGACACGGACAATCGTGTCGTATTCGTGGACGACATCAGGCGTTCACTGAAGGAAGAGATGCCATACCTCTTGTTCTACCAGGTCGTGCCAATGGTGGACATGACTTGCCCATCAACAGAGGGCACGGAAGCTGAGCCTCCATCCTATGTCGAGTCGTCCAAAACGAGCCTTGAGCTGCCATCTGCGGCTGCAGCTTTCCACGGAGACCTCATGGCGCACAGTCGACTCAACGAGCGGCATCACGATGACACTCCTGTCGCAGAGGCATCAAGGAGCAAGCCGCCTAGCATTCGGCTCTCATTCGAGGGAGAGCGGCCCCATCGTCTGAATGCCGACAGAGCATGGGTTGCTCCCTCCACAGCCTCAACGCCGGGTGGTTCCCGCCGTCAGAGCGTATTCACGGACTCGGCTGCGGTGTCTCCAGCCGTCACCCCCGGCGCAAGCTCGCCTGTAATCACACCAAGCGACGAGACCACGGCATCACGCCTTTCGCGCGCCGCTTCTCGCTTTGCACTCGGACGACAGAGTCGCCCGGCAAGCCAGTCCGGCGAGGGTCGGCTTAGCTTCTCCATGAGCCGTCTGGGCGGGCTCATGAAACCGAGCAGAGAGCCCCTCGCAGAGTCGAATGGGCTCACCGCATCGGCGTCTAACTCGACCGCACCACTGGGGTCGGACGCCTCAGTCAAGGCGCCCGAATCCCCCGAAGACGTAGACAAGTCTTCTGCTCACGCACAGAGCACACCAACTAAGAACAAGAGCACCAAGCCGAAGGACAAGTCCGCGAAACAGAAACCGCAAGGCGACCAACCCGAACGGGAGTGTTCAGTCATGTAGTGTTTTCGATGGGACCCTATGACGGCTCCCTGTTTTCCTCCTCTGTTTTCTTCCAAGATTCACAGCTTTGCCGGTCACACTCGACACAAAGGCACATGAGCAGCGATTGCATAGATTGCATGATATGGCATGGCGATGGCGGAGCGTGAGACGCACAGACGACACTGGCAGATGGCCGCGATAGACATGGCATGCATGGGAGGGTTGCACGATACCACGGCGTTGAGTAGGGCGGGGAGAGCACTATTGCATACGTAGCGAGATGCACAGAGCAATGGGCGGCATAGAAGCCGGGCCGCTCACGACAGTAGTAGTTACGACAGACTATGCCTACTGAAGAAGGAATACTAAGACGTCTCATTTGGAATGCCAAGACTGAGATCCGAGCACGTTGGGACGAAGGCTAGTGCAACATGTAGAACAATCGGTTTCGTCTATATCCTCGTACACTACAACCAGGATTTAGGATTCTGCTCCGAGAACCCCCGTAACCGTCGGCCGTACACAGGGCCCATCGAAGCCCCTACTCCTGGGAAACCAAACATGCCCCCATACTGCGTTACAAGGCCCCGCATAGGAGGCCCTTTTGAGGATTGTAATATACACATGCTTGCGGACGTGGCTACCGATCCAAGAATTCCCACCGCTCCTGAACCAGGCGGACCGCCGTGCGCAAAAGGCGTCAATATAGGCGCCAGATAAACCTTCGTTTGCTGTCTCGGCTGTGTTGGCAATATCTATCGGGACGAAGCTGCCCGCAAACGTGGCGGCCGCCGCGCAAAGGCGACATCGGAGGCGCCGTCTTCAGAGCTGGAGGCGCTGGAGACGAGGACGAAATATTAAGACATCGGATGAAGTGACGGCGCTCGATTATCGGCCGCACGACGTCGGCCACGCGGGGCAGCTTCATGGTAAGAGTAGAGTTGGAGCCGAGACGCCTTCGTCACCGACCTTGTCGGGCTTAGAAGGGGATGTTGGGGGGCGTCTGGGCACCCAGAGCCTCCTGCTGGTCTTGCAGCTCTTCAGGTGCAGCCTCAATGGACACACCAAGGCCCAGCTTCGCTTGTTGCTGTTCAGGGTCAGCTAGGGTTCAAACTAGCAAGGCGCACGGGATCACCTACCGTGAAGTGGTCGACGTCGGCCGCGAAAGTCATCATGACGGGAGGAGCAACACGCTTCTCGAGCAGGCAGGAGAGCTTGCCCTTGGAGTCGACCTGAGCGCGGAAAGTAGACATGCGGAAGTCATACTTGGCGCCGATGGTGGTGACGCCCTCCTTCTGGAGGCCGCCGCCCATAAGACCGCCGGCAGCAGGAACGAGACCGAGGCTCAGGTCGACACCGGCCTGGACCTTGTCGGAGAGCTTGCGCCAGTATGAGGTGTTAAGCGTTCCCATGGCAGCCTGCAGCTGAGCGGTGGCGACCCAGTCCTCGGCCTTGTAGCGAGCGCAGTACGAAACGGCGCACTCGGGGCCCTGGGTGAGGGCGGGGCGCTGCCAGAGAGTCTCAAGGCCAAGAGCAAGACGGGGGGTGACAGACTGCAGGTAGCTTCCGATGTAGATGCCAGTCATTCCGCCCTCGAGGAACGAGGGGTTAAGCATCTTGAGGGAGGCGCTGAAGTCATTGCCGGTGTACTCGTGCTCGAACTGGGCCATGTCCTGGCCGCCGGGGGAGATGGAGAGCTGCGACTTGGACACGAGCTTATCGGTCCAGCGGAAGTTGAAGCGGCCGGAGAGAGAGCCCTCGTTGTCGATGTTGCCTTGGCAGAAGACCTGCAAGAGTTAGCACGAACGGCGTTGCGTCACGAGTCTGCCGTCAGCGACCTACCTTGCCGGTGCCGTACATGGCGGCAAAGGTGTAGGGGTTGATGCGCTCGCCCATTGCGAACTGGTGGGAGACCTGGAAGAGCGGCGCCATGCTGAAGATCTTGGTCAGGTCGGCGCGGATGCCGGTGAACATGTAGTTGTTGAGGAAGACATCGCGCTGGACCTCCTTGGCGAGGGTCTCGATGGTGCCAGGGTTGGACAGGCCGAGCTTGGCTCTGCGCTCGGAGAAGGAGTTGAGCGCATCTCCTATCGTGATGGCAATTGGGTTGGCGAAGAGGAGGGAGCGTATCGGGTCGAGCGACGACGACGCCATTGTGACGGGTTCCGGAGCGGCGTCGCGGTGGATCCAGCGACGAAGCTGCAGGCGCGGCGAAAGAAATCAGGAGTGGGAAGACGAGGAGCCTCCTCCGCAGAGCCGAGCGAGACGGGCGGGTGACAAGGCTGTGACGAGGCCTTGAGTCGCAGGTCGGTCGGGATCCAGGACGCCAGGTGACGCGATGACGACCTCGGGTGTGGTTGGATATGGAGAGGAGTGTTGGAGGAATAATTTTCATCAGCCGCCGGTCGCCTTCTGGGCGGGAGCCGGCCAGCGGGTGCGGTACGTACCTTTAGTCAACGCAACCCAATGGAAGCCAGCAGCAGTGGATGGCGCTGGCATACCTAGTGGAGGCGACAGTCAGGCGCCGCCAGTGAGGTGGCCGACCGGGGAGCTGCGGGCGGATGGGGGAATGTTCCGCTCCGGCCTGTGCGTTGGTGTGGCTTCTGGACTGCCGTGGCGGGGACTTGGCTGAGCGTACCGGGTACCGCACCGGGCTGAGCCTCGGCGCGTGGTCCTGGCCATGGAGCTTCCCGCTCAAGGTATCTGTACCCTGTGTCATCTCTGAATCTGGGCGGCAGGCGCACGCGGTGGTCCCCCCTGCAGTATTGTTGGCCTCCAAGCCGTCATTGCTCTTACCCGGGACGTTTCGTTCATGATGAGGAAAGCCCTCCGTACTTCTCCCTCCAATATATACCGCTCAAACTTGAAAGTCCATTATTCTCATCGGCCCCTCTTCATCTTAGCCAGCTACTCTCGCAGCACACTGCTGCTACTAAACAGATAGCCGGCTCCTCGTCAGCGGGGCGCTCATCCCGACAATATCCGATCGTCGAGCTTGCTTAGCCTGCATCGCATCGTCAAGTATCCTTCCAGCTAGCAGCTTCTCTGGCTATCCAACTGACCAGAGGCACTGAGGCGATCCGCTGGAGCACGGCGGAGCTTCGACGAGCTCACGAGTCCACGAGTTCGGCATTCGGCCCGCTTATCAAGTCGGGGCCTTCCAGCATCGGGCTGACCGCTTCGCCCCAGAGAGGTTCACGCTGGTGCATGCGTGCCCAAGACCTTCACCCCTCGCTCCCCAACCCATTCTCCCAGCAAAGCCCCGCAAGCAAACGTCGAGATGGACACTTTACTGTAAGACCGGCAATAACTTTCAGCATGATAAGTGAAGCTGATGAGGCAGTACTGCCGAGATCGCGGCCAACGCGCCCCGGTACCGCCGCAAGAGCTCCACGTTCATCGACGGTATCCACGACATTCCCGAGGACCAGGATATGGCCCCGGCCCAGCTCTACAGTACCATGTCTGGTCGATTGTTCCACTCGGGACGGATTGCCATCGTCATGGTCGGGCCACCAGCACGCGGCAAGACGTGAGTCGAATCCACTCACCCAATGGGACCCAAACTCACTTTCGCAGTCACATTTGCGTGTCGCTCGCCAGGTACCTGCAATGGCTCGGCGTCAAGACGCGAATCTTTCATCTGGGCGACTACCGCCGCGCCACCATCGGTCCGGAAGGCTCAGTGCCTGACGACTACTTCTTTCCGAATGCCTCGCCTTCTTCCGTCATCCTGCGGCAGAAGATCTTGAAGAAGTGTCGCGAAGACATTTATGCCTGGCTGAATCACGAGAATGGCCAAGTCGCTATCTACGATGCCGTGAACCCGACCGCGAGCGGTAGACGCTCCCTCGCCAAGGAGCTGGCAAAGCACGATGTCCAGGTATGTGTTGCCAACACCGTGCGACGAGCCGAAATACTGACGCAGCGGAGACTCTTTTCATCGAGTCGTACGTGGACGATGAACGTATTCTTGTCGAGAATGCGAGAAATGTCAAGATTTCATCTCCAGACGTGAGTGCCCTGTGCCGTAGGGTATGGACCGACATCTGATCAACGTTATTTACTCTAGTTTGCCGGAATGGATCCCGACGAGGCCGCTCAGCTGTACCTCAAGCGCATAGAGATGCGCATCCCGATGTTTGAGTCGATGAACGAACCTGAACTCAACTACATCAAGATGATCAATGCTGGCGCCAAATTCTTTTACAATAACGTCAGCTTCAACTACCTGTCTCATCGCATCGTCTTTTACCTCACCAACCTGCACATCAAGTCACGTACCACGTTCTTCGTTCGCGCAGGCACCACCGAGGAGGAGGACTCTTACAAGGCTGATGCGCCGCTTTCGGAACTGGGACGCCTCTACTCTCAGAAGATGTCCGAGACGCTCCTGAGGCATCGCGAGCAGGAGGAAGCTGAGCGAGTCGAGAAGGGCGGCGCCCCGACGCCGCTACGGCAACTTTCCGTCTGGACGTCGACGCGGATGAGAACCGTCCAAACATCGGACTATTTGAAGGACAAAGGGTTCAAGGTCCGTCAACGGTCGCAGATGAGCCAGATAAACCCTGGCATCTGCGAAAAGATGTCGGAGCGTGTCATTCGGCAATTATATCCAGAAGAGGTGGAGAAACATGAGATGGATCCCTACCACCACAGATATCCCCGCGCAGAGGTATGTATCCATGGGCATTGATGTATGCGGACCTGCTGACAGCGCATAGTCTTACCATGATCTTGCTGTGCGCCTCGAGCCCATCATCCTCGAGCTCGAGCGCGAGCAGAACGACCTCCTTATCATCGCCCACGAGTCAGTGCTACGCGTCCTGTATGCTTACTTGATGCATTGTTCCACCATGGAAATTCCTACTCTCAAATTCCCGCGCGACGAAATCATTGAAATCATCCCCGCGGCATATCAGAATGAGGCGAAGCGCATCCACATCCCGGGGCTTGACCCGAGCATGGTGCCCGATATTCCCGATGACGAGAAGAGCCCGGTGCCTGGTGGCAGCCTCCCGGCGAGCGGGCTCATTAGCGGGCATGGAAGCGTGCCCGGCAGCGGCCAGATGAGTCCCATCGCTGGCGGGATGAGCAGCCCTGCGGTCGCTCTGGAGAGGCCTCCGGAGAAGGTGATCAACACGGCCAAAGACATGGTGGCGGACAAGGTGGATGACGAAGATTAAGTCTGATGCACGATTGAATTGCTTACAAGCTGGCGAGGTGTACGGCAAACGGGTAGGGGCTGGTGTAACCAATATGTAGTTATGAGGGTGTTTCCAGTCTGGCCAGGGCTGGCCAGGGAAAGGCGAGTAGGAAGACGGCGCCACGGCACATGGAATACAGTCTTAGGATGCACCCCTGTCTCTTTTCGGAAAGCTGGCGAAAGTACCAAGTAGGGGCCTCTTGTTCTGGCCATCTGCCTGTGTTTCGAGGCGTCCTCGAGCAGGAGTTGGGGTCCCCCTTCGTCATGCGACTGGACGCTGCGCCATCCATGCGCGTGCCCGCTCGTCTGACATACATGAACTCACCAAACCGCACACACATTCCGCACCGCGCGGCGTGAAGGTACTGTGATGTGTGGTGACACGCACACACCGGTGCTCTGGAACAACAAATGCCGCCGCCACCTTGTTGGGGGGACAAGGGCCGGGGGGGGGTTCCCTTTGCGAGACAAGACGACAGGAAGGAAAGGATTGATGCACTGCACTTTCTTCTTGGCCCCCGAACGGCGCGGCGTTGTTGGCGCCCGTGAGACGGCGGCGGGATAGCTTCCCAGCCAGCCAGCCAGCCAGCCATGTTCATGGCCATGACCATGACCAAGACCAAGACCATCGCCCAAGAGAGGGAGAGGGCCGCGCAGGGTAGGGCAGACGAGGCTGCACGCATGATCCTGAGTTCTGACGCTCGTCGATGGCCCGCCGGCCGGCGGCGCGTGGCCCATGGGCCGCCTGCAGGGCGCATGCATGCATCCAGCCGGATTGGGATGCCAGCATGTAGTATGTATATATGCAGAGACGATATGCGCTGCAGTTCTGGGTTGGAGAAGAGGGGAGGAGGGGTGGGGGAACGAGAAAGAAGGGAGGGATGGAAGCTGCCGCGTGGCTCGTGTTTGGAAGCAAAGGTCGTCTACACTATAGTTGAACAGACGACCTACCTAAGTCTGGCAAGGCCCGACGCGACGATCTGGCTATGAGGAGACTTCTTGGAGGAGCAATCAGCGCAAGAGTCGCGTGTTCCTGCCGGGCCAGGCCAGCCATATGTGTTGCGTGTTACCATCGGCTCCAGGAGGCGAGATGGTCGCTTGGTTTGCTTCGATGACCCCTGAAACTGGTCAACGAGCGCTGGTGCGAGTTGATACGGCTCTAGGTCACATAGTCTGGAACACGGATACCATAGCCATGTCACTACGTTCGCAGAAGCTTGCGAAAGCGGGCTTCTGTGAGTTTCTGGATACCGCAGAGCTGTTTTCGAACGCGCGAGCTCACCTGATGCAGCACACATGAGGCATAGCTTCAGTCCTGGCTGCCGGCCTCTTCTGTCGTAGTTGCCTCCCCCTTTGTTCCGCCCGCGCGCTCGCAAGGTTGCCGCACACAGGGATCGCCACCCTGGGCTGTGCTGCGTCACACAATGGGAATCGTACTGCGTGCCCCCAAAGAGAATTCGTTGTCGCACGAGACAACAGCCGCTCGGCGGCATCCGCAAAGGACGAGGCTTGGATGAGGGCCTCGATCCAAAGTCTGGTCCAAGCACGCCGGCAAAGAGCGAAAGTCAGTGAGCGACCTTGCCCTTGTTTTGGCACCTCGCCTGCGAGATGTAGAGAGTAGCACCGAGCCGGGTCTCCGTGCTTGTTTCTTGCCACTGACTCGTACCGGGTTGAGGGTCATCTGAGCCGGGACGAAGCATCATCAAGTTGCCCGGCTTGGGCGGCGACATGAGTGTTCGAATTCGCGCATGTACCCGACGGCGATTCGGTCGACTGCAGCAGTGAGAATGAGGCTAATGTCAGGGTCCCGACTGGTTGCCATAGGCCCACGATGAAGCGTAGTGTTGCATGGGCGTAGGAAGTGTGCGTGAAACCGTCACATATGACGCATGCCCACGGTCCAATCTCGTCGACAGACCAGCGCAGAAGGAAAACCGCTCATACCAGTGCCTTGGTTTGTTGGGCTCACCGTGAGTGATGCTTATGGCATGACTGGCGGACGACGGGAGGCACGTCCGCGCACGCTCAGCGCATGTACGTCGGGATACATTCGCATGCCTGGGGTCGGTAATGACACAAACTAATTGCGTCCAGGCACCCAATAAATCGTTTCAACTTTCCCTACGCAGTAGGTGCGAGGCCAGATTGAATGGCCAAGAGTTGGAAGTGTTGCTGGCACCGAGCCAGCCCGTGAAGCCTCGGCGTGTCATTGGATGACACACAAAGATTGCTTCTCCTGCCGGAATTGGGCGGACCTCCTGGCCTTTAACACTGGCGAGAGTCTGAGGAGGATCTGGTTCCGTCCGAGCCAGCGCCAAAGCTTGTTTTGCAAGATGGTGATTAAGCTTGTTGATCGGGAATATGCATCAGTACGTCGGGGCTCCTACCGGTTTTCGACGTAGCTAGCATGTCAGGAAGGCAACCGCAAAACGACGTAATCTGCGAATCCCAGCCGGGCGGTCATTCGTATACGGACGAAGGAAGAGCCGCCAACGTCTCTCACACTGACTTATTCGATGCTCTTGCAAACACTCGTGTTGCCAGGCGCAGGAGATGTCGCCATCACCGTGTGTAACACGCGCTTCGCTGAAAACCAGAAAGGCTCCAGTGGTGACGCGATCCCAAAGCCTATTAAAATAGCGACGACTCCGCTGCTGATGCACATGACCATCTCACCTGACTAGATCCGGCGAGATGCAAGGTGAGCTGCGGAAATAGCTGAGAAGATGAGGCCATGATTGCTGCACGGCTGCCCACAAAAGAGCTGATTGACTTGCACGACATCGCCCATGATGAAGTGCGTCAATATCTGGAAGTAGAGCTCTCATGGTCAAGATCGCAAGGGGCGACCCACGCTTGGGCATGACATCAGCGTTTCCGCAGCGATGCTCCTAGATGTCTGCACGAAGTTGCGCATAGTACTGTACATACAATACTGTACAATGAAGGTACTGTACGCGGATGAGATCCCAGATCCAGTCCTACCGGCAAGGGAAAGGCGTCGTTGACGGGATAACTCGCGCCGGATCGTGGTGTAAGCGCATTGGTGGCTGCCACAAGGGCCGTTCCAGCATCTGCAGGTCGAGCGTGCGGCGTCCAACGCCAGCCAAGGGACCCGAGTTCCCGGCGAATGAGATGGGACGACGAGCTTGTGGCGTGGTGCGAGGCCACACGGGGCGGCAATGCAACTCACGCTCCAGCCGTGTGGGTGATATGTAATGTGGCTCGCCGCCCAGCATGTTGCCGCTCAACGTCCCAACGTCCAAGGCGTGCGCGGTTGAGCCTGGCCCAAGCAACACCAACCAATTGACCAACAATTGATCATCGGCCGAGAATTGGGCAGCTGTGCTTGCCCTGCCTGCCTCGACGCAATCGGGAGAGAGGCCGTTTGCTTTGTTCGTCGCCACCCGGTGCAAGTGAACCTAAACGGACCCGTTAGCGCCGAGTGGGTAGGGTCATGAGACCTCGAGACACATTCCACGCAGGCAAGGTCCCAGACGCGGGCATGGGCGTCGTGAGAGAGGACTGGCCAACGTACATAGACACGTACGCGCTCGCACAAACATCCGGCAGGGGCAAGACGGTGCGACGCCAAGACAGATGCCGATGCCGACACCCTCGCAGTTGGCACCGTCCGCGCAACAGACGCAGTCATGCCGTGTTGAGGCACGGCCGTGAGCCTCTCGTCGCCAGCATGACGTCCGGCGGTGCCATGACGTCGCACGCCAGCGTGACCAAGAACCAGCATCGACGCCGCTGCGAACGCGAGCTCCACAACGCTCCGGCCCAGTGCTGCTGCACCCACAGCCGTCCCGGTCGGTCCACTGGCGAGTCGACTGAATTGACTTTGTGGGCCGCGAGCTCTGAACCAACACGGCGGCGGCATCGCATCGCATCGCGTCGCATCGCATCGCATCGCATCGTGGAAACCCCGTGACCTCGACAAGCACCCTGGGTTGCACCCTCTGGAACGCACAATGCAGCGAGGCAATTGGGGCAAAAGGTCGGATCGGTAGGCCGGCAGCCTCCACCTCCCCAGGCCGAGCCGGAGCAATTGGACGTCTGAGATGCGCCAAGTCGACCAACCAGGCAAGCAGCTGTGGGTGCGCAGTTGATAACTAGTAGCTTAGGGCACGGGGATGACGGGGTCGCATCTTCAAGCAATTGCCTCGTGCCGTCTGAAGGGTCAGCATTGTGCGCTGCAAGCAGACTCGCGGACAAGGTGCTCCATCGACGTAGTGTGTCCCACTTGGTCGACATGCCCCGCACGTGTTGGAGACATGGGGGGTTCCGAGATGTTTTGTTGATGGTGTCCTGGCAAGCCAGCTTTGCCAGCGACTCCTGGCTCGCCAAACCTTGGTGGGAGCGAGGGCTGCTGGCCAGGCCTGTACAGTACAGAGGCCCGGTCCTGTACTATCCTTGATCGCACGGAATGAAACAGCACGAGGCCGTGCGTCTGTCTTCAAGGTACCGAGCGCCAGAATCTCCAACTTGCTCGATCGAGATGTGGCTGCGACGGTGCATATTGAGCGTTCGTGCCACCCCAAAGTCGGCAAAGCAGAATGCTTCGCGCGAAAGCAGAAGCAAGGGCCTGGGCATTGATCGCAGCACGTGTTGCCCGGCGGTCCTGCTGTATCAAAGTCGGCCGCTGTTCGGTGGTCCATGGCAGGAATGCTTCACTGCCCCTGGCATCATCGACTATCGAAGTGAGAGCGATGTCTTGGTTCCCAGTCCGTCGGTTAAAAATAGCGTCGAGGAAGCTTCCAGCCGCAGGGCAAGATGGGCAGGGTGGCGGTCGACCGTCGGAGTTGCAGACCAAGCTCAACCCGCCGCGAGGAGCTAAGACGCAGACAGCTGGGGGAGGGGGAGACAACCAGGCACCGCGGGGTTGCTTGGGAGCTTGCAATGCAGAGCCACGCTCACCCAGCCAGCTAGCGAGCCATCCATTAACACTGGCAAGGAGGGTGGTCGGACAGGAGGGTGTGCGCGTGCGTGTGTGTGTGTGTGTGTGTGTGAAGGCCCGGTGCAGAACGTGCAAGACTTGTATCCACCCAAGGAGCTGAGCAGCCGTTGGGTCGTCGTCGTCGGAAGGAGCCCGGTGTAAGAGCTGCCGCCTCCCCTCCGACCTGTAGCTACGAAGTGGTCGCAGTGGTCGCTCGTACTTGGTCGAGAAGGCTGGCAGCAATCGCGAGATGGATGGATGGAGGGTCGGATGGACGTGCGGCGAGTTGCCGTCGTCCTGGTGCTATACTGCAACTGCCTGCTCTTGCCACCGAACTGTACCGGACTGGGCTGTTAGCACTCGATGAATTGACGGATCTCACGAGGCGGGCCGGGTTGCGTCCACGGATACCGTCATACTGTACTTCGTACTGTCCCTGCACGGACACGCAGGTGGAGGGAGCGGGGACGACGACGGACCCATTGACATGCGGGAGCAAAGCAACGCTGATGAGAGCCGAATCGGCGACGGCGGCAGCAGCAGCAGCGGCAGCAGCAACATCAGGTGCGTCCCGTTGCAGGGGCAGCAGTGAATGCGAGATCACCGGGTCTGAAAATCTGGCGCTGGGATCCTGTTGAGTGGCTGACGCCGGGTCTGGGTCGGGGAACCATCTGGGTCTGGATCCAGTTCATTGGGGGGCGGTTTCCCCTTGTAGCGCGTCAGGTGACAGGCGGGAACGTCGTTTGTGTGGGTTCCGGGCGTGGAATTGAAGTTGGTCCTTGCTCTCGGTGACAGCGCCGGCCGGACGCGGTACCGGTACTCGTGCTCACGCGAGGGTCACGTCGAGGGTACGGCGTGGTGCCCGCGCGAGCACCTGTGCGACGCTGACCCCGAGACCGAGTGGCATGTACGGGTACTTGTGCGCAAACTCCGGGTACGTGGGCAGGTCAGTCGCCTGTCCGAACCAAACGCAAGTCATCGCCAGTCCGCACACCTGGGTGAGCGGCTACCTGACCTCAGTCCCCTCCCGCGCAGTCCCGTACCTCCTCACCGGAGCCCCAAGGTGCTGGTCTGCGTCTGCTGACCAAAGCACTGGCCGCTACAGGGGCGAGGGGCCGGGGGGATGTGACACACACTGACAGCGCAGGCGACTGACAGCCCAGGGATGGATCCTGGGATGGCCCGGACTGGGACAAGCAGCAGGGCAGCAGCAGGAGGAGCGCATGTGTGCAGGTGAGGTGTGTGCAGGCGTGCAAGGTGCAGCGTGGGCAGGTCAGGACGGGACGCCGCTGCGCAGCGCAGGGCGACATCGGCAAGGTACCTCGAAGCCAGGCCTTGCGCGTGTCGACTTCCACGTTGCTCGACTCTTTGACGCCGTCGCCCGTCATGCATCCAGGCCGTCCGGTCGAGGTGGCCCCTGTCTCGCCCGTGGACCGTGGGCCGTGGACCCCGGTCTGGCGAGGTGTGTGGGCGGCGGCGGCGGCGGAGGCGGCGCCCATTGATCTGCTGGTGCTAGGTGGTGCTGGTGCTGCCCTACTGCACTCGCTGCACGTGTGCTGCTGGGGGCGAGAGGGGCCTGGACACAAGGCGAGGAACGAACACCCACGGTGCCCGTCGACGGGACTGCCTGTAGATGGGAGGAGACAAAAGCCGCATCTGACACATCCGGCACTCAACGCACCTGCATTTCTGCTCGCTAGACAAGGCTGCTCCTCTCCATCTTGCGGTGCAGTCGTCGTACCGTGCAGTACCATATTATCCCCCTCGCTGCCAGCGCACCTCAAATCTGCGTGATCTCGAACTGGTGGTGGAAGTGGTGGTGCCTCCTTCGCCAGGCGCCAGGCCAAAGCAGGCCAAGTCGACAAGCCAAGGCACCCTGCGGAGGTACCCACGGGTACTCACGCCGGGACGCCGGGACGCAGCGCGCTTGCCGGGTCCTCGTCTGGCGTCTTTTCTGGCGTCGCCTGGCGGCGCCTGGGTGGCGCGCTGCGTCGCCGGTACCTCGAGCAACCCGCCGCAGCGCAGCACCGGGGGGGTGCCCAGGTGGTGTCGAGCGTCCAATCCCAGGCGCCTGCATTTGACTTTCCGCCTGCCGGGACCCCCCTCTAGCGCCGTGCTGCCCGTCTCGAAAGTGAGCACATGAGCAGTTCCAAGCCCAACGCTGCGGGTCCTCGATTTTAGCCTTGGAGGGGGCCAATTTTTGGCTTGCTTCCAGTGCCATGCCGTGCCAGGCCATGCTTGGATCATGAACCACGACCCGCGCGGCGACTGCCACTCGCAGCAGAGTGGGCGATGAGGCGCCCATTGAGTGTGATCTCCGCCCCCCGTGGCAATCCATCCATCCTTGTCGTCTCGTTGCCTCCCGCCGTCGTGCCGTGACGATGGCCGCTGGCTGACCCGGCAAGGGCCTGAAGTGTGTGCGTGTGGCACCACCACTGCCACCACCACGAGCACCACCACCAACATCCGGCGCCGCGCCCTCTGCAGGTCGGCGGCCCTCAGGAGATGCTCCATGACGATCGCCTGTCCGCAGGCGACGAACGTCTCTGGGGGCGGCCCTCCGTCCAGCAGACATCTGGTGTCCGTCCGTACGTGCGCAAGGCCAGCAATTCGCCGTCGACGCCCATGAGGTAGCAGTAACTCTGCGTCTCTCGCCCGCCAGCGTCACCGCGTCGCCGTCTTGGGACACGCGCAGCTGCCGGGACCCGTTCACACGCATCTACGTTATCTGCCCGCTGGCAAGGGTGGCTGTTCCGCTTCCCAGGGTCAGGTTCCTGGATCTGCACCTCACCCTCGCGCTCACCGTCACCTCACCTCACCTGCCTGCCTGCCATCCTGTTACCTGAGCAGCCCTGGGTGTGTCTCGTCTTGTCTTGCTTTGCGTTATATCTCCTTGTTCGCCTCACCGTGACGCCATCCATGCCTCCCGCCCCCCTCCTGCCCGTCTCGCCCCCCATACCTTACATACTATACTAGTAGCAGTCTCCTACAGCTGTACCCGTTCACCACGTTCCTCGTTCTCGGACCTTCTTGCCGGGTGACGGGCATTGACAGACGCATCTCGTAAATAGCCGCAGGTGAGTTGACAAGGCTGTCGTTGGCACGGGCCCCGGAGCACACGGAACGAGCTCTTCTCGGCCTCCTCCCGCCCAGGCGGCGCCGTCTCCGTGTCCCGGGAGCGCGTCTTCGGCTGTTTCAAGCCATTGTCGATGAGCTCCCGCGACTGACCACACTTGCTCGATGGCTAGCATCGCCAGGCCCACCTGAGTCGTCAAGACATCGGCAGACGTGAGATTGACCACTGCTCTGCCCACCTCGCCCGCAGCAGCATTCGACGCAACACCTCGATCCCCCGTCAGGTACGCAGGTACTCGGTTCAGTCGCCGCTGGGCCAGCCCACCTCACCGGACCTCGCGTCCCATCGCCGCG